CGGCTGGCGGGAACATTGAGAAATGCAGCCGCGGCGGTTCGTAGTCTGCGTACCGGTGCACCTTCGCTCCATAACAAGAGATGAACCGCCACACCACTGCGGCCACAGTCCTCTATGGATAGCTTGGATTGCATCGAATGCGAGATGCTGACACTCATACGGACGTGTACATATATACCACTGTGAATTCGAAACACGAGCCCGTCATTGTCGCAGAATCGTCGTCTGCTTCCGCGCACTGGGGTCGCGAATACGTGAGCTCCGGCAAATTTGTGCTTAGCGCAACATTGCGCGACTCCGAGGAGGTGGCATGAGCCCTAAGGGTATCATAAAGAGCGCGGCGCCGGCTTTCGGCCCCTCTCCAGCCATGGAGCCTGTAGTCCGCCGCATTCGTCCGACACCCAGTCGGTATGTCGCAGGTGTTGTCTCGTTTCTGAACTCTGATGACCCGCCCGGTGCGTATTGTGCTCGCCAATGACGTTTACCTCAGACAATGACCGTATTCCTAGGTTTCGAGCGGTCTCCCCTGCGTATTGGGTTCTACGGCGAGCCGACCGTCCTGAATATCTCCCGCCATTTCCCGGGTGTGGTGAATTGGGCCGGCCAGATGGCGTTGGCGCGACTTGTGCCAATGCTTTCGCGTGTTCTCACCGTGCGTCCGGCAATCCCGCTTTGAGAGCCATACTCACATATACTTGCCAGGGCAACTCGGATCGCTACGAGCACCAGTGGTACGACGGTACACGCCACGTTCGAGCACTACAGATGTGGTACTGTATGCCACGCGTGCGCCGCAGCCCCGCATTCGCAGATGCCCGCTACATCCTCAAGATATCTTTGACCAGCAATCAGCGCACCGCTGGTGTCGATCTCGCATATGCGATTACCCGGATACTGGACGGGGCAACATACAAATATGGTCTCGAGCACCGGCCGAGGGTGGTGGGCTTTGCTCACCTCATACGCGGGCGGGAGATCGTGGCCATGGTGATGATGGATGGTAGTGCGCGTACTGTTTTCGAAGATGCATTGCGCTCGCAGGACTCGCGTTGGACTGGTGCGTCTCGACATGTCGTGACAACATTTCCTCGTCCGCAGGAAGTCTGGGATCTGCCAGATGAGGAGGTTGAGCGCATGGGTCTGCTCCTCCAGTACGTTTTTTGCCACCTATGATGAATTATTATTCTCATCGCGCATTTAGCTTCTTGACTACATCGCGCCAAACTCGACAGACACGCAACCCCAGGGTTCCCATGCTGCAACGCGCCACCATTGTCAGGGAGGGTGTCGAACCAGGAGATGTATAGATGTTATGGGTAGCGGCGAAGTCCGGGTATACATGTAGTCGCACCGCGCACGGCGTCCTTCAACTGTTTGGCTCGTAGTTTATTTCATATGAACCTGCCCTCGCCGAAACTTGATATACGGCTGTTACTCACCGAATCTGACCCATATCTAATGTCACTGAACAGCAATGGTACATCCCTTCCCTGTTTTGAATAAACATTTGAATTTATCCGGGTCGACGCGGTTCGGGCCCGCGCCGACGCGGTTCCCACGCGTCGTCGTCGTTTACATACCAGGTAAACGACGAAGACGGCCTCGCGCGCGCTGTCACACCCGACACCCACACACTCGAAGCATTTTGTGCCACAATGCGGTGTCATCATAAGAAAGCAGGCAGCCACTCAAAGTGTACACGACGTTGCTAAGGCTGGAGCCCAAGGACATAGCGCGAGACGTATTCTACTCCCGACATGCCATCGCTTCGCCGTTGGGAGGTCTGACGCACAGCCCTGTATTCATCCCACTCTCCTACTATGCCTTCATCGTGGTCCCGCGAGAGCACCGCGTGTTCGAAGAGTCGGAGATGCCTGTCCCGGAGGTCGTACAGTCGGCGGAAATGTGCCCGTTCCGAGGCTATACGCAGGTTGTACGTGTCGTGGTTCAAGGCCTGAGTGTTCGTTGAGCACCAACTTCACACAGAGATCGTGCGCGGTGTTCGGTTACCTCCCGTGTTTGACAGCCAGATGATGCTGCGTGGTTGTGATGTACGCAGACGCGCACGCTGTCACCTCCCTCTGCCGGATCGCGCCGCAAGATGTCATAGGTGAGCATAGGGCAGCGGTCAGCACGTTAAATGCGAGCAGTCTGGTAAATGCGAGCAGTCTAGACGAGGTTCGGTTTGACATCTATAAGTACTAAAAGGAGCGGATGCCGGTCTCGCCGCTCGCCAATTTGAAGTGAGACCGTCTGACAGCATGTACAGAGTAGATATAGTGGGCTTCGAGCGTACCCCTCCGTACTTCCCACAGCCATGAATGCCCCCGCACTCCCTCTCTGGTCTGCTAGAGCGCATTTTCATCCATGCAGCCGAGGAGCCCACTACCACATATCGCTCAAGATCGAGATGCGTCAACCTGTTCATTTCATCTTGCCAGTGAGCAGAACAGTCCATTCGACTCGTTCATACCTCACGAGAACATAGTACGCTCACGTTCATCAACGGGGAGTTGCAGGAGCCGGCCACTTTGCGGCGCCCGCGAATGGAGAGGCTCTCGCCATGGCAATCAGGCGGGTAGTGGAGGCGATGGTCGCAGTCGATGCCCCTTAGTGACGCCCGCGCACACTCAGCGAGGTAGAGTGCGAAAAAAGAAAACAGCAAAGAAGCGTGCATTGCGTAGTGTAAATAATGACAATGGTTCATAAGCCCAAGTCGTAGATACAAGCAATTTTTTGGATTAACAGAGGGAACGAATCGGGCCAACTACATCTATATCGCGAGTAGAGCCAGTACAAACGGGAACCATATAAGAGAGGGGAAACAAAGAGGCCACGGAAAGAGATGGCAGAACAGAGGGGCCTACTCAAAGCGGAGACGCTTGGCGCTTGAGGCCAAGAACTTCGACGCGCCACGGCCGCGCTTCAAAGCCGCAGGAGGAGGGCGCGAGTGCAGGACGTACAGGTCCTCGATGTCGGCCATGAAGTTGAAGGTCTTGGCCGTGGGAATGAACTGGCGAGTGAGTGTGAAGCGGACATCGACGAGGGAGCCGCGGATGTGGCGGTCGTACTCGTTAGGGCGTAACTTGGTCATGGTTGGCATAGCGTCGCCCGCCAAGGCCTCCTCGCGCGTCGCCGGGCTTCCTGCAGGGACGCTCGCGCCGTCGCGCATAGTGTCCTCGCGCAAGACGGGATTGTTGAAGTCCATCTTCCAGGCCGCGAGCGGAATGTACGCATGCTCACCGCCACCAACAGTGTTGTGGAGAGCAGTGCGGCCCTCGGCGTGCTTGCAGGGCACATTGATGGACCTGAACTCCGGACCGTCTGCGATGTTCACTACGAATGAATCAGTATGCAAGTCATACAAGATAGTGCAAGATGACATACGGGCTTCCTGCGCCTGGGCGCGCTCGGTCCGAGTAACATCGGTTGGCTGAGGGGCCTGAGTTGTTGTCAGAATCGGGAGGAACCTGCACTCGAACAATGAACGTACCGTGAAGAAACAATGACGGGTAGTGATGGAGCCCTGTGCAGTGATGAGCGGGTGCGTCGCGCGAGCACCTGGCGGAGCGGCAGGTGCACGCGTGAAGATCGTGCGGAGGCCGTCCATCTGTGGCGCAAAGTGCAAGGACGTGACGGGATCGTCGCCGGCGATGAGAGACACCCTGGCGCGGTTCTTGTAGAAGGGCTGATCGTATTTGGTGGGTTTGCCGTCCCAGTTGTTGCAGGGCATAAGCCACGTCCCGTTGCTGTCGGCGTAAGCGAGAATCCGGAACGAGAACGGCTCGCGGGCTTCGTCGTCAGTGCCACCAGCAGCGACGGCGATGATCTTGTTATCGCCAGCGTCGTACCACTCGAACTTGGCGTGGATGTCGGCGTGCTGGACGTTGGCCTCGTCCTCGAGAGCATCGCGAATGATAGAGAGAATGGCAGCGGAGTGGGGACCGGCGGGTTCAGACATGGCGGATTGGGGTGTTGCAGAAGAGAGATGAAGAGGAGCGACCGGTAAGCGTTAAAGCCTGTCGATATGCAGCGCCGCGTCCTGGCTCTTTATACGATGAGCTTCAGTAGCTTGCCGGCCAGGGAGCGGCCACGGCGGCCACACGGACCCTCTACGGGATGTAGTAGCGAGAGCGGGAGGGCGCCGCTCTGTTGCTTGCTGCCTCCGCAAAGTGCTAACACGAGGCTCGCAGATCGCGAGCCACTCCGGCAAGACGGCACATCGCTCTCCCGAGCGAACTGAAACCGGGACCAAGTCTCGGGATGGCGAGCGTATCACGCCAGCATTGCATAGCGATGGCGCCGAGACTCGCCCATCCACGATTCTGCGAGTGGATCGGCATCGGAGCTCAGCAGTATAGGGGGCAGAAAATAGACATTTTTTCCCGTGTGCAGTGCGCAGTGTACAGGAAGCAGAAGATATCCGTAAGTACGGATACACGTTCGTCCGAGGACACGGGAAGATCCGTCGAAGCACATGGTATAGCGAGGAAGCAGAACGTGTGGGCGACATTGTCGGCGTAGAGGGGAGGGAGGACCAGTGGCCATTGCTTTCTTGCCCCGTTCCCCAGCCATTTACGCCTATGACGACTCCTGCAATTCCTATGCGAGCCGCTCTGCGGGAGCTCACACTGCCGGAGCTGTTGCGCGTCCTAGACACCCTTCCCGGTGTGAGTGTGACGGGTGCGAGAAGGCGTAATAAGGCGGGACTCGCCGTAGATGTGATGAACATGGGTGCGGAGGTGCATGAGGCGATCCGGACGGCGGTCAACGAGAAGAGGCAAGGTGTATTACAAGCTGCTGTACGTTTGTAAACCCGTTGTGTGTGATGAGTCGCTGAGTTGGCCTTGTCAGACACTACGCGACCCCACCGAGCGGTACAAGGCACTCACCGTGGACCAAATAGTCGCTGCCCTTGAACCCGTTCAGCCCGTCCCTCCTCATCTGAGGACTAGCAAGCGCAAGCCCGCCTTACTAGCGACCCTCGTTGATTGTTCCCTGCCGGCGCGGGCAGCTCTTGATGCCGCACTACATTCGAGCAAGCGGGCGAGTACTCGGCAGCGGCGCGAACGAGAACACAGGCAACGCCAGGTGCATGATGGTGAAGGCGGAGGTGTGGACGGACACCAAACAGGAGCACAGGGCGACTCGGACGAGGCGATGGTGGTAGATGGAGAAGCTGGTGGGGAAGCTGGAGAGGAGGACTTCCTGCGTGCGCCTTCAAGTGATGTCATTCGCACTAGGCTACAAGCGTTCTATGATGCTACGAACAATGCTAGTCTTATGCTCAAGACATGCGCCGTCTGCGCGCGCGAGCGGCTACAGACAGAGGCTGTTACGCGCACTGTCAAACTATCAGAGCTTCCCAACCGGCACCGTCTTCGTCCTGCAAAAGCGCATCCCGACCACAATCTCATTGACGGGTGTCTACTACTTCATTCGGCCTGTTCTGGTACTCAAGGAAAGGACATCGACGTGACTGTGTGCGCAGAGTGCTATAATGCGCTGACAAGAGCATACGACAAGCCACCGCGCCTGTCCCTCGCCAATGGTCTCTGGCTGGGCGATGTTCCGTTCGAACTTCGGGGTCTCACACTCTCAGAGCAGCTTCTCATAGCGCGTGTGTACCCGCGGGTGTTCATCGTCAAGCTGAGACCGAAAGGTCGCTCCAGTGGGGAGGAGGAGCTCATGCAGAATGGTATACGTGGCACAGTGACATCGTATGCCATGCCGACCGAGCGCATAGCAGAGATGACAACCGGCAATCTTATGCCCAAACGACCTGCCGTCCTCGCCTCCCTCATCTCCATCGCGTACATCGGCAGCGGACCCCTGCCAAAGGCATGGCTCGCGAAAGGCTTCCGCGTCAGGCGACCGTACGTGGCACGAGCTCTGCGCTGGCTTATCGGCAACAACCGGCACTGGGAGCGTGTTCGTCTTGATGAAGCAGCGCTAGCGGCTCTACCGGAAGACGACGTACCAGATGAGGTTCTGGCTATCGTGCGGCAGGAGCAGGACGAGCGCATGGCGGAGGGTGAAGGTGCATCATACGTTCCGGATGGTGCAAATGATGAGGCAGCAACTGGTGATGGTTAGTGTATATGTTACGCCCGCAGTTCTATGAGCTTACCGTTCGTGCGTAGAAGAGGCCGCGGACGTCCTGCCGTTGCAATACAATGGTGTTCACGACAATGAAGGGCATGACCTGTCGAGCGAAGACAAGCTTCTGGCGGCAATAGATGCGGCTCAACGTGAAGGCCTGTTAGCGGAGATGCCTTATCATGTTCGCCACACCCGCGACATGATCATTGATTTGCCTAGTGCACGCGAAGCAGCGGGTTTAGGAGACGTGAGCATGTGGGAACAAGGCTATCCATGCTTGTTTCCTCGAGCGGAGGGTGGCTTTGAGCGCGTGAGGCCGGTCCCGATACCATTGAAGGAGCATGTACGCTGGGCGCTGGATTACCACGACCGCCGTTTCCGCCTCCACGAGTCCTTCCCATTCTTTGCATTCGGGATAGAGCAGAAGCGAGACGCTCTTGCATCTGCGCGGCTGCAGATGGCGCGCCGAGACTATGAGAAGGTCGCCGGTGTCCTCGCGACGATTAGCCTAGACGACCTGAAGGTTGCTGCACGCGAGGAAGAGGGCGGGAAATCAATCAGTAGCCCGGCGGTGCGCTTGTTGCGGCGGCATATGCAGACGACCGGCGCGAAGGTCATGGGCGCAGATGGTACACGGCTCGCATGGCGTAGCCAGATATGGTCGACGTCTATCGCTCTCGGGCCACCGTCTCTGTGGGTCACCATCAACCCGGATGACCTGCATGACCCCATTGCGCAGGTTTTGGCTGGTCACGACATAGACATGGACCGGTTTTCAGCACTTCGAGGTCCAGAGAAGAGTGACCGGGCGTTGACCATAGCGAAGGACCCGTATGCAGCGGCGAAGTTCTTTCAATTCTTAGTGGAAACCGTTCTCAAGACGCTGATCGGGATCGAAGTTACGCGTTCTGGCCGGATCGTGAGCGAGGAGGGCATCTTTGGGCGCGTCAGCGGGTACTTTGGAGCGGTGGAAGCGCAGGGACGAGGGACCCTTCACTTACACATCCTGTTATGGCTGTGCGGCTGTCCATCACCCGATCGAATGAAAGCTCTGTTGCAGACGCCGGAGTTCAGAGCGCGCGTGACGAAGTACATCGAGACTACCTTCCATGCATCCCATCCGGTCCTTGACAGCGCGGCGTTGGCGTCTGCCCATCCCAAGAAGCATGATGTTGCCTGGTCGCGCCCGCCTAACCCATCCGCTGCGGACTACCAGGAGAAGATGGACACGCTCATCCTCGATGTGGCGCGCACGAAGCAAGTCCATGCATGCACACTCGCGCAGTGCCTACGCGTCGACCGTCGCGGCAAAGTGACCTGCAAACGGCGCGCACCCTGGCCGCTATCAGATCAAGCGGTCATCAACGCCGACGGGGAGTGGAAACCTCGACGGCAGTTCGCATACCTGAATAGCTGGACACCAGCACTCACGGCGGCAGTTCGCTGCAATACGGACACGAAGCTCCTGACAAACGCGGCGGACTCGAACAACCTGACGTTTTACGTGACCGGGTACGTAGCCAAGAAGCAAGGGCGATACCACAACATCTCAGCACTACTTGCGGATGGCCTCGCGTACCATTTCGAGTCTGATGCGTGGAAGGAGGATCTGCAGGAGCGTCAACGGTTGCTTCTTTTCAGAGCCGTGAACGTCCTGAACCGGCAGCAAGAGGTATCGGGATCCATGGTCATGACGTACTTGATGGGTTGGAAGGACTGCTTTCGGTCCCATCGCTATGCACCGTTGTTCTGGTCGTCATTCGTCGGAACCATGCTGCGCGACAGGCCCGAGTTACGGCGTTCTTCATCCTCGGAGACTGAAGCACGGTGAGCCAGACGTGGCCACGTATAGGACGAGTCTAACAGCCCTTTAGGACCGACGACGGAGCCAGTGCGGGAGACGAGGATGCACCGAGGGAGGAAGGAGTACGTTGCGAAGTACGATTGTTGTTCTACGAAACTGATAGGCCTTACGATACAGGGAGAAGATACAGTACGAATAACCCTCAATGCGCAGGGTCGCCTGGCAGGGAGCAATCAAGTCGACGACTACCGCCTGAGAGGTCGTGAGTTCGAATCATTGAATGTGCTCAAGTACTTTCAAGATACGTACGAAACGACGCGCCGCCCGGAGGATACGGCGGATTTGGAGCCGGATGATGAGGAGTCGCGTGGGCAAGGCCGGCCACGATCGCGTAGGGTCTTCTATCTGGAGGCGCACCCTCGCCATGGAAGCAGCGCGCGTATTCGGCGCACGACCGGCCACAACACGATAACGAACATCATCGGTCGCCAACTGCCACGTCGAGACGAGGAGGAGTCGCGCGAGTTTTATAGCGCCTCGATGTTGGTTCTGCTCAAGCCGTGGCGCGAGATAGCGGAGCTACGGGGCACCCATCAGTCATGGGCACAGGCATTGGAGGATTATGTGCGTACATGTCCGGAGATCGAGCGGACGCTGTCGGCCATCCAGCATTATCATAGCTGCAAGTCAGCTGCAGATCAAGCGAGGGAGACGGCGCCGCAATACGAGGGAGAGGGCACAGCTGCCGAGAGAGAGCGCAGGCGAGGCGAGGACGAGTCGGATGAGGAAGAGGGAGACGGTGCCGACGAAGTTACGGTGCCAATCACAGAAGCGATGATTGCGGCCGCAGAGGCGGCAGGCGTGAATGCTGACCTGCATGATCATGGTCGACAGGCAGTATTACTCGGACGTTCTGTTGGTGTCTTCAGCCCCAGAGATTCGCCCGCTTTGCGTCCGCTCGCACCAGTCCGACATGCCGAAGCGGATGACGCTCGCAATATACTTGTTTGGCAAGCCGCGATGAAACGCGCGCTGACATCGGCGTCTCGTGGACCGGGTGGGAACGATAGGGACGAGGAGGAGGGTGGCGACGTGTCGGTTGCAGGTAAGGCCGGTATCTGAAGTCCGTGTCCAGCTCTAACAAGCACCCTTTCTAGACGGTGAAGCTGCTGCGCCCGCGCCGACGGTCAAGCAGTTGGACGCGATCGCAGAAGAGGCTCTCACTGCTGTGGATGTGCAGCACCTGCTACCCGACCAGCGGCGCGCGTTCGAGATCATCTCCGCACACGCAAAGATGACGTTGGCGGGCATGGCGCCGCCGCAACTACTCATGCAAATGCACGGTGAAGGCGGCACCGGCAAATCCCGTGTCATCCAGACTGTGACGGAGGTTTTCGCAGCTTTGGAAGCTGATGACCGTTTGGCGAAGGCGTCGTTCACCGGAATCGCAGCGTCACTGATCGGTGGCAAAACCCTGCATACAATCGCGTCTATCAAGGTTGGTAAGAAGACGGCAACGACAACTAATTCTAAGCAGACCGCGTACTGGAGGTCCATCCTGTACCTCGTCATTGACGAGATGTCCATGCTATCACGGGAGATGTTTGAGCTCGTGAGCGCGCGCGTCTCTGCGGCGAAGGTATCTGGTAATCCCGCGGCGGCGGATGCACCATTCGGCGGCGTGAATGTCATAATCGTGGGGGATAACTTCCAGTTTCCACCAGTCGGGCGACCGAAGTCGGCGTTATACCATCCGGCGACGGGGAGCAACCTGAGTGACGGAGCGGCGATTGGGCGGCGCCTGTATGAACAATTCGAGACCGTCGTTATCTTGAATCAGCAGGTGCGCGTTCGCGACGGCCGGTGGTTGGAGTTCCTGCACCGCCTGCGTGAGGGTGCAGTGTCCCGTGGCGATATAGATATGCTTCGCGATCTATTGATCACGAAACCAGAACGGTGAGCGTTGTCTATGAAAGTATGAGCCATGCATATTGACGACAGCGAAGACTAAACGAGATGGACACACCCGAGTGGAGGGACGCCGTGCTGGTGACGCCTCGGCACGCTGTTCGCGTACAATGGAACTCGGCAGCTGTCGAGCAGCACAGCCGTACAACTGGCCACCGGATATACGAGATTCCGGCATCAGATCGTATCGGCCGGCGTGAGTTGACGATGCGGGAGCGTCTGGCAGTGGCGTTGCGCAAAGACGAAGGGAAGAACAAAGGGGAGGTCGGCGGTCTGCCTTCATTAGTCGAAATATCGGAGGATTGCAAGGTGATGGTGACGTTCAACGTGGAGACTGAGCTAGATCTCGCGAACGGTGCCCGTGGGACCGTGTATAAGATCCTCCTCCATGAGGAAGAGGTCGTCGCGCCGAACGCGCGTCGGGTCCGCCTCCAGTACATGCCGCGTTGCATCCTCATACAACTCGACCGAACAAGAGTCCCGCCACTACCCGGTCTCCCCCCTGGCGTCGTACCTTTCGTCCCGGCTAGACGTTCTTTCCAAATCAGCATCAACGGTCGTCACGGTACTGTACACAGGACTGTACATCGCAGCCAATTTCCAATGACATTGGCGTATGCGTTTACCGACTATCGCTCCCAAGGCCAGACGATACCGCGTGTTATCGTCGACATCGCGACACCCCCGGGTCCGCGCACGGGCTTGAACAAGCTTAGCCTCTTCAACGTCTACGTGGCCCTGTCCAGGAGTAGTGGTCGTGACACTATTCGCCTGCTCCGCGACTTTGACGAGTCGCAATTCCAACGATCACACGATCCCGATTTGCTTGCGGAGGCGATTCGCGTTCGCAACCTGGATACCAGGACGAAGCGGTGGTGGGAGAGGGAAAGGCTGCTGTGGCAGCGCATGGGTCTGGTATAGATACTGCATATACCGCTTAGCTTATATTGTATCGTTGTTGATGTACATGGCAGAGATACATGGCAGTTGGCGAAGAAAGGCAGGGGAGGGCAGCGGGGCGTTGAAGACGTGGCGCCGCGTGGCCAAGGTCGCGTGGCTTTCGCGTGCGTCACAGCGGCGGTTTTTGAGGGGTGAGGGACCTCGCTCTCCGAGCAAGGTAATCCCAATTCTCATCCTATCTCTCTCTCGCGTGTACATACACTCTCAGACTACAATACTAGCTTCGTTACACGTATCCTTGCCCAAGCCCGAACCCCACCGAACACCCCAGATATCCCACTTTGCGTCTCCCACTGTAACCCGCAGCCCGCCCCGCGCCCTCTTCATCTCCAGCCCCCCTCCCATTCATCTCCCTCCTTCCATTCGCCATCCCGTTGACACAGCAACCGCCACCCGTCCTTGTCCTCGTTGTGGCCTCCCCCTTCCCTCTTTCCACCTTCCGCTTTCCGCTTTCCTTTTGCCGTCCCTTTCCACGGCTACGGTCTAAGCTCGAAGCCCCTATCTCTGCATCTGCATCTGCCATCGCGGTTCCCCATCCCGCGCATCTGATCGCGCGCCCTGCTGCCCGCCCCTTCCCCGCACGCGCGCATCACATCATCAGCCGCTGCGCCCCTTCCATGTATTCATCTATTCGCTTGTGCGAGATGCGAGAAGTACATATTTGAGAGCCCGCTTGCCGACGCCCGATGGCCCTCGCTGTGTGACGGCGCCGGCTGTCCGTGGACCGTAACGCAGTGCGTTTGACCCTCCCCTCCTCGTCGGATGAGCAGTGAGCACAGGCCAAGCCCACGTACGGCGACCCGAGCCCGCGCTGGTGTCATCCCGCCCCCGAGACCCTTACCCTCTTACCCGGCGCTCCAGTGGCGCGCGCTCGTCTCTCGGTCCCTCGGTGTGGTGTACGGACGCTTCCATCCGCTAAGGGCGCGGGGGGTGTACACGGCTCCATCGAGGTTCTATGCGCTATCCAGGTTCTATGCGCTAGAGGGATAAAAGGCGCGAGGCTAGCTGGCTGCTGGGCTGTTCCTCGCGTCATCGAGCATCGAGGTATCGGGGTGTTGATTCGGCCTGTGTGGGCTTGTGCCAGTGGGTAGTGCGAGGTACTACTGGACTGTATTGGTACCGCAATGACGATGTTTAGGATCTTGGGTTGCATACTTTTGAACGAGCTGGGTTCGAGGTTGACGTTGAGCTTGTACGTGTTAAATAAATATTCATCTTCACTGATCACTACATCGTTCTAACGACGTAACCCCATCCTGAGTGTATTGCATGCTCTGCACCTATCTGTAAACAAGTAACTGCAACAGATAGAGCTGCACAGTGCGCACGAGTACTACTTACCCGTCGGTTGGATGTTCAAACATTCATCGCGCTGACTGCGTGTGAGAACCTCGGACCGAATGGCCGATTCAAGTTACTCTTGCGATAGCCGCGAGCTGATCCCAGGCCTGAGCGAGTCGTATCGGGTGATACAGCACCCCGCCTTCGAGGCGAACTGCCTGACGATGATGATTGCAGCAAGACAACGGCAATGCGATGTACAGGTCCACGCAAACGCCCACCCGTGGCATAGTATTCGCGCGCAGACCGCGAGAAGGAACGGAAGCGCGACTTGTATAGTCTCCGGCTTGCGCGTACTCGTTGGCACACCGAATCCGCAATTCCTCGACTCGGACGTGGGAGATGCGATCCTCGAGGGCACAAGAAGCGACACGCACCTTTGTTCAATTCTGTAGGATCGCGTGACAGTGGAGGCGGCGTGTGTACGTCGAAGCTTGTGGTCGTGTGCGCAGAAGCAGAAGCGCGATACTTGTGAATCCAGATTGTACAGATTCAGCTGCTCTGCGTCGTGAGCTGTCAGTGGGGTAGTAGATATGACGGAGATCAAGAAGCCTACAACGACCGAAGTAGGCGTGCTATAAAGGAAGCCGAATAGCGTCATGCTTGTTTGCCAGGACGCGCGATGTGCTGTTCTCTCGCTGTACATCATGGTTATCTGGCGGATGGTCGAAGGGCCACTTCACGTACGTACTGCACGCTACGCAGCCCGAGCGAGAGAGAACGCACTCGTCCGAGGTCAGGTTGCCGCTGCCGTTCAGAGAACGGAAGGCCGGTCCGAAGTCGGCGGCACTCCTCATTATTGGCAGCTGAGAGATGAATCACATTTTGAAACACATTTATATCACATGTATACTGGAGCATGACATATAGGTTAGAAATAATGTAGGAGAGTGCGATCCAGGGACCCGTTGCGGCAAGTTTGAGTCGGTATGTGCGAAGATTATCATTAAGTAAGTAGATGGCGTCGTCGATGCAATAGACGTGTGGCGAAGCTGACAAGCGATGTTCGTCGGGGGAAAGCGAAAACCCTTTAACTGAGTTTTGGTCGATGCAAGTTTCGCGTAAGCTCGAAGGGCATGTACATACCTCATAAGGAAGCGCCTGACCTTGAATGATGTTCCAAGTTTGTGCTGACCTTTAAAGATTGTTAAAGGAAGCCCGCAAAATTCTCATCCCACTCAAGCTAGGCGACGACCTTGCCAGGAATTCGTAGGGAATAGGCAAGGTTTCAAGATCTCACAAGCCTACCTGAGCAGAGAGCATTAGCTGTCGTGGGATCTGTAGGTTCGCTTACTGGTCGGTAGTGCTGGATACCTCACGGTAGCCCACGGTACGCGCAGAGGCAGGGAGAACAGCCTGCGCGCGACGGAATGGACGCCGATGGGCTGCTGGCGCTCATGACGTCACGCGCTCGATCCCGGCCCCAGATTCCCGACTTCTCGTGCCGTTCGTTCTCGCTCTGGCGTGTTTCGACTCCTTCCCTCTCACCACCACCTTCGCCCTCTCCCCGCCGTCGCCCCCTCTCCGCCGTCGCCCCTTCGCCACGCGTCCTCGACCTATTTGCACCGCCGAGGCGTCGATACCGTCTCCGCAATGCGACAGATATACTGTCAGGCCTACGCTTCCGGGGCGGTATCCTGTGCGCGCGCATCTACTCATGCTCGCCTTCACCACTTCTCACTGACACCATTCAATAGGCACTACCACTAACATTTTTTGATGGGAGATCCTACTCGCCAAGGATCAGGTATGTTGTGCTTCCAAATCAGCAGTAGATTGAACTCACGTTCTCCCAGGAATGTCGAGCTTCTGTGTGTGGGGCGACGCGACGCGTCGGCACGGCGTTCGTGCTCGTAGGGAGCGTGTACGTGTCGGTTCTCGGGTTCTCGTATACATAGCTGTTCTACCTATGATGTCTACTTGTATTTTACACGCCAGTTTATGAATATATTCATTTCTAGCCACGGTCGCAGTGAATAATTGCCTAATTCGGAAAATATTATTTATATGATTAACGGTTATCGTAGGCAGGCTTCATCGACGTGCATTTGAAACTGCCTCTGGTATTTGAACGTGCGGAGGGTGTTACAAGGTTCACGGGACCTTGCAGGAGCTTTAAAGGTTAGCGAGACCTTCAAACGAATGTCAATGTTGACCTTGCGGGTGTAAGGTAGTTAAAGGTCCCCCGAAAATTGGCGTCGTTGGGGTCCTTTACATGCGTGTCCATGTCTTACAAGCCTGGCTGGGTTTTCCCGGCGCTTGATGCAGTCTGAGTATCATGCAAGTCGAAGGGCGGCGGGCACTGGCAAGTATAGCAGCGAGGACTCTTCACGATGTGCTCCCGCAGACAGCCTAGCCAGAAGATCTCAGAAGAATGTCGTGCTCCAAGAGATTGAACTGCTCCCGGACAGACGGCAATTTGGGCACGTCTTCTGGACGGAGTCCCCTGTTTCGGTAGTAGCTGAGGCCGGAGGTTGACGACATGTACTTGTAAAGCTCTGGATCGCCGAGAGGGTATGGATATTCTGACGCTGCGCGCGCCATGAACGACCCAGCAGAGCGCCGTGGGATGCGCCAGAGATTGACGACGTTGTCGTGCCCGTAGATAGAGATCTTCAGCGTTTCTGTTGGATGTTCGTCGTTTGAGTTGGACGGACCGTCCACTGCAGGATCGATGAAGCGGTAGGACTTGTCGTTGATGATGGAGACAGGAGGGGGGCCGTGTAGCGAGATGAGCGCAAACTCCTGCGAGTAACCCGGATCGAGGTGATCAATAGGATGGATCTGGAAGCAATGGAGGAAAGGAGCTGCCGCGCGCCGCTCGGGCGTCGAGCTCTGGTCCTTCTCAAGATCTTCAAGTATCTACGAATATTGAGGTCAGATGAAAAATCCTTCACCGGTACATGCACACGTACCTCATCGAACGTCTGCTGGCGGCTCTCCAGGGGCTTGTCGCGCAGACTACGGAGTATGTTGTCGACATAGACCAGGATTGGTACACACGGCACGAGTATAGAGAGCTGCTCAAGATCGTCGCCGTCGGGGGTCGCGAGGAACTTGCAACACATATCACAGGCTGTACGCCCCCATTCATCGTCGGTCAGAGCCAAAGCCGGCAGATGATCCGAATGACACACATAATATCCCGTTCGACGCGCCTTGGACATCGCACGTTCGTGCAAGTAAATAGTTCACACAGACGCCCCACTATTGATCTGTGTTAATGGGTGCAGGTGAACCGATATGGAGAACGTCTCTGACCATGCGAGGGTCACGCAGGACTGGCACGTATATGCCTTCATTAGGGCCGAGGCGTGTCGTACAGAGAACGCAGCGAGACTTGAAGTCGTCCCTAATTTGGGCTTGTGTGGTGGAAGGAAAGAAGTGTGTCAAATCATTGTATTCGAAGGACATGATTCGGCGAGATGGGTGTCGGGTGTCAAGATCGTCACTCAGGGGCGGCTTGTCCATGCACTTGCCGGCGCCGTTCTCACGGGGTACTTCCTGTACGCGAACTATCGATTGGCGCACTGGACGTGACGCACGGTAGGCTCGTAGGCTCTGACATCTTCGCAGGACAACATTGCAAGCACAGAAAAAGATGAACTATTGTGACTAGTGACAGAATTCGCAGGAGGAACCTAGCTAGACGGCGAAAGAGAAGAGATGGGCGTGGAAATGCATATATGTACGTATGCATGAAGGTCAGGAATCATGCTCATGGGGATGTGTATGCGTAATGCGAGCCAGAGGTTGGGGGTAGCCGCTCATGAATCATGATTCCGACGCCTTAAAAATAATCCCAGATGGAGGGACGCAAACGCACGTCGCTGGAGCAAATCGCGGGCGGGAGATGTTGCCTGTATATGGACGCATCAGCACATGCGACCTTGCGAGGAGCCCAATGGGAGGAGCGTACCATCAGCCAACTATGCCAACTACTCTGTGTAGGCTACATCCACATACAAGTCAGGATACGTGGGCCCCGCGGCTATCGTGTCTCGGTACAACCGGGGTTATCAGGCTGCTGACATACATTTTGATGCTGCCATAGTTCGTGTTGCCTCTGCCTCTGGGTAGGAGAATCCGAGGTAGGTCGTGGTCGGGAGCAAGCTGCGCGCGTGCGAAACAGACGGAGAAGCCGCCGCAGACGCGCGCCCAAACGAGCGCTCATCTTCGCGCTGCCACCATGTCTGTACTGCATACGACGTACAGCACTGGTTCTATGAACATACTCTTTGCGAACATGCTGTGACTCCTTTGGGGCTGTTGGCTATGTAAAGGAGTTCGCTGGCGCTGGCAATACGCCACCGCCTTCACCCGCAGAGTCATCAATAGTCTCCCTGCAGCCACTTTAGTACACGACCCCGGGTCGTGACGCACGACTTCAAGACGGGAGGCGGCGCCATCTACAGTGATAAGACTGCCAGAGTGGTCGCCGCGGTAGATGGGTAGACTCTTCACTGTACGTACATCGCGAGAAACCGAGTATAGATCCACCATGTCTTACTAACCTTTGCCAGACCTCTATAAGCGACAGAACTGAAACATAGCTCAGTTTGATAAGCCGCAGAGGCGTAAAGCGCGCCTTGACGTTCACAGCCAGTCAACGCTCTCAGCGCCATGCCTCGTTGGGCTTGTGGATCAAGGTTCGAACCGCATAAGAACCGTCATAGTCGACCTGTTAAGTCTCTTCCTTTGCGCCCCCTTCTCACGAAACCACGCCCGTATCTGACCCTCTCAGCGCGTGAGACTCAGTATTCACTGACTCTCCACTAGTGGCTGACGCTGACTACAGACCATGCACCGACAGAGCTCCAGCTGGCGTAGATGGATCGACAAAGCCCGCAAGAGCACTGCGACACCAACTCAGGCCAATCCTGAGATCTTGTCGCAATCGGATCAAGTGTCGAGCCAAGGGGCTGGTTCCTGCGGCGGCGAAGCTTCACGCCTCGCTACTCTAGGACGGATGTCTCTGGAGCGTTTCAATAGCTTGCATAAGCTTGAAGATCTCCATGATGCGATTGATGCACAAGAGCGAGCTGCCAAACTCATGCGTGAGGGACATGCGGACTGGCTGTATCTTGCAGATGATCATGCACATAGCCTACGGCGCCGTTTTGAGAACTATGGGGCGTTGGAAGACATAGACCGTGCGATTGAGTTTCAGGAACGTGCTCTCATCTTCACTCCCGGAAACAGCCCCAAACGGCCTTGGAGACTCGACTGCCTTGCAATATGCCTTCGTCTACGCTATGGCATCACCGGAACACTTCGTGATCTCGAAATGGCTGTCACAAAGCACCGACTTGCACTAGCACTCACGTGTGACAGTACAGACGGTCAACCTGGGTACCTCAGCAGCTTCGCCAACTCCCTGAGGTCCCGCTTTGAACGCTTTGGCGAGCTTCGCGACCTGGAAGAAGCGATTGCCGCGCATAAACTCGCTGTCGATCTCACGCCCGATGGCAATCCCGACCTACCGTTGCAATTGAGAAACCTCGCCAGCTCTCTGGTGTCCCGCTTTAAACACCTCGGGGAGCTTCGCGACCTAGAACAGGCGATTACCGCGAATAAGCTCGCGATTCGTCTCACGCCCGACGGCCATCCCGACCGACCGCAGGGAATGAGCAACCTCGCCGGCTCTCTGCAGTCCCGCTTCCAGCGCCTCGGCGACCTTCGCGACCTGGGAGAAACTATTGCGATGCAAAAGCTCGCTGTCGATCTCACGCCCGAAGGTCATCCCGACCGGCCACAGCGATTGGGCAACCTCGCCAACTCCCTGAGTTCTCGCTTTGAATGCTTCGGCGAGCTACGCTACCTGGAAGAAGCGATTGCCGCACACAGGCTCGCTGTCAATCTGACGCCCGAAGGCCATCTCGAACGACCCTTGCAATGGAGCAACCTCGCCCATTGTCTACGGTCGCGCTTTGAACGCCTCGGTGAGCTTCGCGACTTGGAAGAAGCAATTGCCTTGAACAAACTTGCCGTCGGGATCACACCCAAAGAGCATATCCACCGACCACTGCGCTTGAGTAGCCTCGCTGGCTCTTTGTGGTCTCGCTTCCAACGCCTCGGCAAGCTTTCAGACCTAGAAGAGGCGATTGCCGTAAACAGGCTCGCTGTTAGCCTCATGCCCGACGGCCATCCTGACCGACCACAGGGATTGAGTAACCTCGCCGGCTCTCTGACTTCCCGTTATGAACGTTTCGGCGAGCTGCGCGATCTTGCGGAAGCGACTGTGGCGGATAGGCTTACTGTCGATCTCACGCCCGAAGGTCACCCTGACCGGCCATGGCGATTGAGCACCCTCGCCATCTCTCTGAGTTCTCGCTTCGAACGCCTCGGCGAGCTTCGCGACCTGGAAGAGGCATTTGCGGTGCATAAGCTTGCTATTGAACTAACGCCCGAAGGTCGTCCCAACCGACCATATCAATTGAGCAGCCTCGGCTGCTCTCTGATGTCCCGCTTTCAACGCCTCGGTGAACTTCGCGACCTGGAAGAAGCACTTGCGACGCATAAGCGTGCTATCGAGCTCACACCTGAAGACCATCCCGGCCGACCAATTCGATTGAGCCACCTCGCCGGCTCTTTTTGGTCCCGTTTTCAACGCCTCGGCGAGCTCCATGACCTGGAAGAGGCCATTGCGCTGCATAAGCTTGCTATTGCGCTCACGCCCGAAGCTCATCCCGACCGACCGCCGCGGTTGAGCGGCCTCGCCGGCTCCATATGGTCCCGCTTTGGACGCCTCGGCGAGCTTCACGATCTGGAAGATGCGATTGCCGCCAATCAGCTCGCTGTCGAGCTCACGCCCGAAGGCCACCCCGGCCGGCGATTGCGATTGCACAACCTTGCCGCTTCTCTGGGCTCCCGCTTTGAGTGTCTCGGCGAGCTCCGCGACCTGGAAGAAGCGATTGTCGCAGGAGAGCTCGCTGTCGAGCTTACACCCGAAGGTCATCCTGACTCGCCAGTCTTCATTTCGCACATGGGAATCTTGTTGAAAGCTTTGTTTGCGTCTGAACCGAGCAAGATGCGCTTTAACGCAGCACTTGAACAACTTATGAAGGCGACGGTCCAGACACTGGGTAATCCAGAGTCACGGCTGAAGTCGGCTCGGGCATGTGTATCGTTACTCTCGGAATATCCGGAGTTCAGCTCCGCAGAACTGGTGCTTCAGGCCCACTCGAAGATCATCCAGATCTTTCCTGAGATCGTGTGGCTTGGCCATAGTCTTGAGCGTCGATACAGCGAACTGGCTCAGCTGGGAAACGAGGTCAATTCAGCGGTCGCTGCTTTCATCCGGTTGCACTCGAGACACCAGGCTATCGAATGGATGGAAGCCGGAAGATCCCTCGTTTGGTCGCAGATGTTTTCTTTACGGCAGCCCTTGGGGGATTTAGAAAGGGTGTACCCCAAGCTGGCCTCGAGACTACGGCAGATCTCATCAGCGCTTCAGCACTTGGATAGTCTATCTCAGCCTACACAGGAAAGGTTTCACCTTGATAGTGGCCAGGCAGTTGCCAATGCTGATCACGGTATGCGTACAACTGCCGATGAAGGAGTCGTGCTTTCCTCGGTAGACCGTCGTAGACAATTGGCCATCGACTATGACGATATTCTGAAACATATTCGCGGCCAAGAGGGTTTTGAAGACTTCCTGCGCCCCGCGAAGATCAATAGTCTTCTCACGTCCATTGAACGCCTCGACGGGCCTGTCGTCTTCATCAACGTCCATTCGTCTTCTTGTGACGCACTTGTACTCTTCCCGAATGGTGGGATCGAAAACATAGCGTTACCCAAGCTCAGCGAGAGACACGCGCAGGGATTACGCTCTACCTGGACAAAGCTTTTGCGGTCATCTGGTCTGCGTGTGCGCGGTTCAACATCGGTTGGCAGCCTCGCAGAGGGCCGCATGGATATCCTGGGCACGGTCCTTGAACGACTGTGGACGTGCATCGTGAGCCCCATTCTCGATGCACTACATTTCGTGCGTCTTTTCGTCTTGTACCTCAATGTGTGTCCCTCATTGAACGTTTTATAGATGGTTGAAGTACCTGCCGCTGAACACAAGCTCCCGCACATCACCTGGTGCGCGACAGGGCCGTTGACACAGCTACCTCTCCATGCCGCGGGGATCTACGGCCAGCCGCAAACCCTCTCGCATACATACGATTTCGTTGTTTCATCATATACACCATCTCTTTCCGCACTCCTTCGCTGCCATCAACAACCAGGAACATACAAGCAGTTTCGCCCAAACGTGTTGATCATCGCACAGCCGGATACTCCTACATACGCCTCTCTGCCTCACACGAGAGTCGAGTGTAAACGACTGCGTGCCGCCATGCCGGAGAAAGCGTACACCTTCAAGTCCCTGATGCACGAGCAGGGGACCGTAGCGAATGCTCTGAATGGTCTCGGACATCATCATTGGGTCCATCTCGCGTGCCACGGGAAGCAAAGCGCGGATAATCCGACGCAGAGTGCGTTCGCGCTGTACGACGGCGAGTTGACATTGGCCGCCCTGATGGGCACTATTGCAGGGAATGCGGAACTTGCGTTCCTCTCCGCGTGCGAGACCGCTGTCGGTGACGAGAAGATTCCCGAAGAATCTGCCCATCTTGCGGCGGGAATGCTCGCGGTGGGGTTCAAAGGCGTTGTCGGGACGATGTGGTCAATCGGGGACGCCGATGCGCCTACCATCGTGGGAGCGTATTATAGGCGGCTTCACAAGCTGAGAGAGTCCAAGAGGGAGGGTATCGTTGCTCCAGGATATACGGGAGCGGCGTATGCGCTACATCATGCCGTGAAGGTCCTGAGGGAGCGAGTAGGTGAACAAAACTTCATGAAATGGGCTCCATACGTGCATTTCGGTGTATAATCAGTTTCGTTCGTGAAGCTATTGGTTCATATATCTGGTATCTTTACATGTTAAGGATCTCATGTCCTTTCTGCCTTTCCGCCACCGCACTTGTTCCTTCAAACATTGCCCCGTCTTTTCGTATCCCCACGCGTTCAGCCGTCGGTGCCTGCTGTACTCTGTACTCCTGTCGAACAATTATGAGCCTGAATAATACAATCCAGGTACAGTCTCACTTTCCGCCGCTGAGACATTTCGCGTATTCGGTGCGTTTCCCGTCGGATCCCGATAATGCAGACTCGGAGCGGCGACGCGTGCTGTTATAGGGGACAGGTACGACATGATATGGCGCCGAGGGTCATCGTCCTGAAGACGCGGATGTACAGTATCCACAAGAGATTGGCAGAGCGTGCGGGGAAGCGAGGGAGAATTGTGTGCGCGAGACGGTAGTGGTCCGTAACTAGGAGCACAGATGAGCGATGGCCACCTATCCATGCACTTGCCGGCGCCATTCTCACAGAGTATTTGGGATTTCAGAACCCAGGTTCTCCATCGATTGGCGTATAGATGCACAGTATACCAGAAGTATACTCTCGCCCTCACGCCCCTTCGAAGGACAACATTGCAAGCGCAAAAAAGATCAACTATTGTGACCAGTAACAGTAAGTACAGGGTTCATAAGAGAAACCTAGCAAGACGGTAGAAAAAGAAAACGGGCGCGGAAAGATGCATATATGTACGTATGTAGGAAGATCAAGGATAACGGGGATGTGTATATGGTGAATGTGAGCCAGACGGTGGGGGTAGAGGATTGAGATATCACGACGACGAACGTCCCCGGCAAAACAGCGAACATTATGTGAGAGGACGAGATGGAGCAACGAAGCACATTAGTCCCAAGAAGGCGATGCGCTGTACGCATGCGAGCGCTTGCCCTTCTTGTTCTGGTCGTTCTGCCCAGGGCTACTCGGTGACCATGCGGGCGATGCTGGCGAGTACGCGGGCGACGTGGGGGAGTATGCAGGAGCTAAAGACGACGATCAGCGCTCATGGCACAAATGTAAGGACATGACCGGGACATACAGGCTGGGGAGTACGAGGGCGATGTCGGCGAGTACTTGGGGCTCGACGGAGACGCAGGCGAAGTCGGTGAATATTTCGGACTCGTAGGCGAGTACTTCGGACTTGTCGGGCTCATCTGCCCCGGGCTCGTCGGCGAGTCTACAATCATCGTCAGCACACTATTCAAACAGGTCGGTTAGACGGTTACATACATCTCGGCGACACGGGGCTGAAGCTCGGGCTCGCAGGCGAGTAGTTCGGGCTGGTCGGACTGAAGCTGGGGCTGGTCGGACTGTACCGGGGACTCGTCGGGCTGAAGCTCGGGCTCGTCGGGCTGTAGCTCGGACTCGTTGGCGAGTATCCTGGACTTGTGAGGTTAAGCCCGGGACTCGTCGGCGAGTACGTTGGACTTGTTGCACCAGCGCGCGACCGGTCGAAGAACGGACTGGTCGCATATGGGCTCGTAGCGCCCGCGAAAGGACTCGTGGCGCCGCCAAACGGACTCGTGGGGACATACGGGCTTGTTGGACTGTACATCCCATGCGGCGAGCTCGGGCTCGTAGCGCCGTATGCACCAGGACCGGGGGACATGCCGCCAGCGCCGAGTGGGCTCTGGCCGAAACCGAGATAACTCGAGTACCCTCCTGCCTCCTCCGAACCGTTGCTCGCGAGCGGCGAGAAGCTCGCCTGCTCGCCCTTGTACGCCTCCTGCTGCCACATCGGGCTCGAGCTGTCGTACGGCGTCATCGCGACCTGGCCAGGCGTCATACCACCGTCCACAGGCATCGACATCAGCGAATGGATCGGCAGACGATGGTCGACGATGACGTCCTTGAGCATGTCGATATCGAGCGCGACGTCGAATGCACCGGTACCCATCGGCGCGATCTGGCCGAACAGAATGTTCTCCGCGACACCGTGGCAGTCATCGCGCTCGCCAACAGCAGCAGCCTCCATCAAGATCTCGACGGTCTCCTCGAACGACGAGCGCATGAGCGCGCCAGTATCCGCGCGGTTGATACCGTGACGAGTGATAGCCATGAGCGAGCCGCGGTGCGTCATAAGATCGCACAGAAGCGCGAGATGGCGGTAGTTGACGTACGAACCGTCGAACTCGATGACGGACCGCAACTCCTTGAGGATACTGTTGCGCGCTGCCTCGATACCGAGCACGTTGAAGATCTCAACGCACGAGTTGCTCGTCGTCCGGCGGAAGTCGACGCCGTCAATCGTCATCACCTGCTTCAGGTTGACGCCGTCCGTCTCGAGGACCCACTCCTTGCTCGCCTTGGGCTCGATCAGACCGTCCGGCATGATCTCACGCCTATCCTGCTCATTCAAGAAGACGCGCTGCACGCCCTTGACACCGCGGAGGTTAACGCTGTTAAGCATGGTGTTCTCCAGCTGGCGCAGGAAGATATCCTCCTCGATCGTCCCGAGCCCATCATCGTCCTTGTCCATAGCGCCCAGCACACGACAGCGAATAACGAGGTTATCGCTATTGTCGTCCGACCAGATAACGAACAGGTCCGTCCGGAAGTTCTCCGCGATCTTGCCAGCGACAAACTCCATCGTGAGCTTACGATCGATCATCTTCGCGCGGTCGAGCTCGAGACGGAGCAACCACGGGCTTTGGCGCGGGAGGTTCGCCTCGATCTCGTCGTCGGGGATAGCGAAGAAGGACTCGACAAAGTCCGCGTCGGCCTCGATGATCGTCTCCTTCGGATTCGGGTCGTACCAGATCTCGACGGCGGCAGTGACAGTGCGTAATGAGGTGTACACGAGCTCCTGCTGGACAGTCTTCGCCGCGACCTGCGAGCGGCCGTACTCGGGCTCGAGATAGATCGTGAGCGACGGTGTCTTGATGTTCACCGCGACGTTGATGATCTCCTTCAACCGCGGCACACCGAGCGTGACGTTCTTCGACGCGACACCGGCGTAATGGAACGTGTTCAGCGTCATCTGCGTCGCCGGCTCGCCGATACTCTGCGCCGCGAGCGTACCGCACATCTCGCCCGGATTCGCGACGGCCTGGTTGAACTTCGTCTCCACCTCGCCCATCACCCAATCGAACGCCGAGCGCGTGAGATGGAACTGTTCGAGCACCCTCCTCGCCGCAAACGTCGCGCGCACATGCATCCGGAAATTCGCCGTCGCGTTATCCTGCGCCTCGCGGCTAAGCGGGTCATCTCCGCGCACGATGACGATGCGCTCGCACAACGCCTGCACCTCCTGCACAATGACAGCCGGCGGCAGATCGCTCGGCTTCCTGCGGTCGATGTGGAAGATCTGCACCGCGTTCTGCACGATCCGATGCAGATTAACCGGCAGGTAGATGCTGGTACTCGAGTCGCCCTCCGCGAATACGAAGTCGCGGAGCATCGCGCGATCTCGCTGGAGCTGCGCGTACTCCTGATCGAGCAAGTTCTGCAGATCCAAGCTATTGTCGTCCACGCCGACCTGGAGCACGCCAGGCAAAAAGCCGCCCTGGGGATCCATAACGTCCACGCGATAGTTATGCTCGAACTCGGCGTCCGTGAGCGTGAACGTATCGATATGCTGCCGCTCGATAAACGCGCCGTCCATCCCGTCCTCGCCATACACGAACTCCAGCAGATCGCCGAGCGAGTTCCGCACCGTGCCGTCGTAGTGCACCATCACGTCCTCGAGCGCCTTGACCAGTCTCCGCTGGATGTACCCCGTCTCGGCCGTCTTGACGGCCGTATCGATGAGACCCTCGCGCCCGGCCATGGCGTGGAAGAAGAACTCCTGCGGCGTCAGCCCGCGCAGATACGAGTTCTCGACGAAGCCGCGCGCCTCGGGCGAGAAGTCGTCCTTCGTGAAATGCGGCAGCGTCCGATGCCGGAACCCGAACGGGATGCGCTTGCCCTCGACGGACTGCTGGCCCACGCACACGGACATCTGCGAGATGTTGATGAAGGACCCCTTGGAGCCCGCCACGACCATCTGCTTGACGTTGTTGTCCTCCTTGAGCGACTTCTGCGCGTACCGACCGGACGTGTCGCGCGCGAGGTTCAGCTCGCGCTCGACGGAGCTCTCGAACGACTCGCGGATCGTCATACCGGGCTTGGCTTTCAGCCTGTCGTGCGTGGCATCGTCCACGACCTTGCGCACGGCCTCCTTGTGCCCCGCGATGGTCTTCGTGATGAACCTCATCGTGCTCTGGTCGGCGATCGTGTCGCCGATGCCGATCGAGAAGCCGTTGTGGAACAGCCAGTAGTTGACGACCTTCTGCAGGCCCGTGAACAGCGTGCGCGTCGCCTCGGGGCCCTTCTCGCGGAACACGACGTGGACCAGACCGCCCATAGACGCGCCCACGGTCTTCTTATCCACAATTCCATATACGATCTCGCCGTTCTCGATGAGAATCCCGTCGTCGAAGACAGGGTGCGGGCTCTTAGGATCCGACGCGCGCGCGATGTTCACGCCCTTGGGAATCGTCATCGACAGAATCTGTTTGCCCGTCCAGAGCGGCTTGGGCCGGATGATGGCGGGCGTGGGGATCTCGCCGTTCCATTCGGGGAGCCAGAGGAGGATGTTCTGCACGGCGTTCCAGTCGAGGAAGCAGTCGCGGAGGGTAAACTTGCGGATACCGCACAGCGTGTCTTGCACGATACCCATGACGGGCTTGTTTGCCTGCGGAGAGATGATCTACGCATACAAGCGTCAGCGCCTTTGTCCGATCCAGGGTAACATGAGGGAGGCCTTACCTGCCGCGGCACCCAAGCGATCTGGCTGAGCTCAGCCCTCGTCTCCTCGCTCTGCGGAACATGCATGTTCATCTCGTCTCCGTCGAAGTCGGCGTTGTACGGCGGCGTGCTATCAATCAAAAGCAGGTCACCAAACGTGCTCACACGGAGCGTGCGCGCAGGTATACTTACACAGATAAGTTCAGGCGGAAGGCTGTAAAGCGCACAACGTCAGTTATAACCCTCATTCGACGTGGGATGAGTGAGAACGCACTGGAGTAGGGCATCAACTTCACCCGATGGCTCATCATCGACATCTTATGCAACGACGGCTGGCGGTTAAACAGCACATAATCGCCGTCCTTCAGATGCCGCTCGACGATCCATCCGTACTGCAAGAACGCGTCCGTACGCTTGTTGTACCGCAGATCGATACGCTCGCCCGTATCGCGCACGACGTATCGCGCGCCGGGGTAGGCCGTGGGACCGTTGCGCACGAGCTCTTGGAGGTAGGCGATGTTGTAGGGGGTGACGCGTTCCGGGTAGGTGAGCGTCATTGCGACTGAGCGCGGGACGCCGACTTCGTCGAGCTCCAGGTTCGGGTCGCCCTACGATGCACATAATGTCAATACACCGCTACACTGAACATCAGGAGAAAGAGGCATACCGTGATGACAGTCCGCGCAGAAAAGTCCACACGCTTCCCCATCAAGTTCCCGCGCAACCGCCCCTCCTTGCCCTTCAACCTCGCACGAATGGCCTTCACAGGCCGCCCGGACTTCTGCAGCGCCTGTGGGATGCCGGCGATGTCGTTGTCCATGTACGTCGCGACGTGGAACTGATCGGCGTCGCATCAGCAAGTGAAAAAATGGAGAAGAAGAGATAAAGCGGACCTGGAGCAGCTGCTCGAACTCGGTGATGATGTGCGCGGGCGAGCCCTCCTGCTCGCTCTTGCGGACGTTCGCGGACGCCTTGATGATTTCGCCCAGCTTGTACGTCAGGTCGTCCTCGCTGCGCATCGCGCCGCCGTCGACGGCGATACTCGGGCGGACCTACAATTCCACAATCATTTTCAGCTCTCGTCCATCGAAAGTAAGGAATGTAGAGGGAGACGTACAGGAGGCGGCGGCACAGGCATAACAGTCAAGATCATCCACTCCGGGCGCGCGTATTCGTCGCTCAGGCCGAGCGTGGTGAGGTCGTTGTCCGGGATCTTGCGGAGGGTGGTGTAGACTTCCTGAGGCGAGAAGAGGCGTTTGCTCGGTTCGAGCGCTTTGCCGTCCTACACATCACCAGTGTGAGTTTCATGAATGAAGCAGAGGATGGGGTGAGATGGGAAGGGGCGTACGTCGTCCTCGTCCTTGCCCTTCTTGTACTGCAAGAACAGCTTCAGACCCTCTTTCCTGATCTGCGGCTGGACGTGCCCGCATCCGCCGTGCCCGGGCTTGCGGTCGCCTTCGTCCTGGCCCTCCTCCTACAATATCACCACACACACATCAGCGTCTGTTTCTGAGAATGAGAGGGAGGGGAGAGGGTGTACCTTGGGCTCGTCGGGCTCGCACACCGTCTTGGCCTTGCAGTAGTTCCATACGACGGCCATGCGCGCTTTGGCGTCCTTGCGGACGAGGAAGAGCTTGGCTTTGAAGGCTTCGTCGCTGGCCTGTTCGGTGTGCGACAGGTCGGAGTAGGTCGAGGTCGGGTTGAAGTTGACGGGAGATATGAAGAAGGTGCAAGGTCAGCATATCCGGTGACTGGGATAGCACAGTGGGAGTGCGACAACGGGAGTCCATCCATCCATCCGACAACAACATCATCTCCGCTCTCATCTCCCCACAACGACCACATCATCAACAGCAACGACAACAGCGACACGGAAAGGCCAACGCAGACCGCTCCGTCAGAGCGCCCGCACGACCACCAGCACATCCAACCAAAGCGGCGCGCTCAACGCAGCACTCGCATACAAGCCCCCATTTCGCCAACAAACGCGCGCGTCCAGCCATCCGTGCGCCATGCAATGCCACGCGCGCCCCCAGTGCTGGCCCGTACCCTCTCCACAACCCCCTAGCGTGAGCCCACTAGAGAGTATAGTGGAGAAAGCAGAGGAGCCCACTCGTTATGTATTGGGAAAGGGCGCGCGGGCGACGACGGGGAGGAGGAACGGCCCCCGTTGATATCCGCAATCCTGGGCGGGGATTGGGAGGGGCGCGGGACGCGCGTTGGGCTTGGGTCGCGTGGACCCTTGAAATACCATCGGGATGGACACGGGGAGCACGGCGCACTTCTCTCCCCCTCTTTCTTCGTTATAGAGAACACGAAGAGGCAAGGGGGGAGGTGCGCAAGCGAGAGGGACGCGAAGGACTTACGGCGTCTGCTTTGAGCTTGCCGCAGTTGACGCAGATGCATTCGAGGATCTTTTTCACTTTGATGATGAATCCTGTGAAGCGAGTAAAATATCAGCATTCTTTGTTCGTGCGAGTAGATGTTCGGAATTGGCATTGGGAGTGAGGGAGGTGCTGTGTTCGGGCGGGTCTGGCGCGCGGAACCGCGACGCGGGCAGAGTCACAAACACGCGGCGTCCGCGCTGACAAATCACACGCGCTCGGCCTGCCCGTCACTCCCTCCTCAACAATAACCAGTCCTCTGCCACCCTCCCCTCCCGCCTCTCTTCCACACAAAACATAAATCAAGATATACGCACCCGGATGAAACACCGGCCGCGCGAGCTCGATGTGCCCGAAATGGCCCGGGCACTCGGACATGCCCTCGCCGCAGGTCTGGCACTTGAAGTTGCGGTCGATGGTGCCCATGCGCGGGTCCATCAGGCCGCCCACTTTCGCCTTGCGCGTCGTCTCGTCCATCACTTCGGGGTGCTCGATTTTCGCGACGCTGTAGGCTTTCTGTGGGGGAGGTCAGGTTGGGGTGCGTGGGAAGAGAGGAGGCGGGGAGGTGGTGGACAATGGCATATCGAGAAGTTTGAAGGTATAGTATATGTTATAGTGTAGGGTGATGTAGGATGTGTAGAGAATGCATTGTATGTAGTAGAAATAGAAAAGGATGGGGCAGGGAGGAGAAAAGAGAGACGACGCACGATCTCCTCCGGGGAGAGAATCCCAAACTGGACCTCCTTCACGCGCCGGATGGGCGCAGCCGAGTACGCAAACTGATGGCCGATCATCCTGCTGCTCCTCTATCCGTTCCTTCGACCGGCCGACTTCTTATTTCCGAACAAGAGGCGAGACAAGAGTTGTCGCGCGGTGCGGGTGACGAGGCGGGTGGCGGAGACGCCGGGTGTATTATTTTTCGCTCCCTTGCTTTCTATTCGTTCAAGGATATAGATGGGAGATAGCTGGGAGGAAAGAGGAGGATATGCGGGGAGGTGTAAAATAAGGTGGTGGTGGGGAGAAGGCAACCACCGATGGTCGCGTCAGCCGCGCGGCGCGTCACTCTTGTCCTGTCCACTCACCATGACTTCGCTCGGAACCTGGCTTTGGGGCTCCTCCCAGCTCGACGAGGCTGTCGGTAAATACACAACCCTACTCTCACACATAACTAGTATACTAATATGATAATAAAGATAAAGCGACGAGCGAGCTACTTCCCGCCGGAACGGAGGACATCGCGCTGAACCTCGAGATCTGCGACCAGATCCGCTCAAAGTCCGTCCAGCCCAAAGACGCAGCGCGCGCCCTCAAGCGGCGGCTGAACCACAAGAACCCGAACGTGCAGCTCCTCGCGCTGGGACTGACGGACGTGTGCGTGAAGAACGGCGGCGACCATTTCCTGGTCGAGGTCGCCAGCCGCGAGTTCATGGACAACCTCTCGTCACTGCTACGCTCGCCCAGTATCAACGGACAAGTCAAGTCCAAGCTGCTTAGATTTATCCAGAACTGGGCGCTGGCGTTCGGGCAGAAGCCGCAGCTGGCGTACGCGGGCACAGTGTACCGCGAGCTCAAGCGCGACGGGTTCGACTTTCCGCCCGAGGACCCGGCGTCGCTGTCGACGGCCATGGTCGACACCGCCACCGCGCCGGAGTGGATCGACAGCGAGGTGTGCCTAAGGTGCAGGGACGCGTTCAGCTTTACGAACAGGAAGCACCACTGCAGGAACTGCGGGCGCGTGTTCGACCATAAGTGCTCGGCGAAGAGCCTGCCGCTGCCCCATTTTGGCGTCGCGCAGGAGGTCAGGGTGTGTGATGGGTGTTATAAGGATTTGACGAAGAGTAAGGCTGGGGAGGGGAGCGGGAGTAAGGGACATGCGCATGGACATCGGAGTAGTAAGAGTGTCCCCGGCGGGAGCTCGAGGAAGAGCGCGAGGGCGTATGAGGACGCGGAGCTCCAGCGCGCTATTGCTCTTTCGCTCCAAGAGACCTCTGCGCGCGGCGAGCACGGTCGGCCAGGATACGTGCCCTACCAGCCTCAGGTAAGCCGAATAAGTGTTAGGCGCCGAAGCACAACACTGATGTTATCTGTTCCGCAGTACGCCGCATCCGAACCGCCTCTGGCAGCGGGAGACGACGAAGACGCAGACATGAAAGCAGCGATCGAAGCTTCCCTCCGCGAATCGTCCGCCCCGCGTCCCTCAGCACCACTTGAAACGCCCCGCGCCGAGGCCCCATCATTCAACTACGGCTACGCTAATGGGACATCTCAATCGTACCCGCCGTACTCATCTTCTACCACGCCTACGCCGTACGCGCCATATGGAGCAGGAGCTCAAGCGGCGCCGGTACCGACGAGTCCGAACGAGCTGAGCCCGTTGGAGGCGGATACGATTATGACGTTCTCGCAGACGGTTGAGACGCTCGCTGCGCAGGGTGGGCGCGATCTGGGGAGGTATCCGGCGCTGGGAGAGTTGAGGGAGAAGGCGGCGGGGTTGAGGCCGAAGATGGCTGTGGGGCTCGAAGACGCCGGTCGGAAAGAGGGTAAGTATCATACGTCTCGATCGAGAGTAATGTGGCTGATGCTATATGGGACAGACTTGTTGGCGGAAATGAACGATAAACTGGCACAAGCTGTCAAGCTGTACGACTCGCTTTTGACGGAACAGCTGTCCCGCCCAAGGCACTCGTATGTACCGCAATATGGTCAACCACAGCAGGCGTACGGTCAACCGCAACAGCAGACGGCGTATGGCCAGCCGCAACATCAGGCCTATGGACAACCCGCGTACGGCCAGCAGCAGCCAATACAGCCCCAGCAGACGGGTTACCAGCCGTCGTACACCCCAGCTCCGCCACAGCAGCAACAGGCCTACGCTCCGCAGCGCCAGCCGACGCAGCCGTATACGCCGCTTCAGCCGCAGCTTACTGGTCTTCAGCAGCAGTACCCGCAGCACGTCGCGTCGCCACCACCTCTGCAGCAACAGCAATCATACGCCCCGCCACCTCCGCAACAGCAACAGGCATACGCCCCACCGCCGCCACCGGCCCAACAACAACTCACATCATCGCCTCCGCCCTCTCAACCCTCTTACGCGCCCCAATCATTCGCACCACCGCCTCCCCAACCGTTCGCGCCGCAGCCGCCGCAGCCCGTCATGTCACCGCCGCCGGTCCAGTCGTCGCCTGTACAGTCGTTCGTGCCGTCCGCCCCACCGCAGACACAGGCTTATGCGCCGAGCGCGCCGCCGCCTGTTATGTCGCCGCCGCCTGCGTCTGTCGTATCGCCTCAGCAGCAGTCGTGGCAGCAGCAATCGTATGCACCGTCCGCACCGCAGTCGTACGCACCACCGCCGCCCGCCCAACAACAACAACAGCAGCAACAACCGACCTACGCCCCTCCGCCTCAGCAGCAGCAATACCAGCAGCCACAACAGCAATACCAACAGCCCCAAGCCATGCCCGTGTTCCCGTCTGCGCCGACGACGGTGCCTGTGCCGACGTATTCGGCGCCGGTGGTGCAGCAGAGGGAGGTTGCGTTGATTGAGCTTTAGAGTGCTTGGGTTCGGGCTGTCGGAAGTGGACGGCATGGGCGGTGGATAATGCCAGTACTTAGGAAGAGACGAAGACGGTTGAGTGGGGTGGAAGGGATCGGAACGGACTGGATTGAAAGGATCGAGTACTTATTTTACGTGATGCTTCTTGGAATGAATGCGCGATGTGCTGGTTTGGAGTTGAGTTAGAGTGTTATGTATACCGATATGCTTGGTGGATAGGCTATAGTCTGTGCTCTATCGACGACTCAACGTCTACTGGTAGCGTTTACATGGTCTGCAATCTGGTGAATATAGAGACCGGGCAGTCCTTTGGCCCGCGCGGCTGCGAGCCTCCTCGTTGCGTAGACGGGTATGCGTAGCTTGGGCAGTAGGTATATATTGAGCACGCATAGACTAACAGTACTATGACGAGCGAAGTGTTAAGTACAGGTTCGTGATCGGACAGCTCGAGGAGTCGACGCCGCGTAGTTGCGCGGTCTCGGATGTGGGGAAATCGAACCCCGAGGCCAGCCCGAAGTGGCGTGGCAGCGCGTCTTGGCCCCGCATTTCACGGCCTTTCAGTATTAACCGTAGATCTTGATGGATATCTTCTACTGCCACGCCCAGGTCCTCATATGCGTCCCGGCGAGCCCCACCGGCGCGCTGTGTCTCTCGCTCAACGTTCTCTTAACCGATGACCAGATAGTATACTGGTCGGCTTCCGAATAAACAACTGCTTGAGTCTTACGTTCACAAAGACAAAGTTCTCGTCAACTTGAACAAACTCGACATGACATAGCAAGTGGTCGCTCCAAGGAGCGTGCTATACATAACAACTCTACGAGTCTACAGTGTGTAGGGGATATCGTAGCTTTGTGAGACGTTTTACCTCGGCGAACCTCACAATATATTCCGGGTAGCAATCGCGGAAGCTGTAGCTGAGCTTTAGATGACGAAAGGCTGGCAGGGAAGCACATTTATCGAGAAGATTGAATAAGTGTTGCGTGTTTTCGTCGGAGACATGGAGAGGGAGATGCAAGTAAAAATATCGGGCCGAGTTTATTTCCCCTCCCTCGAGAGGCTTTGATTTTGCATCAATAGAGTCGTACTCGACGTCGGCGGTACTGAAAGCGTCAGTTGCTGTGGACGCGGCGGAAAAGTATCTACCGAGGGCTTCCGTGAGCATGGAGAAGTGGGCGGCCTGATCTTGCTCCTCGTCCTCGTAATCCCGCCCGAAAGTTGCAACGCAAGCTGAACTGGGAAAGGCGAGGTAACTGAAGATCGAAACGATCGTGTTGAAGGATCCCTCGACACGGAGGAGCGCGAGGCGGTCGAGGGGCACACAGCGAAGGCGATGGACAAGCGAAGGTGTCGAATCGAAGAATGCATTGCCATCATCGGTACCGTAGTCGTGGTACACAAGTTGCTCCAGGCATGGAGTCGCTTGTAGACAGCGAACCAAATCGTCTACATTGCTCCAACATTGGACCTCCACCAAGATCAGTTGTCGGAGGTGACGTGTATGAGCCAGTCGTAGAGGCAACACGATGCAAGCTTGAAGTCGTAGTATCCTTAGCTGTGGCGTGGGCCCTTGCGAAAAGATCTCGGCCGAGAAGTGGGGGACGTCATAAACTGGCGGCGAGTCCTCGTGCCAGTAAAACTCCATGTCAACTTCCTCCAGCAGAGCCATCGGGTTTTGTTGCAGGCATCTGGCGACATGTGCCACGAATGCGATGTTGTCCGAACGGTTCGGCCCTTCATATGCGTTGCGGCGCCCGAAGTTGAGGTCCAGCGTCCGTACCCTTCCCAAGTGAGGGAGAATAGAGCGAATGGCCTGCTGGCACTCTGGCTCGTCCCATCGGGCACCCCAGGGTACAACAAATTCAATAGGACTCTGTGCACATCGCGAAAGACAGAGGTCTGCCCACTGCGGAGCGCCTTCGGTTCGCGGGAGCACCGACCAGAGTCCCGGTCGGGAAAGGATGATGGTCCTCCACCGTCGGCAGACATGAGACAGTCTGTGGTCCAAGGGGGCACAGCGCACGATGTCAATAGCTCGGAACCCATCGTAAAGAGCATCTTTCTTTCCCATGCTCAACATCAGGATTGTGACCAGCAGTTCGGGCGGGAGATCGTTGACGTGTGTACGGTGTGGGCCAGAGACTTCGGGGCTCGCCGTCGCGATTGCAACCTGAATAGACATCGCTGTCGGCCGTGGCTTGTCAGAATAAGCGGGTTTCGTGTATTCCGTATCGATACTCACTCGCAACGTCGACCCAGGCGGCTGGAGGCAAGGTGCGCGTGCAGCGCGTCCACACAAAGCCGGCGTGAGAACCGGTTGGACACGGTCCGATGCTGTGAGCGGAGACACTGCCCGTGGCTGCGGCCGGTGGCTTCTTGCAACCACCACCACGATCTCTTATAGCTGGAATGATGATTCTTTGCCCTTCATCGCGTCCTGAACGTCCAATCGCATAATATGCATGCCAGTCTCTCTGTGCCAGACAGCGCCACTTCGTCTTGAAGCTCGCTGGCCCTAAGCGGTTCGCGGACCTTTCCCTTGCCGAATCGTCCTTCTGGCTGGGGAGACTCGACAACCTTACCTTCCTTCTTCAACTCTTCAACAATGCCGCGCATTGCGAGCCTTTATTTCTTGTCCGATCTCAAAACCCACACGATCTTGGGACCATGACAGTGCCTCGAACCACACGTCGACCACAACAATGACCATGGTCACGACCTTGAACGGCGCCAACCACAACACGACTGACGTGCCCGTTTCTCGCAGTATAAAAGACCTCGCTCATAGGTCTCTCTCCCTTCACTACCTCAATACGAACATCCGCACTCCCTCACACTCTTACACGATGGGTAGCTTCGTCGAAGCAGGCTGGCACGTCGTTAGTCACAGTCCAGTTCCTTTTACGCGTCATGATCGCTCACAAGCTTGTTCTTGTTCTAGGCTCGCGAACTATATTTTGCGGGACGTGAGTGTGGGATTCTCGTAAACCCTTCTCCGGAGCACGAATGGCAGCGGTACGTGCGCCATGTTCGGTGTGAAATCTGCACAGACGAACGTGCCGCGGCGGCTTGGAAGCTAGGGTTCACGTCTGTACGTTCTCTGCCCCATGATATTAGGAATAGTGTACTGATACAACCATCCATACCAGGCCCTCGAGTATCTACACACGAACAATGTCCAACGCAACCCACCCCAACCTACACTATTGTCCACGCCACCAAGGGCACAGACGCTGTCTACGACATCTGCGAATGGTGCTTCCGAGCCCCAAAGGGTTCGGACTCAGGACCTTTCGGAGACTGCTGCCGTCAAGGTCGAAGACGTCGAATACGATGAATTGGTATACGAACCTATAGAGGATAAGCTAACGGATTTGGTTCCAGACGCGGCAACTTTAGCCGTGCTCGATTGTTTTCTTGTCAGATGGGACGAGCGATCCGGGGCGGGCTTGCGCCACGCCATCGACCAGCGGGGAAACCCGGCTTTGACACCTGCTATGCTGTACACCGATGTCGCAGCTCAACCTGATGGCAACAAGTACAAAGCTGTTGAAAAGAGCGGCGACGCGAAGATATTGTGCCCCGTATGCCTCAAAACGTTCGTGAATTTGAGGGTTACTGAGCGACACATCGACGGCTTCTTGTTTTCGAAGGACGCTGTTTCGCCCGAGCATATCGAGTACGCGAAGAGCAGTCAGTATGCAAGCATTAGGAAGTCCGCGCCGTTGAAGGACCCTGGATCGTGTCCTTTCTGCGCCAAGCAAATTCAAGGCGGAAGGGGCGACTCGTTGAAGAGGCACATAGGGATGTGTCAGGCGCATAATGCGGTCTAGTTACAGAGAAAGATGTCATCGAATAGGGTATACCGAATATAAAGGATGCATTGTGTTGAATGATTCTCGAGCATGATGAGCATTAGTGAGCTGAGCGAAGACGGGCTTGGTAGTCCAGCGACCTTGACAACTTTTGGCAGCGATACACAGAGTTCTGCATTGTAGGTTCATCGCAGTCCGCTAAGGTCACAAATACGGGATGTGCTAGGGCAAAGAAGAACGCGTCGTAAGCATGGGCATGAGCAGGCATGAGCGCTCGGCGGTGTGATCTCGGGCGAACGGCGCGCGCCGCGGATATCTTTCACCGCCACTACCGCCACCACCACCACCACCACACTCCTCGAGCTTTGTCCTTTGACTGTCACCTGCGCCGTACAGGCCGACTCACTCTGTGCCAGGAGATTCTCCGCCGGTTCTGCTGCCACGGCAACGCAACGCCACATTGCGAATTCGCTTCAGGCGGTCCTTCGCACTGTCGGCCGCGCTGAGTGGCGCGTTGCCTTCCGGCGTTTACGCTCCGACACAAACCTTTGGGACGCGGTCAAAGAAGAAGCTCCAGATGGCGAATGCAGGAAGGTTGTTGAACAGGAGAGGCGAAAATAGAGGAGAGAAGCAGGGTGATACGAGTTCAGAGTACGCGTGTAGAATCCTTCCAAACATGTGTTCTTGCCCCAGTCAATGCAAAGGGTCAACATCCCAACTGCCTTGCCTGTGATTCTACGCGTACGCGTCATCCATCGCTGGTCGTGCCTTTGTGGCGATCGTAACTCGTCCCGATGTGGTTCACTGGCGTACATGCATGCCACGCGTAAAGCTTCCCTTTGGCTTCGGAAAAGCCCACGCTCTATCAGGCACACCTTTTCTCTCAGAGAGGTTGCGCCTTGTGGGATTGTATCTGTGGTCTGAGCTCGGAAAGACAGGCTCGTTGCGATGCCGAAACGACATGGCGCTCGTAACCACATACTGTGCTAACGACGAGACAGCTGAGGCCGCTTGCTCATGATAGTATAAAAGACCCTACTCATAGTTTGCTTCAGCTACAGAACTCGTGCATGAGTACCTCGACCCCCTCGCACTCTTACATGACGGACAACTTCTTCGAAGCAGGTTGGGATATTGTGCGTCATCGTCCATTTTGTTCTTGTAATGTTCATGTTCATGTTCATGTTCCTTCCTACCTTAGGGTTGCGCTCGCTACCTTGCGACATGCGGGAAGGATAGCAAAGTATCCTTGGTGGAGGAGGAATGGCAGTTGTACGTTCGTGGTGCCGTAGCCGAAGTGGACGAACACGCCGCGGCAGATTGGAAGCTAGGATTCATGTCTGTGCGTATTTTGAGCATATCGAGGGTGTCAGAACAGATACTGACGTGAATGCCTACTATTATAGGGCTTCAACTCTCGGGGAACGAACCATGTATCGGTCGACCGCGACCCGTCGCCGCCACCTTCCAGATCGACGTCTTCACTTCCAGGCGTACAATCGCTGTCAACACCTTCTATGGAAGACCACTCGGGGTCCGAGATGCAAGTCTCGGAATGCTCGGCGACAGCCGCTTTCAAGACCGAGGATGGCGAGAACGACGAACTAGAGCATGAATCTACCGATCCATCACATGCGGAGCTAGCATTGTCCCTGCTCGGTCTTGTTGTCATCGAATGGGAAGGGCGCTACATGGCGCGTGAGCGTTACGATTCAGATAGGACGAACGTAAATCCCGTCGTGAAATACGCCACGGTCGCTGTATGTGATAGGGACTACGTGGGCGGAGGAAATCACGCAAAGATCAAGTGTCCTGTGTGTTCAGAGACGTTCGTGACGATGCGGACTGTCGAGCGCCATATCGACGGTTACCGATTTGAAAAGTACCCCAAGAAGGCTCAATTCCCATTGGCTCACTTCGAGTATGCGAATAGCGGTTGGTATGCGAAGCATAGGTTGTCCAAACGGCAGCGGGACCCGGGATCGTGTACCTTGTGCGGGAAGAAAGTCAGCGGTGGGAGAGAGGACGCGTTGAGGGTACATGCGCAGTCGTGCAGCAAGGCACGCAAGGCTACGGAATGTTCTGACAAATAAGGGGAATATGTTCAAGTAAGGCTTCATAGCTGGTATATTCATCAATGGCACCCTGTGTTCCTAGCAAGATTGTAAAGCTTTTATACTGCGTCAAAGGATAGCGACGAATACATTGGCAGGAGCCATGGATTACAACACTATTTAAGGCTCGTGGCGCCAGGGTAAGTACAGGCGATGTTTGGGTATGGAAGATATGATATCGTCAATAAGTGTTGGGAATCTGTCATGCATGCCTTCACCAAGCTCTATTTCGTCGGCTTCGTGCATGAGTGGCAGCGAAAGACAGGCATGAACGATTTGGGAGATCTGGGCGAGGCGCATATCTGAAGAGAAACTGAACTCGAAATGAGCGGGGAGACCCTTGTTTGCTTGGGTACGCGGGAGAGAGATGGTTGCATAGACTGAGAATATATCCAGCGACACTTTATCAAAGCAAGCATCGACTGCAAGCTGCCTGGAAGTAAAGTGGCACACAAGTGCTTCGGAAAGCATTGCGGCATGCGTGTTCGATATCTCGTCATCATGGGTATCGTAAAAACCGAAAGTGTGAACTTCTGTCGACAGAGGAATGGCGACGTAGCTGAAGATGGCGACTTGAACGGCGAACATGGTGTCAAGTTCAAGGTAACGCAAGTCATCGAGGCGCACGCAGCGAAGCGGATATATATGCGATCGCGTGGCGTTGAAAGGTACACCATCGTCCTGAATCCGAGGAAGATGGTATACGAAGCGTCCAAGCAAGGGGGTGGCTTGGAGGAATTCGATCACCCCATCGATATCATGCCAGCACTGAACATTGTAAAGCACGAGATGGAACAATGAAGATGCACGCAACGATGTTGCTTTTCTAGCGAGATGGTCGGTAAAGGAAATGTCCCTCAAACGCGCGACTTGTTCGCGACGAACTTCTTCCGTTAATGGAAAGTTGGGACTACGTATAAAAGCGTCGACGAGCTGGTAGGGAAAGTTGACATCCATTTCCTCAAGTATAGAGGCTGTGTGACTCGCAATAGTGTTTGTGAGAGCCTCCAGAACGTCGATGAGGAAGACGATCTCCTGACGACCGCGATGGTCAAGATGGAGAAGGTCGAGACCGAGATGCAAGTCGATAGAGCGTGCCCTATGCAGGTGAGGCAAGATCATTTGAATGGCCTGTCGGAGCTGAGGTTCAATCCAGAGAGCCTGTACATGTATATGGAGATCGAGAGGGCCGTTCGGGCAGCGTGTGAGGCAAAGTTCAATCCATTCAGGCGCTTTGGAGAGGTGGATGGTTGACCAGAGTGCTGAGCATGCTAGCGCGATGCATCTCCAGCGTTGACAGACGTGTGTGAGCTTGTAGTCAAAGGGAGAGCATCGATGTACAGCCTCAGCTGACCGAGCGGTCGCGGCTCCGCTCGAGTCGTGTACGCGCATCTTCATGATGTGCTCAAGCAGTTCGGGTGGAAGGTCGGTGATGGTGCCCATTCTCCTCAATCGCTCAGATAAAGCAGATCTACTTAATGTCCCGTCAGCGTCTGTCCCATTCATAGCACGTAGACATCAGTGACGTACTTGCTCGAAATGTACGTGCTGTGACGGCGAGAGGCAGGTCGCTCGTCGTGCCGCGGCATTATGATTATCGCACCCGTTGATGGCGGAATAATAGCGAATAATCGCCGTGCGGTCATATCTAGGCTTTCTTCGAACTTTCATCATAGACCACCATGGGCTCAACGATATCTCGCGTGCGCTCGGTCTTACGCCTACTGCTCGATATGAAAGCGGAGTTCGACGCGGTTGAAGCGCGGTTGAAGCGCTCGCCGGGTTTGCCGGCTTCCTCACCAAGCTCGGCGACGACCGAACCGTTCTGGATGGTGCCGCCTGCGACAATTGCAGATCACCAGCCTGAGAAATTGCCTGAGACCGTCGACGTGGTCATCATCGGGTCTGGCATAACCGGGGCGAGCGTGGCGAGGGCTCTTCTAGATGAGCATGGGTCGGGTCTGAAAGTGTTGATGCTCGAGGCTCGCGCGGCGTGCTCGGGCGCAACGGGCAGGTATGCCCTTGTAACCTTCCTGCTGTACCGTAAAAACGATAAACAATTCCTGCGTATGAAGAAATGGAGGGCATGTCAACCCGCCGCTATTTCACGATTATCTTGCACTCCGAAAGGAGTTCGGGCGCGAGGTCGCCGCCCAGACTGTACGCTGGCGCTTGTCGCACTTAGTCGCTCTTCAACGCGCAGCAGAAGCAGAAGACGCCACTGAACATACTCAGGTTCGAATAGTCGAGAGCTTAGACGTCTACTATTCGCTCGAGGCACTCGAGAAGGCGAAGGAAGGACTGGCAGCTTGGAAAGAGGATATGCCGGAGGAGTCGCGGGACGTTCACTGCGTTGAAGGCGAGGAAGCTCAGAACGTATGGTTCATTGTCAACCCTCTCAGTTATCTGCGACTGACATGATTCCATAGAGATTTCGTGTCGGGCCTGGCGCCTTAGGAGTTATCTCAACGCCCGGCGGGGCAGCTCACCCCTATCGACTGGTCACGACGATCCTCGCCGGCCTCCTCAGACGGCACGCAGGCACATTCTATCTTGCGACTCATACACCGTGTACAGCTATCAACTCCCCGTCAGACCAGTCCGGGCTCTATACATTGCGTACGCCTCGAGGTACAGTACGGTCAAGTCACATCGTACATGCAACGAACGGGTGGACCGCACATCTTCTACCTGGTTTCCGGACGAAGATCGCACCAGTCCGCGCGCTCATGTCTGCGCAGCGTCCTGGGACCGGACTTTCTTCCTCAATCACATCTCACCATCAGGACTTCTCATCATCCCAGTCCACGCTCGCGCCAGCGCCGACCGAGCCCGGCGGTCGCGCACACGTCTTCTGGACCGGTTCGATGGGATACGACTACCTCACTCAACTCCCTACGGGTGGGCACGAACTCATGTTCGGTGGCGGCTTTGCGCGCGCGGCGCACATCTCGTTGGACGAGATTGGCGAGATGGATGATGGCGGTCTGGACATCGGCATCGCGACACACGTAGGCGGAGCGCTGCCCATGTACTTCGGCCTTCAGAACTGGGGCAAGGAAGGCACCGATGGTGACAATGTTGATGAGAAGGAACGGTGGCTGGAAGGACGTGTGAAGGCGATGTGGACGGGCATCATCGCGATCTCTGTCGACGGTCGGCCATGGGTCGGCCGAGTGCCGACTAAGGTCTCCGAGCGCTCAGAGCCTCATGCATCGCTCGCTACGCGGGTGTACGCGTCGAAAGAGCACAATGCGCGCACTGCACCGCCAGGAGAATGGATGGCTGCAGGTTATACGGGAGAAGGGATGACCAATGCTTGGCAGGCTGGACGGGCGGTGGCTCCACTACTGCTGGGGAAAGAACCCGAGGAACTTCCCTTACCTATGCGCGTTACTGAACGGCGCTGGCGTGAAGCCAAACTCGAGAATCTTTTGGACCGGATGTAGCACCGTGTGGATTTGTTTCTCGCTGATGTCACTGTGGAGAGGGGCCGGGCTGCCTGTGAGGCCTGGAAGGGATGCGCCGTGGTGGCCAATGTTGTTCCTACTCTACGAGACGCGCGCCGAAAGGCGCGGACATGCTGACTAATGCGTGGGAATATCGCTCTACTACTCCTCCTCCCTCCGTCTCTCTCCCTCCTCCTTGGTATCCTACTCCATCTGCCCCCCACTAAATAAAGCGGCGTCCGCGCCGCAATCACGATACACGCTTCCTCTTCCTGAGTCGACCCTCCCATGGTGCCGTACCATCATCGCCATTCGTCCCACTTTCTCTCGCCTCGCCCTCATCCTCTGCTCCGCCCGCATCATCATCATCGTTGCCATCTCCTCCCATAGTCAACCGCCGCTCCACCTCCCTTAGTGCCTCCCAATCGTGTTCGCCCTCGCTCTCGTCCGTGTGCTCCTCATCCCCTTCCCGATTCCCATCCTCTCTCTCTCCTCCTGCTCTCGCTTGTGCGGTCCGACCCACCCCTACGTCAGTTGCGTCCGCGCCGTCCTTTTCTTTCAACGCCTGCATGAATTTAGTCTGCTCTGATGCAAGTTTCGTGCCTGCACGCGGCGTGAATTCGCGCAGCCTGCGGGCGCTAAAACGACCCTTGAGCACCGTTCCCGCACGATCCTCCAGCGTGTACGAGTTTGGCGCGCATTCGCGCACCCGATACGGTTCTGACCAGAACGCGAGGAGCTTCCGGTCCGCCGATAAGGTGAACTCGAGATCGTTGCGGCGGTATTGCACCAGCTGGCCGCGATGGAACGATCTGGCCCCGCCATCGCGCTCGACGCGCCGGTCGAATTCGGCCTTGCGTCGCAGCGCATTACGCAGGACGGCATCGCTTGCATCAAAACGTTGCTGTTCCGCATACGCCTGGTGCATGGCGATCTCGTCAGCGGATGGTGCTACGGAGGCCTCTGACGAGTTGGGGGACGACTTAGCATTGACAACGAGACCAAGCAGGAGCTCGCGTGGGGTAAAGCCTATGCGCGGAAGGATGCGATTGTTCAGAATGTTGACCGCTTCATCGAGGTAATCCGGCCACTTCGTTGGAAGCTCGTCCCACGAGCCCTCGACGTAATCATCTTCGCCTAGAGCAGGTGCACAGAGGTGCTTGAGAACATGGAGCAGTAGCTTGTTCGTATTCTCGCACAACCCGTTGATCCACGGTGAATATGCTGCAATGACCTTAGCTCGGCATCCGCGCGATGCGCAGAACTCACGGACGCGTTCATTGTCGAAGTGACTGCCACCATCAGTCATGAACGTTCCGTACGGCTGATACGTGTCGAAAATGCGCTTGAGGGTCTTGTTGGTCGTTGTACCGCTGCCCGCGACCCTAAACTTGTCAACGTAGACATGTTGCGAGAAGACGTCAACGTAAACACCTAACGTTTTGTGACCACCCTTTCCGACAGGAAGGGTCAGGTAGTCGCCAACAAGCAGCTCGAATGGTGTGCGACGAGTGATGGGGTCCAGCAGCGAGTTGAGGTGAGCCGGTCCGAAAGCTTTACACTGCGGGCAGTCCTGAATAGCCTCCAGGATGATATCGTCCAGTTTCGGGCAGACGATCCTGTCGAGGAGCGCCATCTTAACCGCGTCGCGGCCCCAATGACCGCCGTCCGCGTGTTGCATGGCCGCAAGCTCACGGGCTTCCGCACGTGTGACGCACTCGACCTTCGACCGTGCACGCACGGCTGTGCTCCCGCGCAGCCGCCACAATTTGCCATCTTCGAGGAAGTACTGGGAGGCGCGATGGCGTGCGCGCGCTTTCTCGCGGGGGTTGGACGTGGAGAGATGTTGCTGGCTGAGGATGGCATCCACGACGTCGAGGAAGAACCAATCGTCCTTGAAGCGGTCGCGCAATTGTGGTTCTCGAACGGGCAGCGGTTCCGGCGGGCTGTCTTCGACCCTAAAAACGTCGAACGCGAGGCCCGTGGCTGACTCCCAGTCCTCGCACACGTCCCATTCGCTGCCATCTCCCGCGATGCGAGGCTGGTTCTCAAATTGGCGGCTCATGCCGTCCGCGACGAGGTTGATCTTGCCGGGAATGTGTCGGACGTCAACAATGCGATAAGCCAGGACACCATCCCGCCACCGGGCGTAGTGTGCGTTCAGCTTTTTGCTGCGGATCACGTCTCGGAGTGCTTGGCAGTCGGTCTCTAGCTCGATGGGGAATCCCCATATGATGTCCGAAAACTTGTCTAGCGTGAACTTGAGTGCGGCAAGTTCAAGCAAGAAAGGGGGGTACTTAGCTTCGGATCGGGATGTTCGCTTTGACGCAAAGGCGATAGGGTGCAGGCGTGTGACGACCTTGCCGTTTGCGAGCGTAGTTGCATGCCGCTGTGTCAAAACACCTGCGAAACCCTCCTTGCACCCGTCAGTTGTCACGATGAATGGTGTGCCATCCCAGCGCGGTGCTCGCAGGACAGGTTCGGAGGTGAGGATGCCCTTCAGTCGTAAGAATGCTTCGGTATGCTTATCTGTCCAGTGCGGCGCGAGCAGATGTGCGGTCATGACACGCTTGTAGATACTCTCCGTGTAGGGCACCGGCAGGTCGACCATAGCAAGAAGATCCCGCAGGGGTCCCTCGATTCGGGCGTAGTCCCGGATCAAGTCGCGGAAGTGGCCGGTGAGGCCGAGGAACGATGCCAGGTTGAAGGCCGTCGCCGGAACAGGCCATTCAACAATGGCAGTCAGTTTTGCCAGGTCGGGAAGTACGCCGTCGCGACCAACTCGCGCGCCCGAGAACTTCGAGTTGCGCATGAAGCAAAAGAATTTCGGTGCGGATAAGGATAAGTGGCGTTCGCGAACACGTTGCAAGACTTGTTCTAGCTTCCCAAGCATCGTGTCGAAGTCGTCACCACATGCACCTCCGTCGTCGACAAAGAGCTCCATGATGCCTGCCTCAATGAGATCGTGCATGTGGCGGGCCGTAACGTCTGCGAAAGTTGTTGGTGCACCAGTCAAACCGAAAGGCATTCGTTTGAACCAGAAAAAGCCGCGACCCTCGACGTAGAAGGCTGTATACGGTCGCGATTCTTCTGCAATCTCAACAGCATAGAATCCAGAAGCAAAATCCCAGGTGCTCACATAACGCTGCCCACTTAATCGTTGCTGTTTTGCACGGATGTCCCCTTGTGGCATGGGTGGAACCTGAGTTGCCTTGTTCAACTCGTCGTAGTTGATACACATGCGCCATTTCCGCTCGCCCGACGGAGTGGTGGTGTTGCTACGTCGAGCTTCCCGGAATTCAACAGCACCCCGCTCGTCGAAGTACGGTTCCATGCCGTTTGCGACGCACTGCTCGTTGACAAGATCTTGCAATTCCTCAATGGATAGCCCGACACCGTCGTGCGCCTTCTGGGCCAAGGTAACTGGCGAAACGCACTTGACCTGGGAAGGGTCAACACGTTCAATGACATCAGCAGCTAAGAGGTCGTCGATAGTCTTCGCCATGTACTGGCGCTTCGGTGGGTTCATGGACTGCTGGCGTACTTTCGTACTGAAAGTTGTGCCCTCAGGGATGTGCAAGCGATGTACAGCATCCTTTGCAGGCAACACCTCAGTTACGTTTAGAGCGAAACAGTCGGCGTGGTCTGCGATGAGCTGCTCGGCGCGTGCATGCTGTTCAGGTGTAAGATCTGAGCCGATCGTCACCGCCTGCAATATGGCGGCGACCCGTGCAGGGTTATGCGGGGCCGACCGACGCGTGTATATGCCCGATTCGGACACAGCAAACACGTTCGTCGAGACGTCTAGAGGTTGCGGCCTCTGCAGCATGCTCGGTGCGGTCACGGTAGTCCGTGAAACGGGTGATGCAACATCCGTGGCCGACTGGGCGCTATCCTCCTGCACGAGCCTGATAGAGTGCGGGCGGCCCTCTTTCCAATCCACGACGAGAGTCTGGAGATCATCTGAAGTGCGGTGCGCACCTTCCAGCAACTTGTTATGCAATGTGACTGAACGGCCATCATCACCTGTGATTAACACCGTGTCAGGTGTGTAATCATGAATAGCGCGGAAAGCACGTAGCAGTGGTTTCCCAACTAAGAAGCTCCAGGAGCCTTTGCTGTCAAATACTTCGAACTCGCCTGTCGTCCGAACGCCGCCGATCTCAATAGTGCCATGCCAGTTTGCACGCGATGGTACAAGCTCGCCATTGGCCATGCGGAGAGTCCGGAAGGAAGTCGACCATTCCGTAAGACGATGTTTGACGATGTCGAAAACCGCGGAGGATAGGATGCTGATGCGGGCACCGTCGTCGAAGAGTCCTCGAACACGCGAGATTTCGCCGGTTGCACTGACGAGGCCAACAGTCTGTACGAAAGGGAGCGCATCAGGTTCTTTCTTTACGATGTTCTCATCCACAGAATAAAGATCAAAAACTTCATTGTCAACAGCGAGTACATGCTGCGGTACACAAGACGGATCACATTCTGTGGGGCCTGGAAACACGTCTACGTCCTCTCGCCCAGCCACCGTGCGCGAGAGGACTGAAAAATCATCACATTTGGGAGTTTCAGAAGGGGTCGAGCGTTCTCCCGTTACGCCGACCCGTCCCCATTTCCCTGCTCGGACAAAGAAGAAGCAGATTCACCCCAAGACTCGACGAGATGTATCTCTATCGTGCGGCCCTTGTTCGCATCCGGGAAGGCGCGGTTCAACATTGCACGCCACCGGGACTCGTACCCCGGCAGCCGCAAATCCGTCCCGTTCGGAATCTGACACCCTTGTCCACGGTGCCCGTGCGTGCCACAGCGATAGCACTCCGCGGAGCACGGCGCCGCCGTACCCGGCCGGAACGGTATCGGAGTATCCCAGGTGAGATCGCGCGGCCCACGAAGCTGCGCGGTCGCCTGCCGGAATGCATTGGTGTACGTCGCCATGTTCTGTGGGGTGTCGTTCGGCACCGGGACATTGATAAGCGCCGCAAGAACGGCACGCTGAGCCGCTGTGGGCATGGGAAGCTCTGCGACAGGCACGGCACCGGCACTCGCACTGCCCGTGGATGGCGCGCTCGCCTGGCGGCGAAAGATGGGGGCTTGAGTCTGGCCCATGGGAAACGTGGCAGGCTGGCGAGCATACGCGTTTGACGGCGGACGCGAGTTGGCAGCTTGAGTGGGGTACTGGGGTTGCGATTGGCTGCGCTGTGACATCCGGAGCGCCGCGAGCTGATTCTCCAGCGCGGCGAGTTTCTGGTCGTTTTTGCGGGCTCTCTGCTCGTTCGATCGAGCCTCCTCGGCAGCGCGAGTCAGCTTCTGCGTGTTCACCCTCTTAATGTCGGCGAAGAACTGCTCGAGCGTGGTGTGCTGAGTGTAGTTGAGAAGGTTGACAAGGGGTGCGGGTAGTTTTCGGCGCAACGTTGTGAGGTTCGTCGTGGTGCTTAGAATATTAGCCTCGAGAGCGAGCGCCTTCGCCGTGTTCGCGTATTTGACGTGCGACCAAACATCGACACCGTCCTCTGAGATCTTCTTGCCCAGCAGATCGAGCGGCAGTTCTAACTTCTCTAGCTCTTCTTCCGCGTCCTCGGGTGAGCGCGCAGCAACTTCGGGTGCCGGGAAGCGCGTGAGGAATGCAGCGCGGAGGGCACGGAAACTGCCACGGGTCACGGCAGGCTGGGCCTTGTACCATATGTCGGCCGGACTGCCACTCTTGAGGCACAATGGAAAGGCCTCTGCCTTTTCATCGTCGGCACGCTGCTCGCAGCTAAAGCACCATCCTTCGAACGAACGCAGGAAATCTTCGGGATTGTCGCCCGAGCCATTGAACTTCGCTGGCATTGCCATTGGGACTCGGCGTGCTCGGGGTGCGAACGGGAGTGCGTCGGCTGGTGTGGGAGCAGGTGCTTGGACCGCGATTGGTGCACGGGTAACTGCTGGAGGCGTACTTGGGACAGGTGTCGGGGCAGGTGGTGGAGGAGGGGCAGGTGAATTCGGGCGGGATTTAGCCAGTCGCGTGAAGAAATCGATGAGAGGCTGCTGCTGCGTGGACACCACGCGGCGTCGCTGAGGCGTTGGAGACTCGCTTTGAGACCGAGGCGGCGGGACACGATGGGCTGTTGGTGTTTTGTCGGTGTCCCGGCGAGGTGACGATTTCGAGCTGCTCGCTGTTATCGAGCTCTCTGTTTCGTCCTCGGAGTCCATCGTTCGTACTTTGGGGCCGAAACGACCACCGACTCGGGACTGGTGCAGCCAGTGGCTGTTACGGCCACGGCGACGTGCACGACTTGATGACATCGGGCACGGGGTGATTGGTACGGGATTGGCTGGATGGGCTTCTCAACAGAAATCTGTGTGTGAGAAGCAGGCTGGGGTGACGTAGCTCTAGGACTGGGAACTGGGCTGGGACTCGAAAACTTGACTGTAGCAGATACGTGGTACGTTGAATCGCACGCTCGTCACCACGATGGAGAGGGGCCGGGCTGCCTGTGAGGCCTGGAAGGGATGCGCCGTGGTGGCCAATGTTGTTCCTACTCTACGAGACGCGCGCCGAAAGGCGCGGACATGCTGACTAATGCGTGGGAATATCGCTCTACTACTCCTCCTCCCTCCGTCTCTCTCCCTCCTCCTTGGTATCCTACTCCAACTGCCACAGCATGTGCGCATCAGTCTCTACGAGTGAATTGGTTTCAACATCCCTCTACAACTCTGGCATACATTGTTAGTCTACAAACAAACAGTATACACGGCGTTAGACAGGCGAAGACCACAAGGCGGGCGCTGGAAGACGATGTCATAGTATCCGCGGTTTTCCGGCAGGGAGATCACTCAAAGGCGACAAACATAGAGGAGCACGCTGAGTGATAGACTCATTGTAGACTGTGGTATAGAAAGGAGAGAAGACTGAAAGCGTACAAGGGAGAGGCGTACATAAAGAAGTATCAGTTGGCAGCCTACATAAGTGCAGTCACTGTGAAGGCGAGGTCAGGGTCGAGACCAGAAGAAGAGGGTGTATCTGTGCGAATCTCTTGTGCACCAAGAAAGAGCGGCACGTCTCGCAATCATAGATCGTGGATGAATGAACCAGCGCGCAGCTTTGACTAGGGTATACATGACTGGACAGCACACGGCATGATCACCATCCAATCCGGACAATCTCCGGCTCGTCTGTAACAACAGGCTTCACGACCTTCCTCGGACGCCCAGGACCGCGCTTAACCTTGGGCGGCTCGAACACATGAGCGCCTTCGACCGGCTCTGGTTTGGGAGCCGGAAGAGGATGCTTGCGTGGCCGTCCTGGACCGCGCTTCTTCGGTGGCTCGACTGGTACGGGAACAAGTTCCTGCTTGATCTCTGGCGCTTTGCCTTTCCCGCTGTCGACCGTGGGATCGGCGGCTGCGAGACGAGCGCGACGGCTACGACCCTCGCGGATAGACGGCTCGAGGTCTTCTGGGAGGAGTGACTGTGAAACGGTTATATGGCGGCCGAGCACAGTGCTCCATGTATATTCGTCGTCGAGTACCTGCACGGCGGACGTAGTTAGTTCAGCGGCAGAAGGTGCACAACATGATGAATCACCTTGGTGAGCACATCGAACGCCTCGATAGTCGCATACGGGGCGCCCGTTCGTGGGTCACGATATTTCGCCGGAAGACCAGTGACAGCGCATGGAGGAACGTATCTTGCTGAGGGTGAACGATTGTGAGTGTTGATTCGTGAGGTGAACATGCAATGTCAAACTTACACATAGGCCGATTCTCCGCGTCGGCGTATACCTTCGCGTTCTCCCAATCGAAGTGGGTGCCGAAGAGCGCGCGCATCTGGGAGACCCATGATGGAGGTGGTGCATTGGTATCTTGTGTGATCTCGTGCACGACGTATTGTCGTGCAACGGTTTCAAATTTGGCGATAGGCTTGGTGCTCGGAGTACCGGGTACAGGGCCAGTAGAGGGGCCAGCCTGCGGCGCTGTGTCGGTCATACATTCAGCGTTCGTAGGACTATGGACAGTGGCAGATGGAACTCACGCGACTCTTCCACGGGAACATGCACCTCCTCTCTTTTCGACACCCATCTAACTAGCGGACCGCTCACAGTTGGCCTAACGACGTGTGCCTTCTTTCGCTTCTCTGCCTCCAGTGCAAGGTAATCTCGATGAGCAGCAGTGTTACCCTCCTCTGCATCCAACGCTTGCGCGAGCAACTCGGCTTGAGTGGGCGCCTTCACTTTCACGATAGATCGTCGGCGCGGCGCAACGCGCGCGCGCTCTTCCTCGGATGCCAAGCGTTTGAGAGACGCTGTACGCGCCTGCTGAGCAAGTGAACGCCCACTCTGCCGTTTCTGAAGTGGCTGCGCGGCTGATGGTGAGGCAGGTGAAGGCGGTACGACTTCGCCGGTAGCAGCATCGATCGCTACACCGAGAGAGACCCGTCGTTTCTGCTTCGGTGGCTCACGCGCGGAGGTGTCTTCATGTGCGGTCGGGTTGAAAGTTACGCGTTGCCGGGCGGCCGCAGCGGCTGTGGCTTTCTCCACCCTAGATCTTACAGTCTATGTAAGACACGCAAAAATTCAGCTGAAGTCGTACAGAGCGCATGCTGATTCATCTATACCTTACGTTGTCTTCGTTCGTCATCGCGTGCAGCGCGTTCGGCGACTTCGGCTGGTTCGCCTTGTTCTTCCTCGTCGGTGCTCTCGAAGTCGGAGCCGAAGACGTCTTGCTCATCTATTTAAATACAACTATACATATTTAGGTTGCCCGGGTAACAAGGAAATGGAGTCGCATACCAGCTGCGAGCTCAAAGTCGACATCATCTTCGACTTCTTCAAGGCCAGCCGCGTGCATCTCAGCCAGAGCCGCCTCCATCCTATTCCCAGCGGTGCTACGCCTTGAGCGGCGCCGCACAAGCGAGTCTTCTTCCTCCATTGCGAGCTACGCGGGTGTGACAAAGATAGATATATATTCCTTGAGCCTTGGAATCCCGAGAGGGCGATGGTCGTGGTAAAAGTCCAAGACGCGTCTCGACGCGTCGAGCGCGCTTTGCGCTGCCTTGTCACTCGCCTCCTTTCACCACGTTCCTCCTCCCCAGGCGTTATGGCCCGAAAATACTGGCGCACCGAGCTCCCTGGGCCCTCCCACCTTACCCGCGTACTGCAGAACCTGCGCCGGGAGCCGCGGCCCGCTCTCCCGCGCCTGCGCGCCTTACGCCTAACCCTGGCAGCGCGTAACGACCATTTTGCCGCAAGGCACTTTGTGAAGGAGGAGTTGCCGCGGATACGTTACGCGAACCCGCGCTTGGAGATCACTGTGGAGAAGAAGGAGAAGAAGGAGGGTGAAGCGTGGCCCGCGACTATTGAGCTGGCGTATGGTATGTATATATTCTCAACAATTTTGTCAAGGTACCAGGCTAATATTCTACTATAGCTGACGGAGCGACCGAGACACATGCACTGACAGAATCTTGGTCAACCGATATCCTTACTCGCGTACTTGACGCAGGTGCTGGTGACGGCTGGAAACGCTGGAAAGAGACCCGCGCCGCGCAGGGTCTCCCGCCGCTGGACCCACCGGTTGTACAACCGCCGCCACCACCCAAGACTAAATACGGTCGGCCCGCACTGAGTCTCACACACAAGCCGGCGAAGAAGGTGTTGGGGGCTGAAGAGGTCGTCGAAGCGGAGGGTGCCAGTCCAGCAACGCCAGACTTCACGAAGACGGGTGCAGCGATGGTATTGCCGTAGTTGGGGCGGAGACGATACTGATACTATGTGGCGATATATTACACTGCTCCGAGATAATTGTATGGGTGTTGCTACCAACATGAACGGAATGGGAGAGCAGTCAGGCAAGCGACAAGCCTCGCCGGAGAGAACGTCCATGAAAAGATTCGGGCGGAGACCTTACCCCTTGAAAGAAATATGTGCCCACCGGATACACGGCCGTGCTTGGCGCCTATCGCAGTCGCAGTCTTGAAGATATTGGACTCCTTGACGTGACCCGAGGAGCGAGCCTCATGTAGCCCTCATCAGATGGGGCGCATCTCAGTCTCTCACCACCACCACCAACCTTGAACCCGACCTAGTCATTTCACTATATGGTGTCATCTCCATCGCAAACACTCGTCGGCCTTCCTGACGATGTCTTGTGCGAAATGTACAATGTACTCGCGGAGATTGATCCTCCTCGCGCTGCCGGTCGAAACGTTCGGCGCGACATGAACCACAACACTCTAGGGTGGATCAAACTCACGCATGTGAACCGGCGCCTGCGCGGATTGGGACTCAATCTCGCCACTCTCTGGGGACGTGTCCTATGCCTGCTCCCTCGAGGATGTGAGGAGATCCTCGAGCGATCCCAGAACGCGGCCCTCGTGCTGCACCTCGGGCCAGTCAGCTACACGACCCCCGGAGATTTCTTTGAAATGCTTCCCATTTTCGACATTCTCCCCCGCGCATATAGCATCACGGATCAGCTGTCGAACGAGCATCCTCTACCTCGAAGAGAGTGGTGGTTGTCGTCGTCTTTGGACAACTTGCGGCACCTCGATCTGAACGCCATGAGCCTACCTATGCATACACTAGAAGATCGGGGTCGCATCGTTGCTCCCGCTCTATGTACCTACAGAGCAGCCTTTGTCTTCGTTCCCTTCACAGCTCCTTTGCTTCGCAATCTCCACCTTTCATATACAGCGCTGACGTGGATACAACTGCTGGACATCTTTTGCGCCTGTCCCTTGCTAGCAGCGATCCATGTCATAGGGTTGCGAAACGCTGCGCCATCGACGCGGCCCACCGTTGTATCCCTTCCACACTTGCAACATCTTGCCATGTCTACCCAAGGTCATCAGGATATTCTCAACCTCATGGACCATCTCCGATTCCCAGAATCTGCCAACTGCTCTTTCGACATGTGGGATGAAGACTCCGATAATATGTCAAACTTTATACGTTCCTGTCTCACTCGACGTCAGCTCGAGTACTCTCCTCGAAACGCCCTGAGTATCACGACATGGAGAGATCCCGCGGCAGTCCCCGAGGAGAGCGGACTTGAAAGCGGGTTCCGTATCTCTCTCACAGAGGCTTGCAATGAAGCATCTTCCCGTTACGGAACAGCACCCACCGACGGCGGACTACGATTGGAGACTATACTTGACACGAGCAACGAACTACAGCTCGTCAACGCGCTTACACATCTGTCGCCCGGCGCCTTGCGGTCAATTGATACCGTCGCGTTCTACGCGGGGATCGTACTTGACCCACCATATGACAATTGGCACGATCCCCTCGCGACATCAGTAGATGCGTTTGCTAGTGTGTGGCGCGCTGCACGCGCACTGCTGAGAGTAGAGACGGTCTACTTTAGCGACATTGGACAGCGGTCGATGTCCCTGCTTATGCCTCACCCTGAATGGACGGAGTCTACAGAAGGGTCCACGCCGGACGCGTGTATCGCGTTCCCCGCTCTTCGCTCGATTGTGGTCAGCAGCAAGTACAGGGCGCCTTCTGAAGTTTGGAGTGTTTTGTTGGAAGTAGTCGAGAGGCGTCGGGAGATCGGGCGACCTGTTAAGCACGTCGTCCTGGTAGGGAATGGACCATGCCACACTGTCGGAAATCAAGCGGATGTTGAGACCAGTCACCATGACGATCGAGGTCGAGACGATTGGAAAGCCATTGTCAAGGAAGACAGGTCGTGGGACGCTTTGCAATCTGGTGACGTAGAGGTTTTCGACTTGCGCGCAAAGGTCTGCCGCTGCCGTACCTGTAGTCTATCGCAATCATGAGTAATCGAGCACTATGATTGAACATGTTCTCTCGAGCAATATAGCAAGATGTCAACACGATCGTCGAAAGGGCACGGCAACCGCCGAGAACTCGGCTTGCAAGCGTGGACTTCATACGACGCGACTTCGTCCGAACCACCATGCCACCTCAAGCGGTACGTCGAATATCATGACGTCAGCTGCACTCGAAGATATACTCACTTTCGGACCGCAGATAGTGGCGCGGCTTCCTCCTGAACTCCTGCTTCGAATCTTCCTTATGATTCATCAAGAGTATCACTGGGACCCGTTCGAGAAGGCACCTCCGTGTAGTGCAGTCTCCCATGTGTGCAGGCAGTGGCGAGCGGTAGCACTGGGGACAAGTCAACTCTGGACACGCATACCGCTTCACTCTGCATCCTGGACATACCAATGCTTGGCGCGATCTCGGGACAACTACGTCGAGGCAGTTACAAAGTTTCTCGCTTACGACGACGAAGCGGCGCGCCAACTTCTCATGCTCGTTTGCTCCGAGCTGCATCGAATCTCGAAGCTGCTGATCAGCACTTCAACCAGCTATGACGACTGCGAGAAGCTACTCGATGAATTGTATACTGCTCTGTCTTCGAAGCCCGCGCCCAAGTTGCGGGAGCTGGAGATCAGTATATCCGACGACATTGACTTTGATAGGCCACTTGTCATCTTACCGAACGGCATGTTCGCATCGCAAAAGCTGCTGTCCCTCGACAAGCTTGCTGTTGAATCATGCGAAGTAACGCTATCATGGTCGAAATCCCTCATTGCGCCCTCCCTGCGTTGCCTCCAGTTGGTTGATGGATTGGCCTGGAGAACTGTCGACGAGATGGTGCAATTCTTTGAGCTTGTCCCCAATCTGGAAGAGCTGTCAATCGACACCATCAATCCTCGCATATGCTGCTTCGTCACCGGCGTCCCGCCAAACCACCCCCGGGACAGCGTATCTCTTACCAAGCTCCGCGATCTCCATATCACGACGCGCTACGTCGAACTCTTCACAATCTTCGCCCATCTATTGTTCCCTCTCGGGACCGACATCTACATCAGTCTCTCTGAATGTGACACCGATTTGGACGGCGATGCCGAAGAGTTGGAGATTTTGAACACCATCAACCTCGGTCGACGTGCATTCCGACAGCACTTTGCCCCTGCTGTCGATGCAGGGATCGGACATCCTCAGCTGCGCATCACATCACACGGACTGTATTGTCCGTGCGAATTTCCTGGCTGTCCGCATTGCGACTCTTCGCGTCCACCGCCAGACGATAACGACACGAGCCAGGCTATGACCAGGAGGCTCACCAGTCGTATGACCCTGCCATTCTGCATACCGAAGAGCGCACCCCACCTCATCCGCTCTTCTTACGCCATGATACTCGAACAACCCGTCTTTCAAGGGACTACGTCGGTTTGTATCGCGGGTATACTACCGCCTGAAGCATGGTCATGCTTGAATATCTGGACCTCTGTCGAAGAGCTGCATATCACGAGATTAGCCAAGCACGCACTGGCGGGGTTTGTCGCTGCGATGCACCGTCAACACTTTCGCCTTTTCCCCGCTCTACGCCGTCTACAGATTGTAAACGCGACTATTGTCGAGCCTGATGGGTCCTCAGACAGATCTGAAGCTGCTGCGTACGAGCCTGTTTGGGGCGAAGGCCTTCGGGGAACAAACGCGGGCTCGTTCTTGGCTGCTATCAGGGTGCTCTCAACGCACGAGCACTTCGAGCACTTGACGCTTACGCAGTGCGCCATGTCGACACGCGTACTGCAATCGACAAGGGACATTCTTGGAGAGGGACGGGTGGAAGCAGATGTGGAGACGCCTGAGGAACGGTGTAAGTGGCGAGAAGAGAGGGAAAATGAGTATGACCTGGATCGGCCAGAGACTTGGCATTGGCGCCCGTTGCCGGATACAGATTAGTTGATCGTGAGTATGAATATTTCGATCTATGATAGTACACTATCGTACAACAAACAATGTCATCCTGAGATCATATTGGAGATCCAAGCACATAAAGCAAGAGCGACGATGGCCGCAGCTAAGTCGTCCAATAGGGCGCCGACCATCTTGATATATTTGAGCCCATGCGTGATGAGCGTAGGTAATGGTGGCGGCAGATGGGGCAGAGCAAGTGCAAGCAGCATTGGCGGCTGAACTGCGTCCTATTCGAGAGTTATGAGCGCACGATCGAGTTTCAAACAGCGAGAGCTTCGTACCAGGCCGATGAATATCCTCAGCGAGTGTAGACACAATTCGAGCGTGATGAAGGCGTAGAAGAATGGCTGTGTAGAACGCGTTAGCCTCGCCCTTTGCTGCACGGCAACACGCATGAGGTGCTTACCATAGGCTGTACACCAAGCATGCGTGCTGCACCTTGTCGTGGGCGCTCGGTGATCAAACTAGCCCAGCGACTGAAGCCTGCCGCTGAACCGGAAACGCGTGGCTCAAACCAGAACACAAAGTATCCGACGAGAGCCCATACGCTCAGTAGGTGGATCAGAGGCAGAAGCTTGTGTAACAGTGTCCTAGGTTTTGGCGGCGGAGGCATCATGCCCATACCGGGAAAGCCGCCAGGAGCCGTGCCGGGAGGTCCTCCACTTTGTAGAGACTGCATAAGTGCGGCGAAGGGGTCATCGGCTGGTGCGCCTGGTGCGCCTGATGTGGAAGGCAATCCTGCGGGATCTGGCATTCCCCCGCCCAGGATCATGCGCATCATTTGTTGCTGCATTTCGGGCGACATCATATTTGGGTCGTTCATCGCCTCCAAAAGGGTCGGGGTGCTGGTACCATTCGCGGAGGAGTTACTGGTACCCTCGCCGACAAAGCTCTCGAGCTGTGACGGCTGAGTATTCGTACGTATGGGCCTGTTCGGGAGAGGCATGTCCGGTGGGTCTGCGAGGCATGACGCGCATCTTCTCAGAAATGATGTGGCGTGAAACGAAAGTCCAAACAGGGCGTACCGTCATGGACGAACTGAGGTGCATCTTCACCGCGCGCAGAAGTAGTTAGTTTGGATAGGCGATCGGTGCCGCGAGCTAATATAGCTTTTCTACGCGCTTCGGCGCGCTTGGCGGCGGCAGAGGACATGGGTGGTTTTCCGATGTAGTCGTGGTCGGTGCTAAACGCGATAATGACACGCAGCGCGCGCGAACCATCATGTCATGATCTGCGCATCCAGATACACAACGACTTGTCTCGTGCCTTCAACCACCACCAGCACCTCCCTCTACTATGTCGCGTCAGGATAAAGCTACTACTGAGCGCCATACGCGCCAATTGCGTGAGCTGGTTAAGAGGCCGGAGAATAAGGTGTGCGCGGACTGCAAGCGTAATGGTGAGCGCGTCTAGGCACATTTCTGGAGCATAGCCAGCTCAACGCCAGATAGATCCTCGCTGGGCATCGTGGAATATGTGCGCTACGCTATCACCTAGTCATCACACGAACGACTAATTCGGTACACAGTGGCGTGTTCTTATGTATCCGTTGCTCTGGAATCCACCGTGGCATGGGCACCCATATCTCGAAAGTCAAGTCGATTGATCTTGATACCTGGACGCCTGAGCAGATGGAGGTACAAGTCCATGTACGGTTGCATGATGGGTTATGTCTAATTGGAACAACTTTCCTAGTCCATCATGAAATGGGGCAATCGACGTGCCAACGCGTATTGGGAGGCACATCTCAAAGCTGGCCACATACCACCGGAACAGTAAGTGACTAGATAAAACCAGCAGGCCGATGCGCTAATGGGTCTCTAGCAAAATGGAATCGTTCGTCCGATCCAAGTACGAGTCCCGACGATGGGCCATGGACGGCCCGCCTCCACGCAACCCGTCAGCCCTCGATGATGGCGCACCTGTTGAAGAAGCACCAGCAGCACCCTCGCCAGCGCCAACACCCGCGGTCCAGGCCGCTCGGGCTATGCCTTCTCGTGCCTCTCCAGCACCACCTGTTACCACGCGCCAACCGGTCGCCCACCAACTTCTGTCCGCTCAACATGTCCGCGCTCAGGCCTCGCGTCCAGCTGCAACCCCGGCCCCGGATTTATTTGGCTCTACGCCCTCTCCCGCTGCTGCTCCCGCACCCGCACCCGCTGCGTCCGCACCTGCTCAGCCCGCAAACGACCTCTTCAGTCTCGACTTCAATGCGCCTGCTGCTCCCGCCTCTCCGCCTGCTCAGGAGCCCAGGAAAGACGTCAAGAACGATATCATGTCGCTATTTTCCTCTGGGCAACCTGCCGCGGCCGCACCTCAGGCTGCCGGTGGCTTCGGATCATTCCAACAGAACACATCGCCTTGGGGTCAACCTACACAGCCCGCTGCACCGAATGTTGGCTTCAATGCGTGGTCCCAGCCGGCTCAAGCACAGCAGCAACAGCAACAGTTCGGCCAGCAACAGGCATGGGGCCAGCAGAACCAGTGGGCTCAGCCTTCGGCGCCCGCCGCTCAGCCGAACCTCTTCGACAACAACGTATGGGCGACGCCCAGCGCGCCGGCTGGTAATACCGGCGCGGGTATGGGCAGTGGCGCGGATATATGGGGCGCACCTGCCGCTGCTCCTGCGCAGGCGAAGAAGGACGATGTCTTCGGTGACTTGTGGGGCGGGTTCAAGTGAGCTTTAGGTATCTCGCGGGCATTGCTTCTTTGGGTGTGTATAAGGTATGGGTCTGCCTACCCTAATGGATTGAGTTTGCACTGTGTGCGCTCTTACACAAAAGCTCAACTTGTCATACTCGTGGATTGATCCCAGACTACTGAATATATTCACGTCAATCGTAAGGTACTTCATAGCAAAGCACGCCCCATCGCTCCTTGACCCGCCGCCCCGTATCCTTGGTTTGGACCAGATGCGAGAACTATTCGTCTAAACTGCTATCGTCGTCTGAGAAACTGAGCGCTATTTCCTTAAGATGTCCATCGACGGTCTCGGCCCAACAACGCAGACGATCAAGTCCCAATTCATCTGCCAATGACCCGAGGATGTAAGCCCCGTCTTCCCAATCATGTGTATAGCGGCGGATCCCAAATATCTCAAAGTCTTCTCCCCAGCGAGCCAGAATTGCCGCTGCGAACTTCTCAAAGAGTTCTGCGTCCTCATTGCCTCTCGGCGGATCGTTTGTGCCATGAGATCTAGGGCATGTTACGACGATGCCCCTGAGCTTGGGCAGGAGCTGTTGGCCGTCTTCCGCAGCCGCACAGATGATGTTGGGAAAAGGCGCCCACACAAATGGATCGTCTCCGTGAAGAATCAGTGAGACGAGATGTGGAAAACGCCTGAAGAAAGCCGCCGTGTATGACCTGAAATCGTCCAGAATAGACAAGCGCGTGACCCCACGAAAGATAGGCAGCGCGATCGTCATGTCAAGAAGGAGATCGAAAGCGGGGCGAGAGCCGGCAGATGGCTCCTCTCCTTCAATCGCAGGAATACTGAACTCGAATCTATTGGTAAGGAGCTCAGCCTCAGGAGAACGGTTCTTGCCGGGCAGTAGCAACTCGTCACTGCCTGCAGGCGCGAACACGAGGCGGTTGCCGATGATTAGTGTTTCGTAAAGCGCGCCATGTGCGATCGCAGGTGCGAAGTGCTCTCTCAGAGCTTTCCGTCCCATGTCAATGAAGTCTGAGACTTCCGCGATAGGTACCGCCACAGACCGCGGATTCTCTCTCAGGGAAAGAGTAGCGGTGGATGGCGTCTCCAGGTAACTGAACATGACTATATTCATCGCGAAGACCTTGTCTCCAGAGAGAGAGAGCTTTCGGAGACGAGGCAGTTGCACATGGCGCAGAGGATACTTCGTAGAACGTGAGGGTCTGAAGATTGTATGCTGCCGGAATGAAGCATCCAGATGGTGCTGAAAGAGCTCGAGCATGGGCGTTGCCTCTAATGTCTCAATCATCTCGTCGACGTTGCGCCAACAATGACAATTCGTGAGATGAAGAGTGCTGAGTTGAGCGGAAAAGAGCATTCGCAACATCGTCGCGCTAACGACCATCCTTTTCAAGGCTAGTATTCGGAGATTATGAATCGCCTGTTCTTCACCGACGTAATCCTCAAGAACAGACATGCTGGTTCTGAAGCTTAGATCATTGATGTTTTCGCCGCTATGAAACACCAATAGCTCTCTGAGGTTTGGCGCGGGCATTCGGCAGAGCCCCATGTTCATCTCAGACATGACGATTGGGTTGACAGATGTCGAGTGGTCTGGCAGAATGACTAGAGTACGAACGCGAGCCATGTGTGAATATACAAGGCGTACGCTCGAGCGATAGCGCATATCGGACAATAGCCGCGTGGAATTCCAAGAGACGTTGAAGGGCACTGTACGACATCTTGCGAGGCAAAGGTTGGTCCATTCGACACTCATGAGAGGTAACCAGCCAGACCAGAGGAACTGCGACGAAGTGGATGCAACACGCCACCGTCGACAAACTTGCGACGGCGAGACAATGTCAGATGGTGGGGATCGACGGTTAAACCAGCTTAACATATCATTGGTATGCAGAAAGGAGAACATGATCGCGAGCACCTCGATTGGCAGGGTTGATGCTAGAGAACTCATGTGCGCAGCAAGGACAGAAGGGGATAATACGACACGGAGACGCACGCAGGCGCTTTTGAGCAAGAGCTCGAGACAAGGTTTCCCGGATGGGAACAAGGGATGTGCTTGCCGTCAAGCGGCGTGTCGTGCAAAGGGATACCACGAAATCGGTGACAAAGACGCGCGCTGAAAGGCGCTGAATGCTACGCCATTCCGTTCAGACTACAGGGCTGTTCCAGACCCTTAGCAGCAGCGGTATGCAGACTTGTCGTTCGTGTGCTGGTGGCATCGACTTCTCGGACACAAGCACGTTGGAAGGAGAGAAGGGGGTTGGATCGTGCTCCCGCCGGACCACGGCTGAGTGGGCCTGGGAAGATGGTCTCGGGAGATCAGAGATTAGATAGAATGATTAGATCGTCATCATTTCCGTCATGGATCCGTGGCTTGCGTCTCACCACCATCAACCTATACTTACTGCACGTTGGATAGCAGGTCCGAATATCATCGAGGGTTGCCGACACGGCGCATTCTATCCTCCGAGTCGCGGGATGATGGATAGTGGGTTATACAGCAACTAGACTGCCATCATCAACACGTCCAGTGATACGCGGTGCAGACTGATTGCGTGTGTTCGCGTTGGTAGGCAGCCAGTTGAGGACCGTCGACATTACAGTCTCCGACTTTCTATCGTTCCTACCCATTGAGAACGGCGCGCTCTATTGGTCTAGCGTTTCAAACTTTAACGCACGCGCTACTGCGAGCGCGTGAAGAATCTGCGGGGCGGGCCATGGACCGCGTCGGTGACGAATCGGTGACTGCTTGCGTGCATCTCCATGCCGTCGACCCGGAAGAACCTCGTTGGTGAAAATATGGCGGGACAAGTACCGGCAGGTCTAACACCGGTCAACGCAGCGTACGTTGATCTGTCATAAGCGAAGATCATCTTCGCGATAGATAGACGAAGGGAGGTATTACGCTCTCTGGCAGTGTGAACGCTGCGATTGACTATTGTTGATGCCTAGGCCCATCCCAACATGCGGCCACGTCGGCCTCTCTTGCGCCACTCTTCTTCTGCGACTTCTGTTTCAACGCACTCGGCGTGTTTCTTCGTATGCGGCCTGTGCTTCTTACGCTCATCTAGTCATGGGATCGTATCGTATATCATGCTGTCTGGCTTCGCGAGTCGCCGCGGCATTCTGATATCAGTTTTTCTTCAAGTTGCTCATGGCAACGTCCGCACAGTTCTGTGAGTTGGGTTTGTTCGGGGGCTCTCCGACCTCATCACGTATAATAGAGTAAAGAAGCCAAGCTGGGAGTCGCCTTACGTGCGTAGAAGTGCTCCGGAAACTCTACCGGGAGTCGCCGCACAGTATGCTACAACTTGGTGTGGTGTGTCAGAGCGTCTCCGTGCCACTCACTATGTGTCAGTTTATACAACGCGTGATGCCATTACAGGGTCGACGTTGTCCGCGGTCACCGATCGTTTTAAGGTCGTGTGCCAAGTCACCACGGTAAGTATGGCGGCGTCTTCGGACGTGATTTAGAGGTGCTTCCAGTCAGAAGCGTTGGTGCGTACGAAGCACTTCAATACCGTTTCCGATATCAGGCACGGCGTACCCCTGGCCTTAATGAGCTCTGTGAACGCTCCAAGTGTAAGGTCTTCTTTGCAGATACAGTATGCCGGTACTCCATTTGCTCTCGGCCCCGCGAGGTCGGCGGAGTAACGGTCGTATTGCTTTATTCTTTGGTGACGGGCACTTGACACTGTTGGATTACGATCCACGGCAATCGCCTGTACGCGCGACACGCCTATATAAACGTCGGTCCAGCGACGCCGTTTCACCAGCAAGCCATTCCATCCCATATCCCTCCCAATTTAGACACTTCAACAATGATCCAAGACCCCACTATCAACCATCAGGGCGATATCCCAAAGGACCTTAGAACTCCTCTCGACCCCAACCTCTACAACCCCACTCCCGAAGCTCTCGCCTTCCTCAAGCAGGTCATCTCGCTCGACGAGAACGAGGTTCGTTCCCGCGTCGAGGCTGTCCAGGAAGAGTGAGTTCAGTTCCATCTCTGCGTCTCTAGTTGGCATACTCATCCTTTCATACAGAGCGTACGACATATACCCGTACCCCTGCATCCGTGGCTTCCGTTATGTCGCGCACTTCATGAGCGCGAACGCTGCGTACTCTCGCGCCATCGAGCTCGGCAAGGCGGACCCGTCTGCGATACTTCTGGACATCGGTTGCTGCAGTGCGTATCCTTTCTTGCGCCTTCCATTCCCGACCATAACTGACCGCATGCATTGTAGTGGGCACCGACGTGCGTAAGGCCGCGTACGACGGCTTCCCGGCGTCGCAGATAGTCGGTTGCGAGCTGCAGTCGGAGTTCATTAGGCTCGGGAAGAAGCTCTATGGTGATGCAGAGAATACGCCCATCCGTTTCATTCAAGGCGACGCTCTCGCACTCAAGCTCCCCACGTCCGCCCAGTCCATCACGCCCTCGACTACGCCTGTACGTGAGGTGGCTGCGCTGGACGACCTGCTCGGGCGCGTCGCTGTGGTGTACGCCGGGGCGCTGTTCCATCTTTTCGATGAGAGCACTCAGCATGCGCTGGCGCTACGTCTCGCGCTCTTGGCCAGGCAAGACAAACCCGCCCTCATCTTTGGACGCCACCAGGGTCAAACCCAGGCTGGACCAATCAAGGACAACTTCGCGCAGACTCTGTAAGCACTTTCGCTCGTGTTCACGTCTACGTGCGCTGACGTCGTGGATGACAGCGATCGCTACGCGCATTCCCCCGAGACTTGGGTCGCGCTCTGGAAGCAGGTGTTCACTACCGTGCGCGGTGAAGAGTTTGCGCGCGACAACGTCGCAATCAAGTTCAAGTACGACGACGCGGGCTTCTCGAGCGACAGCAACATCGCAGGGCGTACTGAGTTTGGCGTGCTGTACTGGAGCGTGGAGATCACTCCTTGATCGGATTGTGTATCTGAGTCAGAAATCAGCATAGAAATAGCCTCATGTATGTAGAATTGTTCGAGCGTAGCCAGTCAAAAGGATGCCGTACCAAGCGCAAGGCGCAACTTACGGCGCTATCACGACGATGACCCTCCTGAAGTCCGGAATGCCAGTCTGCTTGTCATCATGAGCACGGTCAGTCCAGTGAGAACATCCGAGAAAAGCGCTTGCTCATCTCGGGCATCGGATCGCGTGGGAGATAGGCGAGGAGCACGCCGAATTGACTTTGGAAATTGAGAGGGGCGAGAGCGGTGCCTCGGAGTACGCCGAGGGGAGTTGTAAGGCATCTTACGAGGATAAGGTGCACGGTCAACTTCGAGCGAAGGGCGGTGCGGTGCAAAGAGTCCCTTCAGACCATGCTGAAGGACGGTCCATACTGCAGTTGATATGCACTTTTGATACAGGCTACGAGTTACAACAGGTTGTTCTTTGTCTGAGTTCAGTCCGACCCGCTTCACGAAGACAAGTCCTACGCGACATGTCAGTACTACTAGATCTCCTCGGTACAAGAGCGTCACGTACCTTCTCAATCAGCTTCCTCGCGATAGGATGGAAGCTCTCCTTCGTCTTCGCAAAGTACGAATGGGCAAGATCGTGGTCAACGCGCGCAACCGCACGCAGGACCGGACGGCAGAACTTCATGCGGCCCTTGATGATGCCCGTACCATCGAGACCGGTGACCCACTGAGCGGCGGGCTCGGCAAGCTCGCGTGCAGCGGGGGTCGTCGAGTCCTTGAGCGCAACCTGGTAGAAGCGCATGCGGATCTCGGCGTTTTGGGTTGTGGAGAAGCCGTAGAGAGGGCCGAGGAGGCTGATGTGCGACGAGGGGAGCGCAGGGTAGGAGGCGAGCTTCTCGAGGAATACGACTGCGATAGCCGAGTCAGTATCTCCGAGGCGGAGATGGGGAAGGAATCTTACTGTTCTGGTTGCCATTGAACGACGCGATGTCCTCCTTCTTAAACGTGAGGGTCTTAGCGTCCATGACACGCGATGCATCCCACTTCGCCGCGAGATCGTGCGGGCCCTTGGCGAGAGACTCGTCGTACGTGGGCCATACGGGCAGCTCCATGCCCTCGCCGTAGAACCACGCGTTCCAGTCGATCTTCGCGAGCGCAGCATTCTGCTCAGCGGTACCGTTCTTCTCGAAGTACCCGAGCAGATGCGCCTTCCAGTCCCACGTCGTGATGCTCTTGCCGGTGAATGTCTCAACATAGTCGCGCACGTAGGGCAGGAAGTTGTCAAGACCGCCGACGAGACCTTCGATGTAGTAGATGAAGTTCGAGCCCTTCTCGTACGGAATGCTGCTGTACGCATCGTCCGGGTCCTCTCCGTATTCGAAGTCGACTACCAAGCGCTGGTACTTCGGCGTCTTGGAGTAATTCTTCAGAGCTTCATTCAGGGCGGCGTTGCCGATGACGAAGGAGAAGCCGCGAGCAGGCTCGCCGTGGAGGAACGACTGCAGCGTGCGCTCGATGTAGTTCGTCCAACCTTCGTTCAGCCAGAAGTGGGATGCTTCAGCGTGGGTGACGCCGTTGCCGAACCAGGAGTGAGTTGCTTCGTGGACGACGACGTCGACGAGGGTGCGGTCACCGGTGAGAAGACCTGAGCACACTCGTCAGAGAGTGGAGTATAACAGAGCGAACGGAGTGCTCACTCGGCGTGAGGAATGACAGGCAAGCGTTCTCCATACCACCGTATGGGAACGACGGCGGAAGCAAGAGAAGGTCGTATACGCCGAAACGGTACGGCCCGACAACATCCTCCTCCTTAGCCAGGAACCGCCCGGTGTCCTCGCTAAACTCCCAGTACGCAGCGTCAATAAGTTGCGGCTCAGCCCACACACCGCAACTCCAGTTACGACCCTCGATCTTAGGGAACTCGCGGTATACGACGTTTCCGGCTGCTATGGCAATGAGGTATGACGGGATCGCGACGGGCTGGTTGTACTCGTATGTGACGACGTCCTTGCCGACGACTTTGCCGCCGTGCGCGGGGCCGTTTGCTGGTGGTGTGACGCGGAGGGCAGACAGGAGGACAGGGAGCGTGGAAGCGACTTTCGCCGAGTAGGTCTAGAGCACTTTGGTCAGTGACAGCCGAACATAGTTGGGTCACTGGACTCACGATCTTCAGTGAAGGGGTGTCCTGTACCGGAGCCAGAGCACGCGCAAAGATCGGCTGGCACTGGCTGAACAAGTACGGGAACTCCTTGCCCTGGGTCTGCCTGCAAGCATCATTAGCGCTTGAACAGAGTTTCCAGGTGCCACTGATTGGGCGCGTACTCCTTGTCGAGCCACTGCAGGGCCGTAGAGGCCTTCGTCGTCGCGTAAGTCACGGTGAGCTTCACCTCTGCGCCCTTGCTGGCCGCGTCGGGGAGGTAGACGTGCAAAGCGGAGCCCATAACTTCGTGTCTCTTGCCAACGCTGAACTGAAGAGGATTTAAGATCTAGATCGCTCGTGGAAGCGCTTCTGCCTGCTTACCTTGGTATCCTTTCCGCCAACACTCGTAGCACTGATATCGAGATCCTGCGTGTCAAAGCTGTCGTACAGTCAGTCTGACTGATCCATTGCAGAACCAATAGTACAAGACGTACACAGCCTCGTTCACGCCATCCTTCAGCGCGCGAAGCGTATAAGTCGCAGATCCATAGACGCTCTGCTTCTCGAAATCGACGGCCCAGTCGAAGTGAATGTGGCTAGTCGCGATGTCAAGATAGTTAGACTGCGAGGTCGGATCCGGCATGGTGATGATGGTGGCCGATGGGAGAAGGGAGCAGAAGAAGGCAATGGTCCAGCGGTCCGGCTACTTGACTTCATGGAGCTCACGCCCGGAGGCGGCGTCTTATATTCGCGGACCATGTGCTACGTGCCCTGAAGCGAGGGCGCCGGCCTCGAGCGCGTCGTAGGCCGCTGTTTGCAAAATCATGAGATGGGTAGATGGCCGTGTACCGTCGGCCTGTACTGTACGTGGTCTACGTCGTCGTACGAGAGAAAGCCAGGGCGGACTGAATTGGCGAGTACATATTCGAAGATCCGCGATCGGCGTTTGCCGCGATGAGAAAGTGGGCCGCGCGCGCGTCAAGCGCGCCGAGTCAATCTCATCGCGAACGGCCATTACTCTCGCTCTCAACTAGACTACTAGGCCCATATACTCTCTCTTTGCGCCTAGATATTACTCAACATGGCTGATGAACCGATGTTCGACCCGTCGCTGAAGAAGCGTAGCAAGAAGAAGCAGGTCGCGTTCACGGAGGACCCGCTGGGCGCGGAGGCTGATCCCACCGACCCCGTGCCTGTGCCCATCGCAGACGAGACTTCGACCGGCGAGAAGGTTGATCTCGGCCCGAAGACGGCGCATGAGCAGATGAAGGAGGCCGAGGAGGGCGGCGCCGCGGCTGAGAGTGGGGCGACGGAGCTCAAGGAGGACGATGAGTTCAAGGCGATGTTCGGTGATCTTAAGAAGAAGAAAAAGAAGAAGGAGATTCCTCTCGACCTCGTAGGTTATCCATCATCAATCAAGTTGATTAGTAGGTTCTAACAGTATATGTAGGGTGACGAGGGTTCTGGTACTGCTACGCCGACTGCCGCACCTGCAGCTGGTGCCGCCGTCGAGGATCTTGACTTCTCCGATCTGAAGAAGAAGAAAAAGTCGTCCAAGAAGAAGGCGGCATTCGATCTCGAGGCGTTCGAGAAGGAGCTTAACGAGTCAAAGGCGAAGGGTGGCGAAGACGACGAGGACGTGCCGATGGATGACGCCGCGGGCGACTTGGACGAGGGCCATCTCGGCGACGATCCCTTTGCCCGCGAGAGCGCACCTGCTGGCGTCGACTCTGGCGCGGAGCCATGGCTCGGCTCGGACCGCGACTACCTGTACCCTGAGCTTCTCCAGCGCTTCTATTCGCAACTTCATGCCCAGAACCCATCCCTTCTCACGTCTACTGGCAAGCGCTACACCATCGCACCACCATCGATCCACCGTGACGGTAACAAGCGCTCGATCTTCGCTAACATCAGCGATATCTGCAAGCGTATGCATCGCCAGCCCGAGCACGTCATTCAGTACTTGTTCGCTGAGTTGGGTACGACCGGTTCGGTCGATGGATCTGGACGCCTCGTTATCCGTGGTCGCTTCCAGCAAAAGCAGATTGAGAACGTGCTCAGGCGCTACATCGGTAGGTTGCTCTCTTCGCTTGATGCCCGAGTCATTGCTGATTACATCGTGCAGTCGAGTACGTGACCTGCAAGACGTGCAAGTCGCCCGATACGCTTCTCACCAAGGAGAACCGTATCTTCTTCATCTCGTGCGAGTCTTGCGGTTCGAGGCGGTCAGTCAACGCTGTCAAGACCGGTTTCCAGGCCCAAGTCGGCCGTCGCAGCAAGAACCGCGTCGGTTAGAGGGTTGTATCGTAGACGGAGTGTACCATATGTTCTGCACATTGTATTACCGCTATGCATGCTATGCACTTCGCAGTCTGTACATTTTTACTGCAACGAAATGAGTGTGTGAGAGGAGAAAAGCACGAAGTCGACACGAAGTGTTCACTTGTCGGGAAGCTCGGGCCGGGGGCGTTTGCCGCGTTCGCCCGAGAGGTTGACGCGCGCGGGTCGGCGCACGCACCCAGCTCTTACCCCCACTCATCCCCATTATACCTCTCCCATAATGCTTGCCCGGCAGAGTGTTGCCCGCCTCGCTTCCCAGACGGCCGCGCCGTCTGGCGCGCGCAACATGGCCACGCTCCGCGAGCTCGAGACGCGCCTCAAGTCCGTCCGGAACATTGAGAAAATCACGAAGGTGTGCCGAGCTGTAACTCGTCTATTGGAGTATATTCTGAAGTAGAGATATATAGTCGATGAAAATGATTGCGTCGACGAAGCTGGCTAAGGCGCAGCGCGCGATGCAGAACGGCAAGCAGTACGGTCTCGCCGGCCAGGAGGTCTTCCAGCAGTCCAAGGCCGAGGGCGAGGAGGCGCCCAAGAAGAAGCTCTACCTCGTCATCTCCTCCGACAAGGGCCTCTGCGGCGGTGTCCACTCGGCCGTCTCCAAGTTCACCCGTCGCGAGCTCGCCGCCGGCGACGCACAGTCGCCCGTCATGATCGTCGGCGACAAGTCAAAGGCCCAGCTCAGCCGTGCCGTCAGCGGCAACCTCGCCCTCACGTTCAACCAGATTGGCCGTGATGTGCCGACGTTTGCGGACGCGTCTGCTGTGGCGGACCTTATCCTGAAGAGCGGTGTCGAGTGGGACGCGGTCGAGATTGTTTACAACAAGTTCGTGTCGGCTATCTCGTACGAGGCTACGAGCATCGTCGTTCCCGGCGAGTCGACATTCAAAGAGACGTGTACGTAGTTCATGCTTATTTGTTGTTGCGAGCGCGTGCTGATCAGGTCTGTGTTCTAGCTGGCTTCAAGGCGTACGAGATGGAGGACGAGGTCACCAGGGACCTCGCTGAGTTCTCCCTCGCCAACGCCATCTATGCCGCTCTCACTGAGGGCCACGCTGCTGAGCAGTCTTCCCGGTATGTCACTTCTCCACCTCTCCTCCCAGTTCTCATACTGATATTGTATCACAGCCGTAACGCCATGGACAACGCCTCTAAGAACGCGTCGGACATGATCGGCTCGCTCCAGATGCAGTACAACCGTGGTCGCCAGGCCGCCATCACGAACGAGCTCGTCGACATCATTACCGGTGCCAGCGCGCTCTAAGTGCGCTGTGTACATGTGGACGGGAATGGCGATGGTGGTGGTGCGGAGGGCTGCTTCGTTATGCTGTAGTCGTACACTATCGTTGGCAGCAACTAGATAAATCTATAATTCTCCCCCAAAGACGGCGCAGTCGCCTTGCGTATTGTGGTCACCCAGTCATGATGGAGTGGAGCGCGACGTGCACGAAGGAAAGAAGCAAATACGAGAGAGGTGCACGAGACTGCATTGTCTCGAGTCCAGCAAGCCAACAGGAGCGTGTACTATGCATTTCAGGCCATTTGGCCCCTTCGCAAGGAGATTCAACTCTTAGGTATGCCCGAGAGCACAACCATGGATATTTGCGCAGTGCTTTCCCAACAGGCGACGCGAATGAATAGAAGCCGATGACGGCGGCGTTGGAAGGCGGCGGGCAGCGAGATAGGCAAGTTGACAGTATGCAAGTGTATTGAAGCAGACTATTCTACTACATGGCTCAATGCTAGAGTAAGGAACATGCGAAGGACAAGGCAAAACGAAGGAAAGAGGCGGACGGGATGTCGGGAGAAAGCGAAGCTCAAAGCGGTATAAAAACCCAACGACAAGCATTATAATCCCCATATACACTCACTCTTGATCCCCGCCATTAGGCGTAGGCGGCGTGGAAGCGTGTATGCCGCCCGTCATGGTTTATAGAGGATCGTGGTTGTAAGAATGAGAGACGAAAGTTTCGGGAAGCGCGGTTCATAAAGCGCCGGTGCGCTTCGGCTTGTTCGGCCCGGGTGTTTTTCCTCGGGCGGCGCGCTTGCTGGCCGTAGTTCAGGACGACGACGTCTGCAGTCCGACCGTAAAGCTGTCTTGAGGAGCAGCACCAGGTGGAAGTTGAAGGCGTAGAGAGTCTAGGAAGACTAGTCGAGTGTACGTTATATAGCTACAGGTAGGGGATACATAAGAGACATGCTACAGAGCGTACGTCGGTCCCGAGAACAAACGAAGGTGGAGGGGCAGCGCATATAGATACAGTGGGTAGTTATTGAAAGCAAGAGGTGATGCGACTGGCCAGATGTCATGATTGGAGGTGAAGAGCACGGGCACAGCCTGTTGTTGTGATTGAAGGTCGAGAGTGAAGAAGAGGTGGCGCGGGGCGTTCTTGGTTGAGGGCGTCGCATGGTCGTACGTGTCAGAAGTCCGTTCATTGGTTGCAGGGAGCGGCCGAGATGGAAATCGAGTGGCGAGTGCGCTTGAGATGATGTGAGCCAGCGCGGCTCGAACCGAGTCTGGGAAGCGTACCTTGGCAGGCTGGCGGGAGTAGCCGTCACTGGACTCATCGCGTCCCCGCTTCGCCGGTGCAGGGCACGGTGCCATGTTCACCCACCCTTGTACAGGCACTGCATGCTTGTGAGCACACGTTATCGTCACGACATCTAAGGCTGCTTACCAGGCTCGACTGAGGGCGCAGGCTTGCGCGCGACTGGAGGTAACCAATAGTATGAAGGGATGAATGAAGGCTGCTCGATCTGGAGCGCTGAGTAGTAGTCGCGCAGCTGGATGTAGTACTTGATCTCGGCGTCTTGCTCAGAGTCGTACTTCGTGATGGTGTTCATGTCCTTGTATCTGCATAGCATAGCCGGTAAGTTCACCGCGATACTGATCCGGGCGAAGGATACTCACGTTGCGAGGCGGCGCTCCATAGCCTTGGGAGGCAACGACTCGATAGTCGGCGAGGGACCCTGGATCAGGATGACGGGAGGCTGGTGCCTGTTTCCCGGCGGGCAGGCAGCGAGGGCGGCAAGGTTGATGCTGGGTACACCGCGGCGCTTGCGGATATCGAAGAACTTGTCGCGGAAAGAACGGGTACGGGGCTTCGCGTTGCGCTGTGCAAGCATTTGACGAATGACTTGAGAGAGTTGCGCGTTCGCGTCCTTGTTGATCGAGGTGATGGTGGAGAGGCGCGCAGCCTTCTTCTGGGCATTGACGAGTGCTTGTGCTGCGGTCATGGTAACAGTGGCGGACATGTTATGAGGAAACGGCGTTGAGTTGTGAGACGGAGACCCGAGACGATGAGTTGTGCAGTCGTAAGAAGCCTTGAGCGCGTCAGTAAGTGGAGAAGGGCGATCTACGTCGTGCACGCCGGCGTGCGGGAGAAGGGCAAGTCCTGTGGGAGAGAGGAAAACAAGACGGGAGACCGTATCACCGTGCGCGCGGTGTTATAAGTGCCCGGGAGAGTACGGGGCCGTGATATGGGCCTTTGGGCGCTAGCCCAATTGTTTCGTCTGCTTGACATCGAGATTAGCGATGTCGGGAAACAAGAGCCAGTGCTCGGCGGGGATGGCCGGGGCCATCAGACGCTAACGCCACTGTAGGGGAAAGACAAAAGAGGATGCCCTGTAAAGGGCATTCCTAAGGAAGCCTTTGGCCACCAGAAGAGGCGACAAGGGCGTAGCGTGAGGATAGCAGGTCCGGATACGCGGCGGAAGCATCAGGACAACGGCAGAGGGGCATCCCGAATAGGAAAGTCGCACGTGGCCGAGTCTGGTCCGCGCAATTGTTTTGACGCGTCGAGCTCTCGTTCCGCCATTGAGGTCGTTCTTGCTTTGTTCTGACGCGACCCGAATAGACCGAAGGTAATCTGATAGAGCAGGTCAGCACATTACAGAACAGGGCTAACCCGCGCTTCAAAGCATGCCGCGCGCAGAGAAAATCGGTGAGACCCGGGCCTTATTCACTGAAAAAGGCACGGCGGATGACCGAGGCGTAGGCTCCTTATTATTTTGTCCTGATTGCGGGACCTTGCTCGATGTCCCTGGTGGAGATGAGACGTTCGTGTCTTGCGAACAGTGCGGACATGAAGAGCCTGCGAGTTGTAAGCTCCAAGCTTGCATTCCATTCATCGCAGCCGAATTGAAGATCGTGCGTGATAGCGTACGAGAACATTGAGATCACAACACGATCCCATCCGGAGGCTTTCCCTTCGGCGCTGAGACAGAAGCGCAAGACGCAAACCAAGGTGCACGAGGGAGACGCGGGGAGGCAAAAGGTACTTTCGTGTGCGGTCGGCATGAGGGCCACAGCCAAACTGATCACGCATCGTGCAGACGACGGAAAAGTGCCCCGCATGTGGACACATGGAAGCGTATTCGAAAGAAATACAGGTATGAATTGCGGGGTAAGGGCAACGTGTAGCATCACTGACACGTCGACGCACAGATGCGCAGCGCAGATGAAGGTTCCACAATCCTATACGAGGTGGGTTCTAGACCGTATAGGTCCAGCGCCCTAACTGATACACGCCCGTGCGCAGTGCGTGAGCTGTAGACACGGCTGGCGCATCAACAACTAGGCGCGTGCGAAGACACGTATGCGAAGGGGCGGTATACGCGTGTTGTGATCTTTTGAAGGAGCGTGTTGCGCAGGTATAAGCGTATTCGGAGATTACACGTAGACACCGGCGGCGCAGAATAGGGCTACCACGCCAAAACCGCCCAGTACGCTGGCAGTGAGAGCGACGCCCAACTCTCGAATCGGAACTGTGTCCTTAGAGAGCCTGTAGACGTAGATGAGCGGAGTCTGTACCGCGAGACGCGCACAATGCATGTTTACTTACGTTGAGAAGTAAAAGGCCAGACCGAACGTGGCGGTCAACAGGACGAACGCGAGGTTCGGGAGTGCAGAGACCGGGATGGTCGGCGAGAACGCCGGTAGCGTCTGGTGCAGGTGCTGAAAGCCGAGGAGATGAGCTACTACGATACTAGGAGCCACAAAGAGCCCGTAGAGCGTACCTTGACGGTGTCGTAGTCCATGAGGCCTGGAGTGGTGTGGTGGAGGCGAGTGCTAACTCTGCAAGTTGCTAATTGACAGGACTCTGACGTATCGTCGCGCAACACGTCCCACACGTGGCCGCGCAGTACTTTATCGCGGTCGCCTCGTTTCGTCTTCCCCTCTTCCTCACACCACCACCACCGACTTCTCGAATTCGTAACGACCTTCAACGCCCAAGAAATCTACAAAACTCCCAATGTAAGCGGATTTTCGCGTCGTTGTGGGTAACTTCGGGGAGCACTTGACTGACGGTCGTCATCGATTTTTTCCCATCGCCGACAGATGTCCGCCCAGCAGAAGATCCAGGAGCACCCCGTGTTCAAGCAGGCTCAGAACAATGCCAGCTACTACGTATCGCAGCTCGACAAGGAGGTGCGTTGGATTTTATTTGTGTGGTAGTGTGACGGTCGTCGCTGACGTAGTTGGGGTTGCTCGTGTGCGTAGCTCGGCAAGTACCCGGTGATGAACAGCATCGAGCAGCGCTCGCAAGTCCCCAAGTCGTACATTTTCCTCGGCGGTGTCGCACTCGCGCTCCTCCTCCACACCGTCAACGCCCTCGCCGCTCCTGTCTCGAACCTCATCGGCTGGGGTCTCCCGGCGTACCTCTCCTTCAAGGCCATCGAGTCTCCCGGCCATGAGGACGATGTTCAGTGGCTCACGTACTGGATCGTGTTCGGCTTCTTCAACTTCCTCGAGGGCTTTGCGATTTCCGTCGTGCTCTACTACCTTCCCTGGTGCGTCGTCATCGTCAGCTTGACTACGTCAATCTTTCTCACGTGATTTCGCCCCTCAGGTATTATGCGTTCAAGAGCGTCTTCATCCTCTGGCTCCAACTCCCGGCATTCCGCGTACGTTATCATGCACAGTCTGCGTGTCATCGTACAAGCGCTGACAACCTCTGCAGGGCGCCCAGAAGACGTACTACACCGTCCTCAAGCCCGTCCTCGCCAACATCAGCCACCAGTCGTCGACCATCTCGAACGACTCGGCGGCTCCCGCTACGTCGCAGTGATCGTCTCGCCCTACTTACGAACCTCTCTCCTTTCTCAAGCGCTCCATCTTCGTTTACGTTCCCCGGCTCGGTCCTAGTAGAACGATTTCATCCTTCTTGCATTCTCCTGTAGTGTAAAAACCTACCAATGACCCCTTTGCTTTGCGTGTACCGTATCTCGTGGAAGACATGGACTGCATCGTCTCTGGACTTATATCTGCCCGTGTAATCCAATTTCACGAACTTAAATCTTTGCATTCTTTCGTCCGTCGTCTGAGCGCAAGCAATCAGCCACATCAAGGCATGTTGGTCGCAGGCTCTCGGAGTCGGTATCACGCGACCGGCCGCCTGGTCTCTGCGTCGATGTCCTCGCACGCTCTTGCCGGCTCGACATACGGTATACCCTCCAACGGAAGCCTCGGAGCACAGGCACTCACAAGCCTCCAGCCTTCCGTTTAAAGCAGAGAAGTCCCGGGTGAGACAGAGTGACCAATTCGCGGTCTCGTCGCTCGACTCCTTGGCCGACGCGATAACGAACGGACTTCCACATCAAAGCGCCTCTATATACGAGTGTTACCCCTGGAACTAGACGAAACTCGGTGATCGCTGTTTATTGCCCCTCCTTCCCCTCCGATACAACCTAATACATATCACCTGGCGCACCCCGTCTGGGCGCTCGACGCTCCCTGCTCCTGACCATCGTCTCTACCGTCCGCCGTTGCTGCCTGAGGTCCTCCGCTCCCTCCGTCCGCGAACGGTGCCACACCCCGCAACATGTCGGCCGCTGAAGCCGCGGTGCCCCAGGAGAAGTCGGATCCCGTCTACCACCCGTACGGTAACAGCGCGGATGGTAGTGGGCTGGGCTATAGCGCATCGTACGACGGCGATGGCCAGTCGCTGTACGAGCGCTACACGGGACTCAAGGGCGTTTACTACAACCCGTATACCCAGGTCGTCTTGCTCGGCTTCGTCTGCTTCATGAGTCCCGGTCTCTTCAACGCGCTTCAGGGTCTCGGTGGAGGTGGACAACTGGACACGGAGACGAGCGCGAACGCCAATTCTACCCTATACGCTACTTTCGCTGTCGCCGCCTTCTTTGCAGGGTACGTCTGGCCGGCGCGGCGCAGGGTGGGCGCTCGCGCGCTTTGCGCCGTGTGCTCTTCTTCCTTCCCGCTCCCGTATTGACGCCCGGTTCCACACAAGGTCCATCAACAACGTCCTAGGGCCGAGGCTGACGCTCCTGCTCGGGAGTTCCGGTTACGCATTGTTCATTAGGTGTGTGCGCCGTGCGAACCGCTGAGCTCTTGATATTGACATGCAGATCCCAGTTCATACCTGTACGCACGCGCTATGATTGACCCAAGTCCGCCGCTTACTCACACGTCGTGGCGCGCAGTGTCGTAAACATCCACCCCAATGCCAGTGGGTATGTCATCGGCATGGGTGCGGTCCTAGGCATCTGCGCCGGTATGCTGTGGACGGCCCAGGGCTCGTTGATGCTCGCCTATCCCACCGAGTCTCAAAAGGGGCGCTTTATCGGGATCTTCTGGTCCATCTTTAATCTGGGCGGAGTCGTCGGAGCGTCGGTATCCCTCGGTCAGAACTTTCACAACACGGTACGCCTCCCATCACGTCGCTAATTTGGCTGTGATTCACCTATCTGTGCGCAGACGAACAGGGTCGGCAATGGCACCTATGCAAGTCTCGTTCGTGATGAAACATGTACGACGTACTGACCCTTCCCAGATCGGCTTTCTGGTACTCACGGGCATCGGCTTTCTCCTCCCGCTCTGCATGGCGAATCCTAACAATATGATTCGTACCGACGGAACGCGGGTCACGACGCCACACCAGCCCTCCTGGAGGACAGAGATCTATGGCCTCTATGTCGCGTTGCGGACAGACCCGCTCATCATTCTTCTTTTCCCTATGTTCTTTGCCTCAAACTGGTTTTACACGTATCGTAAGTGGTATCAGCCGTGTCTGTCCCGTAACGGAAAGTCTTACCGTTTCGCCTTTCCGCTTCCAGAGTTCAACGACTATAATGCGGCCCGTAAGTGTTGAACTCTATCTGGGTTCGCGCTTGTCTAACGCGTTTGAGGCAGTCTTTAACATACGCGCGCGCTCATTGAATAACCTGGTCTACTGGCTCTCTCAAATCCTGGGCTCGCTCTCCATCGGACTGCTTCTGGACCAACAACAATTTTCGCGCCGCCTTCGCGCCTTCTCCGCATGGTGCATCCTCCTCGTCCTCGTCTTTGCCGTCCACACGTGGACGTACTTCTATCAAAGGTCGAGATCCCTGCGAGCGCTCTCCCGCCCCGCAGACATGTGCTCACGTCTAGCCACAGGAACTACACCCGCGAGTCCATCCCACCCGACGCGGAGAAGATCGACATTTACGACAGCGGATACGTCGCTAAGATGTGGCTCTACATCTTCTGCGGTATCCTCGACTCAATGTGGCAGACGACTGCGTATTGGATGATGGGCGCCATGTCGAACGACCCGAACAAGCTCGCATACTTTGCCGGATTCTGTACGTTGCCGGCGGCTCTTTTTCTCGGGCGCGCTGCGGCTTCGCAGGCTCAGGCTGATTCATGTGCTTTCTTTTTTTCGTAGACAAATCTATCCAATCCGCGGGTGCCGCCGGTATCTGGCGGGGAGACGCTGTCAAGCTGCCGTACGTCCCATGCTCTCGTTACCATGCTGACATTGGGCCTGATCGACCGATACAGGTACATGTCGATATTCATATCGACGTGGAGCTTGCTTGCCGCCGGTCTCGTGTTCGCGCTGCCCATGATCCATCTGAGGGTCAAGGATCACACCGAAGATGAAATTGAGTACGCGTAAGTCCGAATCTTGTTACCTCGCTTGCTCCTGGTGCTGACGTGCAATGGCAGCGGAGAGATGGAAGAGAGAGGACCCGTACGACACCCACCAGACCCTGAGACTGCTTCTTCCTGATTTATGCTTTCGTGTCTTGTTATCGCTGCTGGATCTTCTAAGGCCTATTTGTGTTAGTAGCATGCTTTATGTATTGTATTGATGGAGCTCAAAGAACGCGGGAGTGCGAGAATGGCAAGACGTCGTGAATTGATTTGCGGTGAGGGTATGTTACTCCGTATACGACAGCAGATAGATAACAAGATGACAGTGCGACATGGGCTACAGATGCCCTTTGAGACGTGAATGTGAGAGCAAGTGAGCGGATGAGAAGAGGGTCGAGAATCTAGGCGTCTAGAATATGGTCGCGAGCGCGCCGCTGTCGTCGCCGCCCATGGCATCGAGCGCTTTGACGCCGGGCCCGTTCTTGCCGAACGTGAAACCGACCCAGACGCCACGCGCGATCGGCTCGTCCTTCTCCTTGACCTTGTCTACGTTGCGCTGCTTCTCGATGACTTCGGCGTACTTGGCCATGTCCTCGGCTGAGGTGAAGTCATCGTAGTAGCCGGTGTCGATCTCTGAGTCGAGAGCGGGGACGAATGGCGCGGGCATGGCACGCAGGTCTTTCCAGTAGGCGCCGTCATAGAAGGGATGGGATTTGAGGTCGTCGAGGCTTGAGTAGCGGACACTCGCGTGTGCGATGAGTCTGTACGCGGTTATGTCAGTTGCGAGCGTAAGAAACAGAGGGTCATACGTACCTCGTCACTGCGTCCCAGGCGACGTCGCTCAGATTGAAGATCAGGTCCTCGGGTTTATCGTACTCGGGACGACGCAGAACCTTAGACCAGTTCTTTAAATTCGTCCATGTTTCCTCGGGCGTGCTGCCGCTGAAGGGAGGGAAACCGGCAAGAAACTCGAACAGGATGCAGCCCAACGACCAGTAGTCCACCGAGTAGGTGTAGGCTTTTCCGCGCAGAACTTCGGGCGCCATGTAGTCTGGCGAACCGACGATGGAGTCGGCGTAGCGCGGGTCGGTGTTGCGGATGGAACGGTAGATGGATCGGCGCTCGATGGTTGAGCGGTGGACGACTTCGTTGTCCTTCACCTTGTCGAGCTGTGATGCGGTACGGTGCGTTAGCGGAGAGTGTGCGAGATCAAGATGGGCGGACGCACCTTGACTTTCAGCGATTCGATGCGTTTCGGATTAAGAGCGCCGGTAGCCAGGCCGAAGTCGGTGAGTTTGACGTGTCCCGATGCATCAACGAGGAAGTTCTACATGTCAATGAGTGTCTGCAGTAGGAGATGGGAGGACATAGACGACACCTCTGGTTTCAAGTCGCGATGAATGTATCCTAGCTTGTGTAGTTCATTGACGGCGGCAAACATCTCGCAGATGTAGAAGCGTGCGTGCTCCTCTTTGAGCACGCCGGAGTTGTTGAGAAGCGTGCGAAAGTCGCCGCCGGGGACGTACTCCATCGCGAGGTAGACGTGTTGAGGGTCCTGGAAGGCGTAGAGAAGGCGGACGAGCCATGGGGTCTTGGTCGCCGTCAAGATGTCGCGCTCGACGAGAACATGGCGGACCTGATTGCCATGAGCGGAGTGCACAAGAACGATAGAGCGATGCGCGTACCTCGTCCATTTTGAATAACGTCCGCTTTTTCATCTTCTTCAACGCGCAGACTTCGCCCGTCTCCTTCTTGCGCGCCAGGAAGACCTCGCCGTACCCTCCCTGCCCGACCTGAGCGATGATGTGGAACTGATCAACGCGCAACTTGGCGCGCCGCCGCCGCAGGAGTACGCGCTCGCGGCCGCAGTAGGACTTGAACTCCTTGTTGTACTCGGCCTGCGTCAGATCGCGCGCCGCGGTGTCCTCGTCGAACTTGGTGCGGCGCTCCTTGCGCGAGCCGATATAGCCCAGTAATTGAAAGTAGTAGTCGAGAAAGTCTGCGGGCGCGATCGCGGTCAGAGACACTCTGGTCGCCGGGATCCAGCGTACGCACAGAGTTGTGCCACCGTCGACTTGCGGCGTACCTCCGCGCTCTCCAGCAACTCCCGCTCCCAGAGTTGAAAGTTGTTCTGCTTCATCGTCGTGCCGCCGCGCGCCGTCTCCATCCGAATATCCTGGCCAATCGTCAGTCCTTTTGCGGTAGCCATATGCACGTCGTTGGCGCTGTAAGTAAGGCCTTTCGCAGTGTTCATGTGGATGTCGGAGTAGGCGTAATCGTGGACACCGGGTAGACCAGGAACGGCCTTGCGGGGGGATCGAGACATGCTTGAGTGTACGTAGTGTGTACAAGATGATCGTCGCGTATGAACCTTGTGCCAGGGCAGATCTTGATGGGACTTGGAAGAAGTAGCATCAACAAATTGTGGAGCCCTGCAAGCACTTGATAGTGCTTACATTAGCAGGATGGCTAAATTCGTCAACTAAGTGTTACCATTTCATTGTCTTCTTCGCAGACCTTATTCCGGGGCTAAGAGACCCGGCTTGCCACCACGTCAAACTTGATCCCGGACCGCTCCGGACCACTCTTCTGATAACGTCCGGTTAAGTCATTTGTTGTTAATTGTCTGTGGTTTCGCTCGCAATTCTTGCTCCCGACCGTGATCATCCCGCAGCCGTAGGGGCCGGCCAACCAGGTCGGCCCATACCGGTACACACCGCCAACCCGGTCGGCACCAAAAGCCAACCTGGTCGGAAACCAACTCAGTCAAACAGAAATGGACTCGGCGATTACAAGCCCGGGTTGTAAAGTCCGCAGAACATCGGATTTAAGAGATAACTTATCAAATTAGACATGTCGAAATTCACGCAAATTCAAGACAAATTTCCAAATATCAAGAAAGTTGATTATCGCATACGGTACGGTACAGGCCCTATCTACTAACCCCAACCTCAAATGCGACAGCGATCCATGATGCACCGCGCTGACGCACTCCAGCACATAGGGAATCATTGCCTGTCTATGCCAGTCGAACGCAGATGTGCGTATTAACCACTGCGTGTGCGAATGTCAACTAGAGAGCAGGTTATAGCACATATGGCGAACGCACCTATCGCGCCAGGCTTATTGCCTTGCGCACGCCAGCGCGCATCCTTCCCGCGTACTCCTCTGCCCTCTCTACGGCCCTCCTACTGCGGGTACCCTTCACCCCCGCCAAAGCAATATTATAGGTTGAAAATGAGCCCCGTTATCGTCGAGTGGGCAGAGTGCGCAGGGTGTACGAGTGGAAGCAGAGCTGGGGCACGAAGTGGGCGGTCAAGGTCGAAGGCAAGGACGCGGGCGGGTGCCAGCGCATCACAGCAACATCGATTTAAACTGAATGCGTAAAGCATCATGGCTCCTCTTGCGAGTCAAGCTCCTGTGGTGTCGTGGCTCAACGGACAAAGCGTCAATAACGCTGACAAGCTTCAGCGCATGTCTCGGTTCAATTCCTACGCGGTGTCGTTTTTTACATCTTTCCCCCAAATTTCTGGCCCATTTCTATCCCTCGTAATACATGTACAGGTAATACACGCTTCATGTTTGCGAGATATACTAGCCATATGTACTCTGTATATTGTCACATGTACGCTGTATATTGTCCAATAGATCTATCTACTTCTTACTACTGTATGATCCCTTCTCCGTCGCCCATTTCGTACGCGCGCCTCTCCCACCCGAAGCGTCCTTGGGCTTCTCAGATGCTGCCGAAGACTGTGGCGCTTGTGCCGACGGTCCTTGCTTCCCGCTCTCACCTTCCTCTTGACGGACGGCCAGGAGCACCTTGAACGTCGCCGCCATGTCCTTCGCCAGCACCACGAAGTTATCCCGCCCCTGTTCCGACAGAATCCAATGCGCCATGCACCACAGCAGCAAGAACGGCCCTTTATAGCCTCTCGTCGCAGCCAACGCATCCCACTCCATCTCGCGACCAGGCGGGCGAAGGTCGCTCAACGCGCCAACAGCGACCCGGCGTTGCGACGGTTGCATACCCATCCACCACTTCTCCATATGGGTGCCCCAATTCGCGGTTATCTGGTCCGCCTTCAGTTTTGCCCCGCGGCCACGCGTCATCGTCCCACAAGCGTCTGGACGGCCGGCCATAGGCAAAGACGGCGTGCCTGTAGCATCCTAAGCATTTAGAGGCGGTAAGTATCAAGCGCGCTTTGTACGAACATATACTGACCCAAATGTCGTCCAGCCTAATGATATCTTCCGTCGCGCTGACCAGCTCGGTATACGCACGTTTTTCTTCGCCGTGCAACTTATCCGCAAGCTCATTGATGAAGGTGCGTTTCGACTCGTACCGTTTCCAGGCGTTCGTCGCTCCTAACCCGCTCGCTTTCGTAGGACCGGTCTTCCCTGCCTACGACGGTGTCAGGCACGACGTAAGGAAGAAACTTCCACAACGCACCGATGGCAGGACCCGTCTTGAAACGTTCTCGCCGCTCTGTCCCTCCGCCACGCGCCCGCTCCTTACCGGAACACCTCCCGCTCTCTCGCCCGTGCCCTCACCGATGTTCCCATCACCGTCCGTCGGCCGTTTCTCCTTGGATTGCGTACTGTGCGCACCGGCAACGATGTCTTCGCTCGGCGCGCCCAGCTCATCCAGCGGAAGAACCCAACCTGCCTCTTCTGGCTCATCCTCATCATCGGAAATAACGGCGCGCCTCTTCTTCTTCGCTGGCTGTCGTTCGATCGGGACCACTCTCTCCACCGAGTCATTACGCTCCGCTCCGCTAGAGCGCTCCTTCCGCCTACCCAGTACCTTGCCGCCTTTAGAATCCTGCCCGTTTCCGGGACCTGTATCGTTGCCCTGTCGCGGACCGGCGTCAGCCACCTCATACATCTCCAAGCATGCGAAACGGATATACCTTGGACCTCCCGCGTTTCTTCTTCGGGCGCGCTTTTGGTCGTTCTTTCGCGCCATCTCCGGCATCGTCACCGTCCGAGCTTCGCGCTCGCGTCTTAGCCTTCTTCTTCACCCTCTTGGTCTTCTGTTCGCGGTTCGACCACAAGTTCGAATGCATAGAATAAGCACTCATGATCTCGTCGTCGCTGGCGCCTTCCGGCGGCAACGAGCGGCTCATAGACCGAGCGAGCTTGCTCGTGTTGCTTTGTGCTGGCGACCTTCCCCTCTCCACGTCTCCGTCTACACCCGGAGCAGGCACTCGCCATGGCTCGCCGCCTCCAAAGTTCCCAGGCCCGTCGGCGCCAGGGCTTAAGTCGAGGTCTGGGTCGTCGAATCCACGCGGGGTCGGGGAATCGGGGAACGCAGGCTTATAGACGGCATAGCTCGCGCGAGCCCGCATCAAGGACGGTGAACGCTGAACATGCGCAATCGAACGTCCGCTCATGTGGTTGCTGGAACGACCGTGCGCCGGGAATATGGAACTGGGATCGCGACTCGTAGGGGGAAGAGAGGGGGTTCGGCGCGCCCGTGACCGTGATTGCCGAGTAGCTGGCAGAGACGGCGATCGCGGTGGGTGGATGCCGTATGCCGAATGACGGCTGGTGGAACGGGAGCGCACGCGAGGCGTATGCGGAGGGCGACGAGACTTCGAACGCGGGGGAGAGCGACCTCGATTCGCCGCTGAATGAGGAGAAGCTGTCCCTGTATGCGCGGCATGGCGTGTGATGGATCTCGACCGGCGTGCCGAAGAAGGCGATTGGCGCTGTGGGATAGCCGTGCGATCACCGTATCGAGATGGGAGCGACGGCGAGCGACGGGGGATGGCTGAACGGCGCGTTTGGGATGGACCAGGAGAGTGGCGTGCAGAACGAAGAGATGCAGAAGGCGAGGTTGTTGGAGCCGGTCGCGTCGTCGCACGCGCGCTAGATGCCTTCCGCTCGTCCGGAGGGTGGTGGGACACCGAGTGAGATGCCTCGGGCCAGTTCAGCGACGTCCGGATGAGAGATCGCCCGCGTTCTTTGTTGGGCAAAGTGTACTGTGCCTGTTGTCGGAGGGGCGTTGTTGGGATGATGTGGCACGACTTGTATAAAAAGCGGCGCAAACGTACCTTATCCAATAATGACAACAAGTCTTCCTCTTCTTCGGCAACAGGGTTGTCCGTATCCTCGGCGTCGGTGTCGTCCGTCGCAGGTGCTTCAATGGGCGCGCCGACGAGGTGCTCGCGGGCGTAAGTCGTCATGAGCTGCATGATGTCCGTAACGATGTGGCCCAAGAAGCCTTCGAGGTCTTGACTCCCGGGTGAAGCGCCACACGTCGCAAAGACCCTAGAAATGGTGACCAGGTCAGTTCAACGCAATACTCGACGGTTGGCCCAGTCTCACTTAGCTGTATCAGTTTTTCCGTCGTCCGCTTTTCCAGAGACGAATAGCGCCATGGCGAGACCGTATCGTCTGGCCGCCCAATTCAGTAACATGTTGAAGAAGGCGCCCATCTCCGGCTGAGCCCTGCGGACACATGTTCAGCACCTGAGCGACTCGGGGCAGGAAGAAGCCAACGCGGCGTACCATGCTCGAGAGCCACGCGCCTCATCTGCAGGCGCGCCCCACAGGAGTCTGTACTTCTCCGTCGCTTCATGCGAATGAGCTTCACACTTCGCCCGCACGGAGTCGCGGAAGTCAGCCCTTTCAGCGTTCCAGCGCTTGGCGGCATAACGGCGCTGTTCGCCCGCCCGCGACTTCTCCAACTCTTCCAACTCTGCGTCTCCGGCGGCCTTTGACACGCGCGCCGCCCATTCGTCTTTGAAGTCGGAGAGCCAGCGATCTTGATAGTGGCTCTGATAGAAGTCCAGAGAGCGCGGGGGCTTCGGGGGTGGCTGCATGGCGCTCACGACACGATCGATATACGCTTGAACGGTTGCGTTAGAGAGCTTGCCGCCCCCCGCGCCACCTTCCTTTCTCAGCTTCGTGTAGTGCTTGCGTACTTTCTGTAAAGCTTATGTCAGGTTTTTTTATACGAGGGCGAAGTTATCTGACTGACCGTTTTGAGCTTTTCCAGGTAATCGCGCCTGGCATTCTCCTCGTCCTCCGACGCAAGACGCGGCAACTCCGGAATCTGTTCGTATGTCCAGTCCGCTCCCGGTATTGGGACGCGATTCTTGAGTGTGTTTGGCCAGTCGAATGCCACAGCTAGCGAGCGCGTTGTATTGCTGAAGAAGTTACTCTTTTCAGTCCTCACAGGCAAAGAGTTCTGGCCCGGTTTCGCCTCTATCTTTCGCAGTACGGGAGCAAACTTGGCGAGGTGTCGACTATGAACAGCTGTTATGTCGGGTTCGGGTCCTGGCGCCATGGCGGAGGCGCGGGGTGCAAGCGGCGGACAAAGATACAAGACCGGGAGCCCGAAGACTAAGGCGGTGAGCGCATTTGACGACTCCGCATACGCACGAACGATACTCATAAGATACATCAGATGTCGGTCTTCACAGGTACACCGAGATCGGACAAAAGGCTCTAAGGTATTGCTGGACCGCGGCCGTAAGTCCACCGCACGAAACTCAGCAGCACCTTCGATCGCAGGTCCCGCCCTCGGAATGCGGGGCGCGGATGAAATATCACCATGGGCTCCATGAGCTGCCATCAGGTAACAAACGACTACTTTAAGCTTGACCCGTTAGAGGGAGATGGCTGAAATATTCGTTGAACTGTCCCTAGTGAGCTGTTGATGGCACGTGGCTGAGTTTGCAAGACCAGTTCGAACCGTCAGGTCCGCGTGAACCGCCGTCACTAACCGATCACGCTGCCATTTGTCCACTCTGCCTTCACCATCATGCGCGCACTCGAGATGGATCTCGATATCGACTATGCGAGCCCTTCGGTGACGGCGCAGGAGTTGGACGTCAAGTGCTATGTAGTCCTGCGAGGTTATACGCATGGCGTGATGGATAAGTAAGTCGCCTTACATGCCATTGCGCGTTCGCAGACTGATACTATCCCTTTCTAGATTAAACGCCATCCTGGCCACTGCTGCGATTTCCGGCTCTCTCGTCGTCAAGATGCGGGACGAAAATGCCGCGCAGCAGCGTTGGCGCGAAGCCCTGATCGCTGGTAATCAAGTGGCCGTCCTCGGCACCAGCAGCGCTGAAGAGGCACGGTCCATCGCTATCTTTCTATCACAGATTTAACTTACCGATCGTCAGCGCGCTGCTTTCGTTGCCGCATTACGCGCCCAGCTTCTGCCGCGTTCACGCGCGAGAGGCTCATCTCCCGCGCCGCCGCGCCGCCGCACTGATACGCTCAGGCGGCCGGTGTCGTTGAGCTCCACCTCCACCTCATCTGGAGTGAAGGTAGAGCCGCGCAATGCGACGTTGCCCGATCGTCGCCCTGGGTGGGTGCCACCCAATGAGTACACACCACCCGCAGGCGCAGGGTGGGAGTTCGTCCCTTCGGTCCCGCACCCCGATGTTCTCTCTGGACGCCGTTCGAAGAAGGAGTGGTATGTAGCTCGTGAAGCGCGTGTTCCCGGGATATATAAGTCTTGGTGCGTGTTGTCGACCGCCTTCGCGTAGAGTGATCCCGAACTCAAGATCTACACATAGGGACGATGTGGAGGCTGTGAACCAGGGCACACAGCGCGAGATTATCGCACCGGGTTTCCGAACGTACCGCGAGGCGCTGGCGAACTGGTTGGAAATGAGGGATTCGGGTAGGATCAGAACGTTCGCTTAGTATATGCTTGCAATGTTAGTGTACCCTGCACGTGTAATGTGTACTTAATGCATCTCGCTTTTGCTCCTTGTATTGTTGTTGATCTTAAGAGGACACACACGTTAGAACAGAGAGTTCAATATATCCAAGAACGACACCAGCTACATAGGACCACGCCATCTACATACTTGGCACTCTTCCAGCATTACAGCCGCCATGCTGTCCGTCCTCCCACATCGAGTGTGGAGCCTCAGACAGCCGACCGCGTTCTCCAATCGCCCGGCATACGCTTCGGCAACACACAGCCTTCCCTTGATGACCAGCAAGGGCAGACGATGACCGGCAGCATCGCGGTCGGCGATCACGTCCTCGAGCGTCGTCCAGATCGTCTCGAATTGATCGTGGTAGCTCGGCGCTGTCACCAGCAAGTGCTGAAGTCGTGGGAATAGGTTCCCGTCGCCCAGCAAACTCAAGAACTTGCTAGCGGCCCGTTGCTTCGAGAAGTCCATGTGCAGATTCTGTACGGAGTCGAACCGTAGGAGAACCCTACGAAGCTCGCGCACGTCTGCGCCGCCATCCACCAGTGTGTGTTGGAAAATGGGGTCGCCCTTGACGTGAACATGCACGGGGTTGAATGCGGCGAACCCAAACAACATGCGCGCGAGTCCGTACGTGACGGAGTCTCCTGCGCGAGTGTAGCGGTGCCTGAGTGTACCCGGGGCAAGAAAGGTGCTGGGGACAAAGTGCATCGAGAACCGCATTCGGTACGTGTTGTCCCGAGCGTGGGCACGCAGGTCCAGGGAACGCCCGTCGTTCTCGATGGAGATGTCGATCCCTGTAGCTGGTAGCCTAGCGAGACGCAGCGCAGACTTGACCACCCGCTCTAGGAGAAACCCGGCATGCGGCGCCTTCGGAGTATCCTTCGCGATGTTGATGTCATGCAACGTTCGAAGCGCACATGCGCGCAAGGCAACCATGTTGGGGAATTCGTCCCCACCGGCTGGGTGCTCAAGTGGCGGGATGACCGCGTCGTCCATACGGGCGCTGATGTCTCCGTAGCCAGCATTGTCAAGGTCTGATTGCGCATCTGCCAGACTCGCACGCGTGCCTTCCGGGTCACCACCGAGTGTCTGAAGAGCGACCAAGATGTTGTCGGCGATGGACGGCAAGAGCTCGGGGTTCGCCGTTGCCCTCATATCACACGATAGCTGAAGCGTGCGTATCGCGGGGGCATCGAGATGAGACAGAAAAGTCTCGGTCTCCTCCGACATGTCTCCAGCAAGGTAGAGTTCGGTTAGAGCGCCGAGATGTAAGGTCTCGAAGACTGGAAAGTCGTCGAGCGGGAGGCGCCAGCGCAAATGCAGCCGCTCTAGTAGCGGCATCAGTTTGGCCATCGCCAAGGCTTCGTGCGCGTGAACGTTGAAAACCCTCGCAAAGGTAGTCGACGGAGCATTGACCCATACAGCACCACCGACATCGAGAGTCTTTAGGTCCTTCATCACGAGACGATTGCCAATGGTATTCAAGGCGGCAGACTGAGAGGCCCCACAGCGAATGCGCAGAAAGGTCAAGTGCGCGACACTGCCAGCCTCGCGTAACAAAGACGTGAGATCCAGTACTTCCTCGCCGACGATGTTGCCGATGTCGAGACGGAGAAGAGTGGAAAGCGGGCGCAGAATGTCCCGGATTTGGTCGCCGGTATAGAACGTGCAGCCGAGTCGCCGGACGGGGCCATGAACAATGAGAGGCACGTATACCTCGCACGTGTTGAGCGCGGAAGCGTTGAGGTGTTGCGTGGCGGACGGTTGCGCGCCAGTCGGTATACCTCGCACATCCGGCTGGATAAAGAGCATCCTCAGATGCGGAAGATTGCTCCCACCCAGAACAGGCGTGAAGTTGCCCAGCGAGCAATCGCTGCCAACGTAGATGCCGCCAGCGTGCATGAGCTCGTTGTCGAGAAGGCGCGAGTCGACACTATCACGGTAGACGAGGCGCAGAGGCGCATAACGGACACGGGGCCGTACATGGTTCCACGCGTCAGTGGTTTGCGCCGCCGCGATGACGATACCCCAAATCCGCGGCATGTTCATGAGCGACGCGTACAGCCAGGGACCGGTCCTCAGCAACGAATAGAGATCTCCCAAGATCTCCCGGCCTCGCCCATTGGTGAAGTACTCTCCCAAGGGGATCCGGTCATCGTCGCCGACGACGAACAGCATAACTTCTTCGAGGCATTCCTGCGTGAGCTTCGTGATCGACGCCGTTTCCGGTAGAGCTGGCCACGATCAGGTTAGTTTGAGAATAGCCGCAGCCGTAATCAAGTATGGACTCACGTATATGCATTAGGGTCGCGCTCGGTTGAGTAAAGGTACGAGGCTCACGCCAACCGTCGTGGCGTAGCCTGGGCGTCCGCGGCCCCCATACTCCATTGTTGGCGACAAGTCCGAGGTCGTCGTCGTCGTACGGAGTGGGCGCGAGGCCGCTGCTGTACCAAGGAAGAGGATACGGGCGTGCCCATACAGACAACACGACGTCGTCGTCCGGATCGTCGTGGAAGATTCGAGCTATATCAGCGTGTCTGGCTTCGGTCAGTCAGGAGTAACCATATCGTTGAGTACATGCTTACCCTGGCCAAGTATCTCCTTCTCCAGCCCAGCCATTAGTCGTGATCTCTGGCGCAACGACGGGACACAGTCGGAAGAGTGCGTCTATCGCCGTGACGCTGATTAGCACAGGTGAGCTACTTCGATTCGCGCAGATGATCTATGCTAACGCACTCTGCCCAAGCGGTCTCGACGCCTTCACCGATTTGACCATCGAGCTGCGAAAGGTGTATGATGCCTGCCATCGAAGAACTGTAAAGCGCCGGATGAGAGATGGACGATGAAGAGAGATATAATGATCTTAGCTCTGGAACGCGCATTCGGGGGACTTGACTTTGAGGCCCGGTCACCCGGGAAAGCGGGGCTTAGGTGCCTGCCTGCGCACAATCCATCAGTCCTGCGCGGATCGTCTTGTCAAACGGTGGCCCTTGAAATTCTGTGCGGTGCCCAAAATATATCATCACGCCCTAGAGCCAATTAGAGGACCACCGATACCAGAGCTGTAGCTCGACTCGGAACCCGTAGCATATGCACAGTCATTCATGAACATTCAGACAATCGAGAGATGGAATGAGTGCCCCTGCTGTGTCAAGGCGTGAAGGTCGAAGGCTCTCAACTAGCGCAGCGACTTCGACTCAGCATGCTGGGACTTCTGCCGCGTGCCTGGCCATAACTTGGCTTACGCCTTCATCATCGCGCATCTACCATGAACGCTCAACCAATGTCATTCCACCTACGCTTGCTGGAATTACAAGCAGGTCAGATATATACATTCCGTGTGGAGGCGACATGCAATTGACGCGAAAGACAGAATACACGCTGCTAGACCAGAGTGAGCTACATCCCGCGTTGAGACGGCTAAGGTCGTACCTCTTACAACGTCATCGTAGAAGCCATGGCGATCGATGAGGAGTGGATACACCTCTACCGCACGCACTCCGGCCGCCAGCTGGAAGTGGTCCTTCAGGAGCATCTCGAAGACACGGCATGCGCTCGAGCTGAACTCCGACGCGACCGCGAAGACCTGATCCGTAGATGGAACGAACTGGTTTGGCTCGCTAGTCTCCCTTCGCCGCCGCGTGCGCGTATATGAGCAGTAGACTTTGTTCGGTATATCCGCAGCTTGGTGGCACACATGGGCCCGACGTGCCGAACTTCTGCGCAACATGAGACCGACGAAAAGCGGGCTGCTCGAGCGTACCAGTCGCGACCGTGCGCTCAACTACTGCCTGCGTAAAGCGTCCGAAAAAAGAAGCATCAGAGAGGTTAATGCATCGTATGTTGATATTCAGGCGCACCGCGATATCTCTCCCAGTCCTTGTGCTTCTTGCTCGCGATCGTACGGACGTGTACTGCTGGGAATACTCTCATGCAGTGGTTATTCGTCGCATTCGGAGCGACTAGCGTGTTGGAGATATTCTGGAAGGGGCTGCCGGTGGGGTGCCATATGGATGGGAACTGGAAGGTACATGGCATCTGGAGGTAGGCGTCAACTACCGCCACCGAGCTGCCGGCCCGAGATCCGCGGACTCAGCGTTCTCCGAAGCCTTGGGCGTTCAGCGGTGAATCTCGCTGTGCAGACGATTCTGCTTGTTACTGCCCAAGCTGGCGTATATGTGCCCGCCAGCATGCCATTTCAGAGAGACTTATAGTACAAGGTAACGGTGTGTACGTGCGGGAGATGGGTGAACCCGCGTCGGAGCATCAATTCGTCGACAGGCACTGGGCGATCACCCGTAGACCTCCAAGATGTCCGCTCAGGTCTACCAGACTCTGCGGAGGACCTCGATATTTTGAAGACGGCACCGAAGACGAACGGGGCCCTCGGATCTATGCTATGCCCGGTCTCTCATCTGATGACAAGGCTTAGACCTGGGCAACCGGCCCCGAGCAGCGGGCCCACACGAGGAAACGACTTAACGCTCGAAGACCGGCGGTTGCGTGAGTGGAGCGCTCAGCCAACTCTGCTTTTGCCCTCACCTGCTCCCCCATGGCCCCGTTGACGGAAGATCAGCTACGCGACGAGCAACAGTTTCATCTCGGTTCGTTATCCTAACACAAGCCTGGTAAAGTGACTTGTACTGAATAACTACCGACAGGCATCCTGCGCCGCATGCGCCGAACTGCCGACGCCGAGGACCAGCCCTCGCAGACGCAGTGGGACATGGCGGTAACCCTTTTTATTTTGATCTGTTATGCAATATCTGACTAGTCTATGCAAGGCTGAGACGATTGTGTTAGCAACCATGAACTCCATGAGCGACGTCGCCCTCGCCGCTCGCGCAGGCTCGCGCCTCAGCACGCCTGCGCCGTCTGTGGACACCTTCACCGACGATGGCACTGGCAACAATCGCCATATTCCGCGCTTCATGCGCCAGCCCATCACGCCTCCTAGTGTCGCCGAGGCCATCGCCGAGGCCTTGCCCGGCGTCGCCCTTGACGTTCCAGCTGTGTATCGTGTGGCTGAGAACGAGTACGGTCTGTGGTGCTGCGAGGCCGCCCACTGTGGTCATTTCATTGACCCTGCGCGCTTGCGGGTTGACGAGATTCAATTCGTCCGCGCGTTTGCAGCTGGGGAGGCGGCCGTGTCTGTGGACGCGAACGGCTTCGGGCGCATCTCGAAAGGCAACGCGAATGCAGCGCGCGCTGCACTTCAACTCTTGGTTTACAACCACTACAACGTCTCTCACCTATCTGCCCGCGGTCTAAACATGTTTGTTTCGCCCATCGTTCGGTGCTCAGACGGTCAGGTAAGCACGCAGCCATGCCTTCGCATGACTGAATCTTCCCGTCTGACTTTGTACTTCACAGCATTCCGTAACATGGGGCTGGAAGACGACTTGGGTTGCTCATGTCGAGCGCGCCAAGCAAGGATCAGACGGCGATAGGCGTCGTCTAGCTCAAGCTCTTCGCCACTGGATAGCGGAGAAGGGCGCAGCGGCCACTGAGCGACTTCGCCGACCTCTACTTGCTCGTTACCGGCTGTGGGCGCGCTCGGACCGCTTGGAGCGCAAGCGTACTGTGCAGAGGCTCAAGGCAGTCGGCGAGACGGACTACGACGTCGCCTTTCAGCTCCGCACGCACCAGCGCGTCGCTGATCGAACGGACGAGGCTATCGAGGTGTTTGACGCTCATGCGCGCGCGGAAACGCTCAGTGAGGACATCGCGCGTTTTGAGAACTTTCCGCGTCAACCGTGGCCGCGTGATCCTCCTCACGGATGGGAAACTTTGAAGGAAACGCAGCGTCAGGCTATAAGGGAACTCTGGCTGGCTGCAGACCACATGGGCCTGGCAGACCTCGAGGAGGTAGTGTACGGGGCCGCGGTTGCCGACGCGGTCGCCGACGACCCATTCAACGTGAATTTTTAGGTACATACGTCATGTGTAGACTATAGCTCAGCTGCGAATGGTGATTGTGCGAAAGTCCGTTAATACACATCAAGAAATCTTATGAACTTTGAGCTTCGGCGCCAGTCCCAGCCATCGCATCGGGCGAACCGAACGGTTCCTGTTCATGGACCAGATTCCAGATGACGAACTCCTTGATTAGAGATAGACGCATGCTGCGAGATAGCGCAGCACGAGTGCACCGCGATGCGGGCGCATCAGAGCAGCTGGACGTTCGAGCGAATCCTGTGGACTGAACTGAACTTCCCCTCCCCCTCTAGCGCTCTCCGCGGACGCGGTGCTCTCTTGCTTCGCAACCGCCATGTCTAACTCGACTGTCGTAGTCAAAACCGAGCACGAAGAAGATCCCCTGCCGTTTGTCGGGGGTTTCATTGGGGAAGGGCGTTCACCTCGTGGCTCTGAGGAAGACTCGAGCACTTCTGCTGACGGCGAAAGCGAAGAAGAAGAGCGGGACTACAACTCACCCGGTCACGACTGGATCGTAAGTGCACTCGGAGGAACACAAATATATTGTCTGAGTACTCATTTAACACATAGGCCGACCAATACTTCTCGCTCATCGAGGCCGGACGCCGCCCAGCCACTCCCAGCAGCATCGCCACGAATACCGACACGAGCGACGACCCAGAGGCGCCAGCTCCTGCCGACGAAGTCGCCGTCCTTAGGCACGTCATAAGTCGAGTACTTCGTGACGTTATATGCACTGGCGCCTGCGCCAGTGACGGTTACGATCCGGCCCAAGCCGACGGCGTATGGACTTGTCCGATAGCGGGATGCACTCACACCGTCGATCCTCGCAAGCTGCCGTATGAGGCGCGCTTGGTCGTCCGCGGGGTCTACGGGGAGCGTGGGTTGAGCGTAGAGCGGTGGACAGGGAAGACCGTACTGGCCATGGATCTCGGGTTGGACAACGATGACCGGGCTCGCCTGAGCATGTCGCCAGAAGAAGTTCTTTACCGGCGCACGGGTATGGAGCTCATCGCCTGGCGCCATATCATGTCGTGGCACACGAGAGCATACGGGGTGACCGTGCGCGACATGGGCATCGCTAACGAAGCAACGGGCGTTGTGAGTTGTTGATCATACCTCCAGTTCAATACAGCACACTCACCGGTCCATAGCGAGCTGTCTCTTTCGAGAGAGAGAGGGACTCGAAGACGCTTTTTGCGTATGCGCCAGGACTAGTGCTCTCCAACGATGAACAGCACCGCCTACAGTTGGAGGAGATCCGTCGGGACGAAGTGCGCCGCCTCCAGAATGAACGCCACAAGATGCGAGTGCTGCTGATACGCTGGCACAACAGGCAGGGTCGGTTCCTAGATCATGCCGTCTCCTACTGTACGCGGCACCTGTCGTTCGCTGGCCGGTATCCGGGGAGACTTGCCGGGCGTGTGATCATGTCCGGGTTGGAACGCTTGCGGGAAGAGTGCGAGCCCGACTTTGCGCGCGCGAGACTGAGGAACGTCGAGGCCTCGCTTCAGAGCTGGTCAGACTGGGATCTTATTTCACGTCCTGTACCCCGTGTTATCGCTTGATACTATTACCGATGTCATGGTGGTACGATGCAGAGGGTAGTGTTCAAACGCGATCTCACCTGACCGCGCGTGTGAAGTTGATAGCTTGGGATCCGCCCGCCGGTACGTTCCTCGACGTCGATTGACTCCCGTCCACCATACGGGCACCTTTCATGTTCTCTCCCGCTTACCTTCTCGCTGTCCAAGACGTTATCATGAAAGCCTGAAGCTGCTGATGCTGGATCCGCTGGGACTCACTTCCGTACTCGACAACACATGCGCGCATGCACCCCTGCGCCGTGCAACAAAGGTATCTCTAGGCGTCGACCCCGGGAAGCGAAGAGCTCATTTTCGACTGTATCTACGATAGGCAAACACCATCTGAGAGCGGGGAGGTAGATGATGGAGAGATCCTCTTGCGGATGGCTACACGGCGTAGCCGTCCACCTTTCCATATGCAGTGGGAGGCAAATCGAGCGCGGCGTTGGTTACTAGCGATGGACGATCAATACATGGCCAGTATTGTAAGTCAAGATGATTTGCAGCACACATTCGTCCATAGAAACCCTAATGATCTGCTATAGTACTCGACATCTGTCTTCATGTACAATTAATTCGGACTATTTCGGACTGATGCAATACATCCTTTCCGTCGTTTTCGCTTCACATCAGTTGTGTTGACTGTTGCATGGAAATATGGGCGCACCACGCGATTAAGCCACGCCATCGGCGCGCCAAAGCAGATCCAACTTGCACAGAGACCCATCGGTCCCACGCGCTGATCTGTGCAATTGGCATCGCGATACGCGTCTAACGATTGGTACTGACGAATAGCTAGCATTCTACCATGTCTGGAAGCGGCAAGAGAAAGTCCGATTGGCCTCTGGCGCTAAATACGAAGAAGGGACGTCGAGCGATGACTTCAGATGTGCAGTGGGGGACGCAGTCCACCGTGGTCGGCGTTTCAACGACGTTCATGTCTGACGGCAGCGGGAGATCTCAAGTTACTACTACGGCTCAGACCGCACCATCCGGTTACTCTGGTATCGCTCCGGGCAGTGAGGAGTACCATAGGGTGACAGGCGGTACAGCACTCGAAGAGCCTGTAGCAGGACCTGACGAGCCGGTAGCCGGACAGGAGTCAAATGACGCACACGAAGATTTTGAGGATGATGGGCTGCCGGGACCTGAAGTTACAGATCCTGTCGAAGAACAGACTGACCAGGAGCCTCGATCGAAAAGTGTAAGGTACTTAACTATGGAGGTTGATCAACGTACTAACTTCGCACGTCAGCGGAAACCAATCTGGGCTTGGATCGCTGAGCGTCCCATGTTCTTACGGGAGCTTATCAACTTAGACGGCCGACATCGCGCTCTAGACTTGGCGCATCTCAATATGTGTCGTAACACAGAGTGCAAGGATACACGTACCAAGCGCCGCTACTACCGTTGTGTATCCGGCTGCATGCGTTGTGACTGGTGTTGCCGCTCGTGCCTTCTCAAGAAGCACGCCGATCTTCCACTGCATCGCGTGGAGGTGAGTTGACAATACTGCACCACATTACCGATTCTGACGATCTGCGTATGTAGTCTTGGGTAGAAGGGCACTGGCAGTCGATCTCGCTGCGAAACCTGGGTCTGAAGGTGAATCTGGGCCATCCGGACGGCTCTCCATGCGCGCAACCCCAAGCGACGGTCGCGAACTTCGTTGTTGTCCACACTAACGGGGTACACGAAGTCAAGGCTGTGTTCTGCGGATGCACTCAGACGTTTGTAGCACCTACTGCTCAGCTCCTGAGAGACCGCTGGTGGCCTGCTACGGCTGACTTTCCGAAAACGGCGGCGACCTTCGAAGCATTGGACTGCCTAGATGCTCTCGGAACAGCCGGCAAGACGAACGCGTTTGAGTTCTGGAACGCGATGTGTGCACTGACAGATTTCACCGGTACACATACCCTTCCGGTACGTTTTCTTGGCTTAGTACCATACGCTATACGTGCCTGACACACTTGTGCACATCAGGATCGTTCGAAGGAGCTCGCGCGAATGGTACACGAGTGGCGCCACATTCTGATGTGCAAGAGAGGAGGCAGGGGTCACGATAGATTCGGCGGCATAGAGGAAACATTGCTGGGCGATCTCGCTGTACTATGCCCAGCGTGTCCGCATGAAGGGCTCAATACAGACATCCTAGAAAAGGTGTCCGCGATCTCACCAGAATTGGCCGCCGCCATACGGTAAGCCCCTCATCAGGTATCGATAGCGGTACGGGTGAACTAATGCGTCATGAACTGCAGCCACTTCGAACGCGTATTCGCGGCTATGGACTGCAACTTCCGAGCCAAGAATAAGGACAACCTCTCGACGTTCGAGAGCAGTCCCATCTTGGGCGACGGGATGGCATTCATGGTCCCTTACGACGAGTATGAGGACTTCACAGCCACAAGCGGCCATCAGGACGAGGTATGTCCAAATACTTACTGCTATAGGCGGACGAGACTCACGCTATCTTGATCAGATGAGCAGCTGCTCGCGTTTCGGGGCGATGGTGTTGGCCAATCTTAAAGCGGGCAAGGGGATGCGTACGACAGGAATCGGTGCAGTGTTTTGCTCGCGTCACGGCTTATTCTGGCCGAATACCGTAGGCACGCTGGTAAAGGGTGAAAGGTGGTTACCGCAGATCACTGCAGCGGGCATTCATGTTCTGACCCCATTTCTTCACATCAGGTACTGTACGATGGACTACATCCTGGCCGCTTTCGTACGAAGACTGCGGGCATCGGAGCTTCATCTCTCGTACGACATAATATGCCAGTACTCCAAGAACCTCGACCGCAGAATGGCCGATGTCGAGGGCGACACACCTTTCATGCTAGTCGGCGCACAGAAACTGTTAGACGAGATCTCGACAACATTCGCTATACCGAAGTTTCACAGCCCCGGACACAAGGCGCTCTGCCAACAATGGTTTAACCTCGCGTTGCAGCTATATGCAGGCCAAACGGACGGCGAGGCGTCCGAGCGAGCTTGGGCGGGGCTGAATCGCGCCGCCGCCAGCATGAGGGAGATGGGGCCCGGGCATATGCGCGACACAATAGACTTCTATTGCAATATGTGGAACTGGAAGAAGTTCATCAATATGGGTAACGCAAGTTACAAGTTACTGTGTACACTCTATGGCTTACCTCGGAATTAGGTCCGTTCCTTATCCGCAAGATGGAGCTGGCGTTGCGGGAGGCCGAGGACCATACATTCATCCACACGGGTCTCCGGAAGGCGTTGGCTGCGGAGAGCGCGGAGACCGTGGACGAGTGGACCGATGAGGTAGTTGTGTTCGAAAGACGGGATGATGGGGAATTGAAGGAGGGAGGTCCGGTCAAGAACCCATACAAGCCGCTCGCAAAACGTACGTTGCTGGGCTGCATGTCGATGACTGAATGCGGTCTAACGATCTTGCTTATGCAGCGAAGTCCCTCCATCAGGCACGATTGGAAAGCGCAGAGCTGATGGCCGCCGCCCTTGAGAAGCTCGGTGCTTCTGACGCCCGAAGCAGGAAGGAAAGTGCCACAAGTACGACGGGCGCGGATCGGGCGCCAGCTTCACCAGAACTGACGAATTTCGTACTGCGCGGATTCAAGATTGAGATGTTGAGGTACGCATCGCGTATCGTCTCGTTGAGTGTGAGATCCTGATGTCTCAATAGGTTACGCGCTATTGCAAGACAAAAAGTCAACACGGTGCTCCAGCGAGCGGAGAAGCGGGAGCAAGCGAACGAAGTCGCGCGTTTGCTGGTGCAGTTCCGAAAGGACCAGCAATGGATACAGCCGCTCGTTTCAGCGGGTGTGAGCGAGTTGGAGGGTGACCGCGCCGAAGCGAACACGCGGGAAGAAGATGGGGATAGCGAGGACGAGGACGAGGATGAAATCGACGCGGGACCGTCTGGCGACGGAGATGAAGATGATGTCGAGGCGGGAGCACCGGACGATCTGCCCCTCGGGAACAAGGTTGCACGGGGCCTATACCTACCGTCAGAGCTACCGCGCGAGCTGGCACTTCAACAACCGCGCGAGCTGCTGTATGAAGAGCTGCGCCTGCGATGGGCGGGGATGGGAGACGACATCGTCATCATTCGCCAGTACTGCAGAATCAAGGGCACCGTCGCCGAATTCAAGCGCAAGACCGTTCGAGGACAGAGACACACGTCACGCGCCCGGACCAAGCAGAACGCGATTGAGGCCAATCTGTATACCGTCAAAGAGTCATATCGGGTGCATCGTGCACGCTTCGCTAGGTTGGTTTCGCTGATGAGCGAGAGGGAGAGGGAAGAGCAGGTGCCGGCCAACTGGGAGGACCGCTTCCGTGAACTTGAGGATGGTGATTGTATCGCGTTGGGGCAGAGACTGCTGATGCGCATCGAGGACGAGCAGATCAAGCGCGTCCATCGCATAGTCACACAGAAGCACGGAGGTTCGAGCGGCGAGAGCAGTCACAAAGTCCCGTGGATCTGGTATACAGTCGTGGAAGGAGGCATTATCGAACTGAACGATGGTACGCAGAAGAGCCCGTACCACGGGAGATGACTAATGGTGAAACAGAGATGCGCGTCGAATACCTGAAGTGCCGCGCCCGCGCGATGAGATGGACGGAGGAAGTCTACGCCCTCTGTTTCGAAATGATCCGAACTCCTAGGTTCGTCATGAGAAAAGCAGAATGGTGGGAGAGGAAGGCTGGTATGCAGCTGTCGGGGCTCAGCAAACTCGAGAAGGACGGCGCCCGCGCGTACGCGAAGAAGCAGGCGACGATGTACCGGCGACAAGCGGAGAAGCTGGAGAAGAACTTTGCGGAAAGTTTAACTCTAGCGGCAGCGTTCGTGAAGACTCACGGGCTCGATGGCCTGCTCAAAGAAGCATAGTATAGGTGCTGTATCGCATGTATTGCCAAGGACTATGTATAACTAGAAGGGGTGCGCGAGGTGCGCGCATGCGAGTACATGAAAGGTTCACGTTAGCTTAGGCAGCCAGGGATGATGTATCATATCATACTGGCGTTCACGCGTATCCGGAACCGCGCATACTTGAGCGAGGGGCGCGCGCGTACAGTTTAGCGGCAGAGCTTGAGGCGATAAGTGATTTGGCGGGGTTATCATAATTGAGCGGTTATCACGTCGGCGTTGAGAAATGGCGTTAATAGCTTTGAAGGTCAAAAAGACGGGTACATAGTTAGTGCACACTTATGCTGTAGTATGGAATTGTGGCGTAGTAGTCGAACGCGCCGGCTTGCGGCAGGTGTGTTTGGCGAGGTTGCCGGTTCAAATCCCGATGGGGGCATGCTAGAAAAAAGTGACATCATCATTTTGACCTCGCATTTCTCTCGTCGGGGTTATGGCCGACCTGGTCGGCCAAGGCCGACCGGGTCGGCGGTGTGTACTGATATGGGCCGACCTAGATGGGTCGGCCCCTAGTGGTGCATCCCGAGGCCCGAGTACTCTCTTTACGCCAACTAGTTCCCTGCTGTCGGACCTTCGTAAAACTGCCAGTGTGCAGAAACACTATCAGCTCGTGCTGTAGGAGATCGTGACATATACCTAACTGCTACGTGTTCTTTCATTGTTCATCGCACTGAAGTGCTGTTAGCTTCGGGTTCATGCCTACCTTGCCCGTCCGCGTAAATCGGGTATCAGTCGAATTTTTCGTGGTGTCGCTTTCATCTGATGATACGGGCACGTAGGTTCTTCATACCTTCACACTACATGCACTGACAATACATTGCTTCATTCTCCTTTCTACTCTACCCAAACCTACCTATCACCAATCATGACGCGTCCACTATTACGCGGGTTTGCCCTTACGGGTAACCTGTATGCCTCCGGGCTTCTGCTGATCTGCCTCCGGGCCTGCTGCTGATATGCCCCAGTGGCCATTTGCCCCATATTAATCTTCGCCCAACACTATACATCGTACTCCATGTTTGCATTTTATTGCCATGGTTCGGCTGTCACGTGACTCGGCAATATCCTTATTCTTTTCCTTTTCCTTTTCTTTTCTAATCCGGCATCTCGGCATCTCGGCATTCCGGCACACGGACTCCGGACTCGCATGACTCACACNTCATCCCACTCCCGCGCTGCCTTGACCTGTATATAAGACTCTTTCCCCATGTACCTAAGCTCCTTTAGTTCGTCCATCTTGCAATCTACCCTCTGTGGCGTTCTCCTCTGTCCCCTCTGTCTCTACCATCGCACACCCTCGTGTTGTCACTGGGTTCCTGCGCTTGGTATCTGTCTGTCTGTCCGTCTGAGTGCCAATAGCGCGGCTCGGAGATCTCCCCTAAGTGCGGCCCTAGCATTTATCACATTTAGTTCTTACAAGTGATATTCTCGTTACGTCGTAGTTGCTCCCGACTACCCACATTGCACATGCCCAAGTAGACTAGCCTACTACTGACATATATCATCACCGTGCTTGGAATCAAGTATAATCAAGTCCAACAGAAAAGTAGGCTTCATCGAAGGCCCCAGTCAGAAATCGAGGCGTGCACTGCTCGAAACGGTCACGCTACGCAGGACCGCGGAGAGCTGCACGCAAGAAGGCCGGTCTATGGCTTGGACCTTTTGCCCGCAAGAGACTGGTTCCATTAGGCACAATACTGACCAGACATCGTACCCAACACATGAGGGAATTACGCCCCGGTAATGCCCCGGAGGAGCTATGCTGTAAATAAGGTCTGCACCAAAGATGTGCATTGTTGCTGGCGCTGCCCTATCAGCTGATAAGACTGGCGTGCGAGAGTTGTCAGAAGTGAAAGAAAACCATTGAAAATGTTGTCAAAAAGCAATAAGTCCCAACACGTGCGGGGCCGCGACGCGCGTTCGCTCTTTGCTCTGCACCACAACTCGAGAATGAGCATGCCCGACACATCTATGGGCAAGCTTGACACAGACAATGCTGTGTTGGACATGGTCATGAAATACCTCCAAACTCTTCCAGGGGAATGGAACATGAGGAGACTCATTGCAGCCTACCTTTGCGATCCTAAGCAAGGCTCGACACATTCTCCTACACATCGTGCATCTGTTCAAAAGTTCCTCAGTGGAGCAGATACCGTCCACAACACATACAGAGCCGTACAATTCATGCTGAAGCACCTGTCCTCTATACCTGATAAGAAGCATGACAACTATGACAAAGACTACTCGCTCAAGCACAATCTGTTGCGGTTTTGGCACTTTACCCCTGCTATCACGAGCTACTTTGCACAAGATGCTCTGAGTGTACTGCGTAAACAGCTGTACCAACTTTTCAAAGAGAATGAGAGCGCGAGTCTTGCAAGTTAAGAGACAGGTTGATCCTTCACTGGCTGCAGGTGAAGCAGGTCCTGTCTGTGAGTCTTTGGGCAAATGAGAGAACAACTGTATGTTTAACCCACATAGACTACTCGGATGAAGAAGAAGACCTCCAGGACTCCGAGGAGCGGCTCGTAGTCATAAGAACTGAACCTGGTACATATAGTTTGGCTTCGCTTGTAGACTCATGATTGTCTGACTATCAGTATCAGGACTTGAACCAATGTCCGCACAGAAGGAAACTCGAGGAAAATCAAAAGACAAGCTCATCTACCAGTCAACTATCCACAACTTTACTATGAAGGGGTTATCTACAACTTACAAGTGAACTTCACCACTTCTCTGGGGTCTCCTCCTTGGTGTTGCAAATCCAACTAAATGCACGGATCACAAGCATAGGCCACTCTGGATTGTGAGTGAATCCCGATGGCGTATATGCTTGCAGAGCTGATTCTCTCCTTAAAGGTTGTGACTGGTGCTCTAAGTCAGCTAGTGTTCTGTGCAAATGCCCACATAAACAAGTACCAGTTTCTCAAGAGTACATACTACTAGGGTATAGCCATTGCATGCGTGGCAGGTACGGGGCATCCTCTTAATGAATTTAAGTGGCCCTTGTTTGGATGACTGACTATAGGTGGCATTGTGTTTTGTATCGTTTCAACTGCATTCTGAAAACCTCTTATATTGATTTCATTAAGTTACAAACAACAGTGACATACATCTGAACACTCACATTACAACAATGGATGAAGATCAGTACATGTACCCTGGCAATGGTGGTGCAAAGCACCGGTGAGGCAGCCACTGCTCAGCATCACATGCGAAGCTCACATGAATGTTGCAAAGCAACGGTTCGTGTCCTAGAGCGCACTCAGCAGCAGTGCGAGCACTACATGACGGAAGCCATGCTCGTGGTTGAGATGTATTGCATTGAATGATTGTCACATCGTGGGTGGTAGTGCGAAGTGCAGTCTGGTCATTGTGCATATGACC